ACCTCACGACCTCGGGCGAGGTGTCCCACATTATCATTTCCAAGGCGGAGGCCATGTGCTTGGAAGTTGACTTGTATGAAGGGGTAGTCGATTTCAGAGGTATATACTTGAACTGATATGTCGAGTGAATGAGGACCTCGGGGTCGAGTGATGAATCTGCGGTCTTCTCTTACAGGCCCTCCGGGGCTCTCCCAGCCGTGCCGACTAGAATTCCAAGGGCCATCGCGACCTTTCTTAAGCTTCAGTATGATTGTGTTTGACAGATATGGGCGCATAAACTTACAGCGTTCGGTACGGAATGGGCATCCCAAGCCAAGTTCAGGGGGATGTTGGCGGTGGTGACGTGGAGGAAATCCCGAGAATTTCCTGAAAGACAGCTTAAGAATTTCCAATTTCTAGTGCGAAGAGTAACTAGGGCACTTGATTGGATTGCCCTTACCTATTGAGCGAGTTTGCATCGCTATTGCAGTACCAGGTGTTTGCAGCTGGCAGTGCAGTGCAGTGCTGACGGCTGCCTGTTGCCTGTTGCGTTGGACCAAAACAAAATAAATTATCCCAAGGCATGGTCTAAACTAGCATAAGATAACCAAACTCTTTCGTCTCTTATGCTTTCAATAGCTGATTCTTCCAATAAATGACAGATTCCGATCATCTTACCCTCAGTGAACTACGACACCCTCCGACTGTGGTCACTCGTACAAGTATCGAACCATAGGTCAAGTAACAGGATCGGTTTCCAGTTCGCAAGAGGCAAAAGTGCGACTCAACATCTGCGGAGTGAAGAAGCAGAACTGCACTCATCAGTTGCGCAGTGAATTCAGAATCAACAAAAAGGATAGCCTAAATACTAGTCTAAGCTGACATAAAACAACCGAGTTATTTCGTCACTAAGATAACTCGATAACCTTTCCATCTAAGTCTCAAACTACCTAGAAAGCTTTCTGATAGGTGATTCTCAATAACCTTGTGTTCAAAGAAATGCATGCCCATAATCCATTTGTCATATCTTGAGGCGGAATCTTAACACAACATCGTCCGATTCTCGATGTCGCCTCTCGAGTTGCTTTGCTGCTGTTCCTAACCAACAGATTACTCACAACATGCCTTTGTGACCACAGAGACAGAAAGAAAGTTCGAGAAAGCCCCTCAAAGAATCTAAAGGCTGCAGGCTGCTATCGAGCCAATAACTATAAGCTGTCCCCATTACCCCCGTTCTCATCGTTTCCCCTTTCTACATCCCATACAACAGTACTCTCGAGATTCGCCAAACAAAATCTTTGGAACTCCTGAATCCTTCCCACTCTCGAGGACAGCCCCCCTCTAGATTCTGTACGGTATCATGGAAGACCAAGAACTTGTCGATAGAGTCGTTGAAGCCGTTCTTGAGAAGGTCAACCCTCGTCTCGATGCTCTCGATAGCGAAACCGCAGATTTCAAGGGCCGACTCGCCGATATTTACCGTGTTGAAGCCGAGATTAGGTACTTCAAGGCCTTGATGAGCACCGTTCAAAGCAAGCTGTACAATGCAGAAGGCAGGTTACTATTGGAGAAAGGCAAACTGGCACAAAACGAAGCTCGACTCCGCGGGACTCCAAACACTCTACCATTCGGTGCTCGAGACCCCCGACCCTACGCAAAAAGTCGACCGTCCCCTGAAAGTCCCCTGCGATGGCGATAATTGGTGCAGTCGATGAGAATCTCTTCGTGTATAAAGTAAGGTTTAACCCTAACCGTACCGTAATCGAAGCCGCCATTGTCACTGCAACCGCTTTTAACACTTGTCCACAGCAGCTCAGTCATGCAACATCTCCACTATCAACATAGAAGAAACGGCTCTTCGAAAAGACATATCAAGAGGCAGAGAGGAAGGCGAAGGAAGAAACACTATTCTTAGGCTGAGGCGTTACCTTTCCCAAGATGCCGCAGCCAGTGTAGTGCCTTGTGTTCGCATTCTGCCTACTTCTATCTCGCACCTATACTTATCTTTACACTGCCAGGGTATCACTCATCAGCCCAGTTGTTACGCTCAACAACCGACGATGGCACAACCCTAGGACCAGACTCATCTCCATTCATACTTCCATAACCTTGCGATTCCCTTTCAGGCCGCTCAGGCGCTGCCTCTTCTTCCTCAACAACATCTCTTTCCCTGTCAATCAACAGTGGTCGACGACTTTCACGATGTTGGCTTCTCTCTACAGAACGGCTGAAGCCCCAAGTACTGCGCCAGTTGCTACCGTCTTTGGAAAGGAAGAGGCCTAGGACCTGTGCCTTAGTTAGTATTTGGCCGTACATAATAAAACTAGACGTTCACATACCTGAACCAGTCCAACGCCCACAACAACAGCGAGGTCTAACAGTGCCATAGTCTGCAAAGCTCCCTGCCAGGGCTCACGGCACGCCGTTCTCCGTCCGTATGTTTCAGCACAGTTGCTCGGTGCTGTGCCGGGGAACGGGTAGGCCCGGTCACGAACGGAGTTCAATCCGCAACAGTCAAAAGCATCTTGAATCTTGCGTATACTACCTGCATCATGAGCGCGAAACATTCTCATCCATTGCTTATCCAACATGCAGCTCGTCACGCTTGACGGTACGGCGCGCTCAAGGAGTAGTGTTGCGAGGATGGTAGCGATGAGGGCCTGTAGGACTTGGACCACTAGCGGACCAAGTTGAGCGATACCGTGTGGCGAGTATTTTGTGTTACGGCGGAAAGTAGGATAGCATGCTGTGTTGAGAAAGCCGAGGATAGGGAGGATGATCGTGATGATAGAGACGGCTGGGGAGATGGCGAGAGAAAGGCTTGAACTGCGAACGTGGACGACACTGTACAAACGTCAGCAGTATTCAAAGGTATGGGATCCAAGATCACTGACACCGCAATAATTAAAAGCACAAGGCTGAGCTATAGAACTTATTAGTCCAAGAGTGAGGTTGTAGCTTCAGGAAGATCTCTCACTATCAAGTACAGCACCGTTGGGTGGATCATCGTGCAGAGTTGTGTGTATCTTAGCAAAGCGAGATGTGGAAGAAAGATGGTGGAGAGGAGAACGGAGAATGGAATTATACCTGTTGGAGGGTGTTTTGTTTGGCAGTTTTGTTAATGACGCGTATCCTGCCTGGTTTGATGCGGGAGGCCGACCACGGGGGCCTCATTTCAGCATAAGATAGTTACAATAGCTGCGAAGTGTACGACATTCAAAACGACGAGTCGAACCCAACATATCTGTAAAGTGACTAAATTGATTGCTATCTATTGTATAGCGTTGTAATATGTAGTTGGGACCTGGGTTGAGCTTATACCTACCTGCACTCAATACGACCCTCCAGCTTCCAATAATAGTGAGATCATAATTTCCTTATCCTTAGAATAACAAAAATCTTTAGAGTCACCTGCTAACCTAGCCGGGGAGTTTCCCTTTGAATCCTCGGCTGCAGGATCAGCTCCACGCTTAAGCAAAGCTCTTGCAACATCAATTGCGCCATGAAGGGCAGCAACGTGTAACGGCGTGAGGCCAGATCGGATAACCTTACCATATAACTTAGGGTCTTCAAGGTGGTGCAGTTGTAAACAGCCATATGAGATGCCTCGTTTGCTGCGAGCCTCCCTTGACTGATCGTGTTCATCAAAGGCAAACGACGCTCGGCTATCAAGCGATACACCTCTCGATAGAAGTTCCCCAACGAAGTTTTCTGACTCACCAGATTTTCCAAGATATGGATTCATAGCGAGACAATGCAATGCTGTCCAGCCATCGTGCGTGCCCACAGTTGGGTTGGCGCCGCGGACGAGAAGCAGCCGAGCTGCCTCCAACTTACTAGACCTTGTTATCGCGGGGATAAGCGCCAATGCGTTCAGAAGCGGGGTCCATCCCCTGAAAGAAGTCTCATCAACATGAATACCAACCTCATCGGATAGAAGATATTCCATGACATCGATTTGCGCCCCTCCGGATGCGAAATGGAGCAACGACTCACCTCGGTGATTCCGCAATCTTAGAGCGGTCCTTCTTTCCAGCTCGGTGGGCAAGGTCGAGAGCATGTGTTGCAAAACATCTAAGTCAGATGTAGCAGCTGCAAAGTGTAGAGGAGTGTTTCCAAAGACATCTTGCCGAATAACTGAAGCGTTAAAGCGGAAAAGTAGTTTGTAAGCCCCCTCTCTGCAGCCACGCCGTGGCAAGAAGGGACTCCGCCCAAACATTATCATTCCTCGTGCTGCAATCGCCACATAATGCAGCAAAGTTTGTCCTTGAGCATTGATGGATACGTTTGGGTCTGTTCCATTTTCGAGCATCGCCTCCAGACAGTTGTGAAGACGCTCATAAGCAACAGTGTGCACAAGAAGTGGTTCGTTACGAATCATAGAATGATGAATGAAGGCTTTACTATTGCAAGGATCGGCCCCGGCGTCCATCAGTAGCTTGATCGTCTGTGACTGTGCAGCACGGTCAAGATCCGTTTGTATCTTCTGAACTGGCACTTGACCCAATGCCGAATCGAGGCTCTCCTGGACGAAAGAACATCTGGAGAGAAGAAATCGGATGTTCTCAATGTTCCAACGCTTGGCTGCTTCGCTCAAAGCATGAGCTTCAGCCTCGAGGGACCACCTCTCACGTCCCCATTCTAGAAGGGCGTCAACTGTAGAAGGCTGACTGTATCCCGCTGCCTCGACCAAACAGCTCTCAATACCTACCGTTTCGAAATCGACATGCTTCCAGAGTTTCCAGAGGAGATCCATATTGCCCAAGCGGGCAGCGACCCCAATGGCGGTCGTGTAGTATTCCTTGTAGACGTGGTCGGGCATAAGAGCAGGAAGAGCACCAGCCTTCAGAAGCATATCCACAGCATCTCCATTGTCAAGGTAAATGGCAATATGCAACGGTGTCCCCCATTGATTATCGGGTTCGTTGATGACATCAGGCGTGGCTTTGTCCAGCAGATATTGAAGCGTACCGAGATTACCAATAGCAACACAGAAGTGTAAAGGCCACGAGGCATAATGCTTGTCCTTGAAAATTTCGGATACAGTGAGGGTTGGGGCGGGCATACTTGTAAATTGAAGCGAATAACTTACAGCGAGGACAGTTGGATAGTGGATGTTGCTAGAGTGAGGTCAGTCGGTTGGTGAACCACCAGGTTGTACGGATAGAACTGGATGACTAAGAATTCTAGGCAGCCAACAACGGGGACGTTTCTAAGATCTGACATGTTAAAGTCAAAGAATTAGCGGTAAAATAGGGGCCTGTAAAGGCTATATTGATTGAACTCCTGTTCTGCTTCGTTGTAATTATCCCAAAATTCAATATATCTTTTATGTTTATTCTGGCAAGAGTCAAGGTCGATCTTCACATGAAAAACATGGGTCCACTTTGCACGGCTTCCGAGGATTCTACCTCACTAATATTCCTCCCCTATCACCATCACCAACATCCACTTTCACCTCTACACAGTCAAAAGATAAAATTGCTCGACTCCAAAGATGGCTTCTCAAGATGATGCCCGCAGAAATCGCATCGTGTCGCACATGAACAAGGATCACACCAGGGAAATCTCCTACTATCTCCGTCACTATGCCCGCCTTTCTGCCTCGGCTGCTTCTGACCCAGTCCTGACGGATATCGATCTCAATGGCATGACCATCAAGTCAAACGACGGAAAGGAGCATATCGTTCCCTTCACACCTCCCCTCTCCAGCTGGGCAGAGGTCAAAGAGCGCATCATCGAAATGGCCAACACCGCCCGCGAGGCACTGGGTCTTAGCGACGTCATCGTCACAGCCTACACACCACCAGAAGGCTTCGGAATTGTCGTTACAGGCTCTGTTCTCTTTTACTTCTTCTGCGCGGCTTCATTGCCGTGGATCCAACCTGGTTCGCGCCCCTGGGAGCTGTTGAATGAGAGCTTTCCCGGTGGAGCCACCTTCTTCCACTGGCTGGTCAAGGCTATCTTCTACCCTGTGATTGGGATCCACGTTGTTGAGTGTTTCTTCTTCGACAGAAAGTTGCAGAGACATGGGGTCGAGAGACTTTCAGGACAGTGGTGGCTTTGGATCGTCAACTGCTTTTTCGAGGGATTCCCAGCTTTCAAGCGCGTGGACGGCATTGTGGCTCGAAAGCAGGAGAAGAGTGGAAAGGCGCAGTGATGAATGTCTTTGGCATAAAAGGAGGGACGGCCAATCTGAGGAGGAAGTCCGATGAGTCCCAGAACTGGGAACTCAGGATGAGCAGTTGCCCATCAATGTTTGCCCGCCATGCCTGCGAGTCGGCTCATAAAATCAAGAAGACCCGACGGCAAAGAAACCCACTGGATGCGGCGGTGATGTGAAAAAAATCACTTGTTCTCCTATGGGTTCACACAAATGCATAGATCAGATCTAACGATATATATACCCATCTCATTACAATATCACGATCAAGTCAAGAACTTTGTCCATTCGTACCATTACCGATCAATTCCACGGGCCGATTTACTTATCTACAAACAAACCAGGCTCCCAGTGAGACAACGTGTGTCACTCGCCTCACCCACTAATGCATCATTCGCAGGTACCTTAACCGGGTCGAACCGGTTCGTTTCTGACACAACATGATTTATCTGCATGACTCTGTTGATAGTCGCATCGAAAACGCGGGGGTCGCGTCTTGAGCAGCCACTCAATGGGTTGGTGATGTTGTTTGCGAACCATTATGCCGTCGCCTTGTCTGCCGCAGCAAGCTGATAGGCGTGGGAGAGGCCCAAACAGGCATCGTCTTGTTTACAGTCAACGCCAAAATGAGGCCTTCAATTTGTGAGATCGGGTTGATGCATTGGCAGGCAAGTCATACATGGCATACATTGTCTGTTTAGCTTCGTTACTTACGTGCATATCTAATAGGTCTAGAGAGTATTGTCCACTTGTACCTGCGATGTCGCCCTCTCTGACCAGTAATGGCGCTTCACGATTACACCCATTCAGTATCAATTCAGTACACAGCCGAGTCCTACCATTATTCGATCGTCATGAGGCAATCGTCCTCGGATTTGCGGAGTTCGCAATTGCGAGACCAGAGATGACAAGTGCTACCTTGTGAGGCTCTTTCCAACTATTTAAGCAGTACAATTTCGTAAATTGTTGACTTTCGATTGCTGCTATTTCTTCCTCTTTCAACTCTCGATCTTCATTGCAATTGCAATTGATTCTTACCACCCTCACACACATCGTTGCAGCTGTCTACACCAAGACGAATATGCAATTGAACCAGCTTACTAGCCTTTGATAATGCCCGCGGTGGTGGACAAAGCAAGACAATTCTCCTTGCAACGAAAACAAGCCTCTCTGAGAAAGGGTTACCATTTTGGAAAAAAGCATATAACAAAGCTCTACCACCAATTCACCTTTCACTCGATCATCACCGCCCATCGTCTGGTTTACCAGGCACCGGATATGCCTCGATCCGGCTCAGAGAAGCAAGCCATTGTAACTAGAACTAAGAGATCTTCTGAATCTCCCGAACCTATTCAGAATCGGGACTCACGAACAGTACTGATCCCTTCTCTTTACGATGTACGATGACTCTTACTGACAACCTTCTTAGAAACAGTCAAGTGGTGGATCACGCAAGTCCCAGGCCAGGAAAGACCAGGAGAGTGGTCAGGGCCACCGAGGTTCTCCTGCCTCTGTGTGAGTTTTATCAAGCTTATATGAAGCGGAACTTGGTAACTAATATCAACACAGAAGCGGTCAAGTCAATCTATCCGCTCCCAGTCGCCGCCTCAAGGTTGCAGAAGACTGCACCAATCTCATCAACGTGCCTTTACCCATAACCGGTGTAAGGCAAGCCGCCGATCTCAGAGAAGCAGACGTCGAGCCTACGAACCCGTCGGCGGCCTACTTGAAGTACTGTATCGGCAGAGAAGTTAAACGACGCAAGCAAGCCATCGTCGATCGTTTGATGGCCGTAATCACAGAATGCGTTGAACAAAGACTGGAAGCGCTCGAGGAAGGGTGCGATCAAACTTCCGGATCGCAGTCTTCCTCGCGCGCTGCTCAGGCAGGGAAGCCGATATCTCGTTCGGCCGGTCAGAAGAGGTCAAAGGGTCAAAGCAGTCGAGATGAAAGCGAGAACGATGAAGAAGAAGAAGGTGGAGGTGATTCTAGGAGGAAGCGGGACAGCAAGCGGACGAAAACCACGAAAGATGATACTCGTCCTCGATTTGCTTGCCCTTATCACCAGCATAACCCTGCGAAATTTAGAAATGAGAGAACCTGCTGTGGCCCAGGATGGACTGAGCTTTCACGCTTGAAGTAAGTCCTGACTAAAACTCCGTTTATACGTCTTACTGACCTCTACAGGGAGCATCTGGAGCGCAGGCATAGTCTGCCCCCTCATCAGTGTCTCAGATGCTTGGAACGCTTCTGTAAAGCCGATGATCTGAAGCAACATCAACGGACAAAAACGCCGTGTCCAGTGAAAGAACCAGAAAGTTTTAAACGAAACCTTTCTGACGGATACGACGAGGAACAAGCAGAGAAGCTGAAGGGGCGGCCAAGGCTGGCAGCAACCACAAAATGGAAGGAGTGGTATGGCATCCTGTTCAATGTCAAGCCTGATTCTCCTGACATCCCCTCACCCTGTAAGTTATACAAGATCCCCTCATCGATTTGCAGTCTAAGTAAACATCGGCTAAACGATTGATAAAGACTATGATACTTCTGTTTCGAGCGCCAGGTTCCCAAGCGTCAACCTCGATGAGGTTGAGCGTGTGCGCAAACACTGGGTTGAAGCGAAGCCAGTAGTTCGCCGGCAAATCGCCGAGACTGTGTCAAACGCCTTCGATAATTGCGCACCTCAGATAAAGATCAACGTGGTAGAACGCCTACAGAAGGAGCTGCCTCGTATCATGGCAGGGTTGCTCCCTTATCCAGATCTCGACTCTGAGGAAACCTCCAGTGCAGCCGATGCTCTTGGGGTTTTCGACTGTCTTGATTCTTTCGATTCAGACCTCTACGAAGGGGAGGCTTTCGACTTTTACGAGATTGACCACGGAGTCGGTATCCAGGATCCACTTCCCCCAGAGTTCTCAGAGTATTCAGATTCCTCAACAGATACTTACCAAGCTGGCGGCAGCTCGGCCACTTCTGTAGGAGACGATGCTTCATACCAGCAATTTGACACCAAGTTTATGGTGATGCCGCAAAACCTCGACTTCAATGTGCCCGGCAATTGCTTCTATTGATACTTCAAACGCCCTCGATTACGTTTAATCCTTACCTAGGCTAGGTGGGTAACAGAAGAAATGTCCTCTAAGACTTAGGCTACTAAAATAAAGTAGCCTAAATGATAGTCTAACTTAGCATAAGGTGATCAAATTATTTCGTCTCTTATGCTTTCAGCGGTCAATTCTTCTGACACCCTGCGGCTGGCATCCTTCTGTTTATGCGTGTTCTGTCTCTCAGCCTTTCTGCGCAACGTTTCTGTCACTACTTACCTTTCGTTATTCTCACCTGTCCTGTTCTACACACATACGATTCTTCTTGTACTCTGATGGAATGTTACCATTCTAATGATTTTGCTTGTCGCTTCTGCCATGTTGTCCCGTTGGCTGACTTGGTCATGTACGTTTTCTGGCTATGTACGAATTGTATTTCTCAACTTTATAATGATAGCTTCGGTAGCGCTCCTTTTGATACGGTCTCGTTTGTTAAATACATATTGAGCTTTTAAGATTAGTTACGCTCTCCACCTCTGTGTTAGCAGACGGCAGGTTTCCAAGTCCTAACTGTGTTCCAATACTGGATATAATAGATTACAATCGATTTAGACACTTCACGCTGAGATTTGCACACACGGCGATGGATTCAAATTGACCGAGATATATTAGCTCTAACTATCCTCCCAAGTATATCGTACCGGCCGATGATCTGAAGGGGGACTTCCCAGGTAGGTCAGCGGGCTATTGTCGATGATTCAATGTCGTTGAGATTTGGAAGGGGCACGAGGAGCTGATAGAACATTGTCTCGCGTGAGGCGCCTCCCAACTTCCATAAGAGCCTCGCCTGCTGGTATAACGCGATCTCTGGCGAATACACAGGTGAGGAGGCCCCGAGGCTCTAGGACATCGATGTCTGGGTCGTCTTGACTGCCTCGTCGAGCCCAAGCCCCGATTGCATGGCGAGCCCAAGCACCGATGATGCCGCTGTTGTGATGACCTACGCGCTGCAACTCGTGACGGTCGTATGTGACGATGGCTTGGTAGCGGATATCTGCTCGCTTAGCACTTGGTGTGAAAGAGATCATATCGTAAGGGACCCCATAACCGTTCTGGTCTTTCCAAGTGAAAACAACCCCATCCATGTCGTTGTTGAAAATAACACTGCAGAAGACAGGCTCACCAGCAATACGTGCTAGATTATGGGCCGGATGGGCTGTCAAAGCCTGCACCTTACTGAGAGGAGCATTAACTTTAAGTGTTCTAACCATGATGCTTGTTTGGAAAGCCGAACAGTCCAGAGAGCTGGGTCCAGAGGGGTGATGGCCCTCTGAGGACCAGCCCTGAAAGATTTTGTTAAGGTAGTTGCGAAAGTCCTCGATAGTAGCACGAATGTTGGGATCTGTAGCCCTGGTAGATCGGCGAAGCCACTCGCCCAGTTTCTGCTTTTCTTCAGTAGCAAGCTGGTTGTGAGCTCTGATAGGAGTGCGTGGTTGGCGGTCATGAGCCACATCAGTAAAGCGTGCGATAACAGCCCGAGTGAGAATTTCGGGGCCACCATCGCGTTCACGACGGCCTTGGTCAAATCCACGGTAGTCTCGTGGCTCAAGGGAACGAGGGGATCGACAACGATTATCAGTGCGGTCGATGCTTTCATGATGGTCTCGTGATCTGCCTACTCGAGAAGGTTGAGAAGGTTCATCGGTGGGTCACTTTCATTTCTGAGTGGTTCAGAAAGATCGATACGATGGCCGCGATCTTTAAGAGCTTTAGTATACGTTTGGTGAATAGAATACGGGGCGTGGACTTACCAGGTTGGACGGGCGGTCTCAGGCTCAGTGCGAATTCGTTCATCTTAGGCCACTTCAAGGACAAAGAGAAGAGTTCGTAAGATGTTTTGTTTCTGTTTCGAGCGATGGGAAGGTTGTGATAGTGGTGGGAGAGAAAGACAGAACCAAGAGGGCGCTGTTTCCCGCTGTTTTTGTATCTGGAGAGATGTAGCTCGTGTCAACATTTCTGCCTGTCGAGGAAGTTTCGTCTGGCAGTGCCTTTTTTTCTTGTGCTGGAATCAGGAAATATTGGTTTTGGTACGCGATGAAGTGAGTTTTATGCTAAACGGCAACTTGGGAGGTAGTGCTAAACCAGACAAATTTGAGTTAAAGCCATGCCTACGGCTGAAGAAGGTGAAAGAAGGATGAGGAGAGGAGAAGGAGAAGAGGGGAAGATGGTGTTTTGATGTGGAAGTTGAGGGTTGTGGTGCTGTAGTAACGATGAATGCAGTAGGAGGGTGGTGGGTGATGCACCGAGTTGAAAAATCGGCAACTCGGTTGACAGTGCCAGGCAACTGCCACGCAGTTGCAAAACCAGAACCAGACCATTCTGCATCAACCGAAGATGAGTCACCTGCATTTGAAAAGAAATTCTCGTCTCCCCCGTAACATGCCGTTCTGAAAGCTACCTAGGCTCAAAAAGATCGCGGTCGCAAGGGCTATCTCCTGCTGAACCTAGATCAATGGAAACTGCGTTACAAAAGCATGGTTTTAATACAGTTGAACATAAGCGTCCCATTTGTAGAGTGCCTTTTCGTGGAAGCCCATATACATGATACCCAGCATGACATGTCGTTCAAAGTGGAACTTGAGGCTCAACTGCTTGAAGCCAGCTACCCCATGATATCCATGCCCATGTATGGGTAGGTAAATAAGTGTGCCTGTTCAGCAAAGCAGACTAAGTATTATTGTATTAATTCAATTTATCGCGAGATATCCTAGTCTATGTTAAAAATTACAAATAAGTTAGTCCAATTTCATTAGTCGTTAGCCATTCGTATGTTCTCTCTGGCGACTCCTTTCTCCGCATCCCATTCATTATCTTCCACACGGCGGATCGTCCTTGTCTTAACCTGGATGCCAATCAAGCCTGTGAACTGCGATATCATGGAGAACCTTTGTCCTCCTTGGATCTCTGTCCTCACATTTCCATATCTCTTGTCTCCCAGGTGCAAAGTTGGTTCAAATAGTTTCTTCGTGCGAGTTCTTGTTAACATTCCCAGGAATCCAGTGCTACGTATAGCTGTCTTCGTTGATTTCGAACTCAGTTGCCTGGCCTTGGGCTTATCGGTATGCGAGATCAGTAGCGTTGATTGATTCTGCACTTCGGTATCGCGGGGGTCAGAATCGGCGCAGGACTGCCAGATGGGCAAGCATGCCCAGATAATCAAGACAGCGATCTCGACGTCCATCCAGATAACTCGGTCGTGATATTTCCACACTGGTTGTAATTTCGTAAAGTAATCCACCAAGAGTTGAGCTCGAAGACCGGATACACCAAGCGCGAATGCTCCGAACAAAAGTGCAATCACGTTGCTCAGCCAGGACATGATGCCTCGAGGAAATCGACTCGAAACAAGAGATACCAACATTCCGAAGACCACAATGTTCAAAAATATGTCGATAGCACATGCTGCGTATGCCAGGGAATCCTGCGGCAAGCAACCTCCCGTTGCTCTCTCCTTTTCATCCAGTGCCCATGATTCCCAGGCAAATGCGATTGGTGAACATTTGAATACCCTCAGCAAGGCCAAAACAACAGAAGAGGTGAGAGTGAACACGATGCTTATACCCGTCGCTATCATGTGGCTGCTGGAGAGTGATGTGCGGAGGCATACGAGAAGTATCGAGACTCTTAGCAAGCAAGAGCAGGCTATTTCGGCAATGTCGGTTATGTAAACGAGCTACTTTTATGTTAGACTTGACGTTTTAAGCTGTTATTGCAACTAACCTTCAATGCATCTGTTATAGTTTCAGGTATCGCGTTCCAAGCAATCGAATTGCCCGTCGTTATATAAGCTACGGTTCACTTGTAAGCAAGAGTACGTGAATTAGGTTCCACTGATACTTACAAAAGTGGACAAGCGGGACAAAGGCCGTATACAAGAACTAGATGTCTGTTAGTACAGCTCAAGAGAACTCCAAAATCTTGACTCACTCCGCAGACCGTCATCACATAGTCGTCCAAGGCAAGCCGTTCATAGGTAACCCAACTCGAGTACAATCGAAGCCAAATAAGAATCCATGCTGGAACCTCGGCCAGCAGTAAGATGTAATGATCGAATAAGCTGTCCTTTGGTTTTATGGAACATGCATTGGCATGAATCTTTGCAATTTCTAGAAGCCGTTAATATCTTTCCGGTCCGACCCTTCAGACTTGACCATACCAAAACGTTGGAAATCGGAACACTCGCGCGCAAAGCAATCGTCGATTTCATTTCTTAATTTTATGTTGTTGCAAGTATCGGCTATATTCGCAATCGAGTCGCTGTATAAGCCGAGACACGAAGACTGTCAAGAATCAGCACAACTTCCGGCGCAAAAGCATACGCGCAAACTTACAGTACAATCCGGCAAACCCTTGAAGAGTTCAGGTCTGTCGGCGCATAAGACTCCAGCAATGAGCCCTAGCGAGCAAATCGCCCATGATGTGAGCCTCATACCAATTCAGTGGCATTAGGGCTTGGCAACTTAGAACAGAGTGGACACAGCAAAAGAGGCACGACGAGGCTGAAATGTTTGCGAGGAATGGAAGTTTTCTATTTTGTAGTATATGCAGCAGACCCCAGATTGACGTGGACAAGGGGTCCTGTACTCTAAGTAGGGCAGGCGTGCAGCCGCGTGTAGCTGTAATGAGGCTAGTTCAGGCTCTGTAAGTCGTTACATACCTGTTTGCTATTGATGCCCCCTGTCGATATGGCATGAATGGGGTGAACAAGCATTGACAATCATCTCAAAATAACAAACGTGCTGCTGCACGGACCGGCCGGCGGATCAGGTGCATTTGTTGTCAACATCAAATCCTCGATCTGCCAGTTTATCGAGATTCATTCGGAAATTTCGGTCTGAGTGCTGAGTTGTTTCCCGAGTGAACTCGACTTAGTTCATCGAATGAAACTCGCGGTCTGCGCAAGGACAATCCTTAAGCCTCACCTCATGCACAGCACCGTTGGGCATACGTAGTCAAGAGGCTTCAAGGTTCGATAACAAACTTGATATTGTCGTATCTCAACTGAACTGGCGAGAAGCTTTCTTGTGATGCAATCATCATTCTGCACCGGTGCTATTTGGGGCGACTTAGGCTGAGGCTAACGCCTGAACTGGATCAATTGTCGTCCCACAAGCAGCAGATGAAACCGCGGTTCCCGGACGGCAGCAACGAAGTCTGCGGAGAGTATGATTCGGATGCACTTTCTGCTGACCAAATATCCAATAATTGTGATCTGTATGGTTGCAGTGTAACAGACGTGAGACTTCTCTTGGAGCTTTCTCTGGTTTGGGTATGATAACCTTTCATAAGGTTACATCGAGACTGGAACGACTGTTGATCGCCCGTGCCGGGGATTATCGGTTTCCGCTTCGAGAGACTCCATCCGAGATACTTCCAGAACAAATTTGTTCTTCTGGAGCCGTTAAAGTTGACCGCCGTATGCGAGTCAGTTTTATGGTTTCAGGTTGAATAGCTCATTTTAGCTTTCAAAGTAGTGCGCCGCTGAGTGTGATTATTAACGATTGGTTGCTCACGTGGAAGGTACTGTCAGTTTTGGGAGAAGGAACGACCTTGGCTCTTTGTTGCTTTTTTAGATGGATAGCTCCAACGTTTTATTTTGTTTTTCTAATAAACATCTGACTGACCAAGTGGAAACAGGGTCTTGTTGAATGCAGACCACGGAAAGATGAAAATATAGAGAAATCGAGTGTTCAATTGACGACTCCCAACGGTGTCACTTCGGAGCTCCGAGGGTCCTCAATCGTAGCGATGAACAATCAGAGAGTAAAGTCAACGGAATGTTCGGATGTATAAATGTGACTTTATTAACGGTCGCAACTGCATCAATAAATCAATTGGACTCATGATGGTGTCCAGGTTGCACCTTCTTTGAGTAGGTGATCACATGACCATTCGTATCTCCGCTCGGTACAAGCAAAAATTTCTCCGCAAAAGTTATCAGATGAGATTGATAAAGATATCTCTTTTCACTTGCTAATGCCCCTCAGGATCGGCCCATCGAGCGATTTCTCCTCCTTCTCCTTCGTAACTCCGAGAAGCACCCGCATCCGCATCGGTATTCGCACAGCATTGGACCAAGCTCCGGCCTACGCTGCGCTGCTGTCATCGATTAGGTATGACTTCCTCAGACCGAAGTGAGACCCCGGACTCGGACGGTGACCGAAAGCCTGGGGACCGAGATGACTCGGGCCAGCCGCCCGCCCGCAAACGGCAGCGTGTCCGCCTCAGCTGTCTAGAGTGCCGTCGCCGAAAGCTGTCGTGTGACCGAGGCTTTCCGTGTGAGCGTTGCATCAAGAGCGGCACGCCCGATCGCTGTAGCTACGAATCCCGTAACGGAGAGGTCGTGAATGCCTCATCCGGAGTCCCGCCCCCCTTCGCTCAGCTCGACTCCCGCCGCTTCGTCGATCCCGCTACGGGACTGTCCCCACGAGACCCCGAATTTATACGCCAAGATCATGATCGCATACGTCGCTTAGAGCTTGAGATAGCTCACCTAAAGAGCCAAATAACTCGACCTGGCGCATCTTTCGACGGAAGCACTGTCGCTGGCACTACTACCTCTCCCCAGAACAAAGATGACCCCAATGCGAACGCCAATGTCGAGGACCCTTCGGTCCGCGAAGTACACGAGTCTATCGAAGCTACCAATATGTCCGGCGAGAAGGGCGAACTTCGATTCTTCCGAGGCAGGGGTTTCCGCACGCGATATTTTGGTCCGCACAATGCTAGTATGGCTTTCGTTGAGCTGACCGGCCTATGCCCGTTCATGAAGGAGACAGCCGACGAATGGCTTCGCCCAGTCATTCTTCATGACCGTAAAGACCGAAAGAGAAGGCGCGAGGATCGCGAGAAAATCTTCGAGGATCCGGATCTAGAGCTCGAGGCGTTGTTGCCAAGTAAAGAAGAGTCCGATGCTCTTATTGACGTCTATCTGGATCAATTCGAACAAGTTCATCGAATTGTTCACATTCCCACTTTCAGAAGAGAATATGCCGAGTACTGGGCACCTGGATCTAACAAACGCTATGCCGCTTTTACAGCGCTCATTCTTTCCATGATGGCTGTAGCAAGCTGTGTCCACACTCATGAGAGTTTAAAGTTCATCGGCATGATGTCAAATGCACGTCACTGGGCAGAACGTTGGATTAAAGCGTGTGATGAATGGTCATCGAAGCAGAGTCAAAAACATCGACGTTTAATTCATTATCAGGTAGCTTGCTTACTGTATCTTGGTAAACGGGTCAACACTATCAAGAAGAAGCGTTTCTGGACGGGTTCTGGGGCATTGATCCAAGATGGAATTGCCGTCGGCTTACACCGTGAGCCAAGTCACATGGCGGCCAAGATCACAGTCTTCCATCAAGAAATGCGCCGAAGAATTTGGGCAACAGTGCAGGAGTTTGATATGCAGGCCTCCTTTGACCACTGTCTTCCTACACTCGTGAGCCAGCTTCACTACGACACCAATGCACCTCGAAACTTGGATGATGACGATTTCGATGAAAGCACAACTGTGCTTCCGCCATCAAAGCCTGTCAAGGATTATACGTTCTCCTCATTTCAGCATTTGGCTCGTCAAAGTCTACCTCTACGACTGGAACTCAGCCGTCTTTTGACGGGTCCAATGTCCGAGATAGACTATGACCAAGTTATCCGGTACACCAACGACTTGACACATGAGATCGATGCTCTTCCCTCTTGGGACACGAACGCGGACAACACCAGGGGGAAGAAAAATCCCTTGATCGCATACACTCTGCTGCATGTTCAGTTAAGGCAATATATCATCCCCTTGCATCAACCCTACCTCAAGCTTCGCAAGCAAAACTCGAAATACCAGTACTCCGAGATCATATACTATAATGCAGCACGAGATATCGTTTTATTGCATGATAAACTGTATGAGCAGGGCGTTCGCAGTCTCAACTTCCTCCGAGAAGATGCCCTTACTACAGCTATCAACCTTTGCAGCGTTACAATGTTACAGCCGAGGGGTTCCACCAACATGATTATGATTAATTCACATCATACATTAAAGTTGATTGAGAAGTGCATCGCCATGAAGGAGGATCGTCTTCTGCGGTGTGGAAATAATGAGCCATGGGGATATTCTATTATGTGTGCAGCACTGGGATTACTCGAGGCCCACCTGGGAACCAAGGAGCCCGAAGTCGCCAAGTCGACATCAGCAGAGCGATTTGTCAACTTGCACTATCGTCTCCTTGCTAACCAGGAACCTCCTGTGTCCGGGGAACATCTGGCAGCTGCCATGAATGGCGTGCCACAAGGCAACATGGGACCTGGGCCTACGCCCAACATACCGCTGCACGACCGGCCAAAGGTAATGAAGCTCGACTTCCAAGGCAGGGCATTTCCTAATATTGGTATCCAGTCGGTGACCCCTTTCTCGTTTACGCCAACGATGCCCGTCGCCGCTCCGATCGATCCGACCCAGGCTCCGTGGATGATGGGAGGGGATCCCACTCAGCCCTTCAACCTGGATCCAAGTCTGGAGTTGTTGGGAATCAACCTGAACGAGATTTGGGGCGAGTCCTGGGAATTGGGCTGAAAAACACAGCCTCATGTTGGCTAATACGTAATAATAATAACTGGCGTGGAATTTGTATCTTCACGAAGTGATGGAAAAGCATTGGGCTGGGCGTTATCTTCTTTTTTGAAATTGTCTTATCTTTGATGATACCAGGTACATTGAATCACGACAATTACAAGCACTCTTAAACAAGTCCTAGCTCAAATCGCTATGGACTTTATGGTGTCTTGAAAAGCAACTCCTCTCCATATTATGTGGGTTTGAATATTGAACTCCTCCTTTCAACTGACCATCGGTCTCAGAAGTGTGCTAATGAAGTGTGGTGTTTAACTGGCAGTGATATGTGGTTGAAGAGACAAATGGTGAGCCCTCGCATATCTACGGGTTTCAGCATTCGAATCTTGGGTCATGATTGAGATGAACTCCGGGTTGGTGTGATCCGACGACATTCTCTTTGAAACAATATTTCTTATGGATCGAAATGTCGTAATGCGAGCGAAGACATATATGCCCTGGGTTTAACAGAGGGTTTCAAGGCACAATACGGATCGATCAGCTGTGAAAAGTAGTCATCTCGGACTAGTAAGGTAAATATATAAAATGAAGTTGGTCTCTTACGCCGTGGAATCCTTAACGTCATCGAGACCATATCTGTGAAGTACTATATAATGACGACTTGCCCATCGCAGTATTCTCTGCTCCGCAAAATCTCCCTCTCCTTTGCTGTAACAAAGTAAGGATAAGTATGTCATATTTGCTAATGAATTTGTAATAAAAGGCAAAAATCGAACCCGTCCCAAGTAGGGAAGGGTTCGATCTCACGATGTCCGCACATAAACATCATATTGATTCTGCTGGTCCAAGGTGAAATTCTTGGCCTCGCAGGGGTGCGATAGAAGATATTGGTGCCAGTTGGGGCTTATATGGGTTTCCAAATCCGTCACCGCTATACTGACCATCCTCTATGCTATCTCTAGCAACGTTGTTCCACAGGTGTCATGTATCCATTAGTATCATACCATGTCACCAAGTCGTTATCCAATGCCGAAATCCAAGCCGCAGTTCTAATCAGTACGCCAAGCCGTCTAGTCCAAGTCTTTCTTTCGGACTACGATATAGCCCTCGTCGATATTCCGTGGATTGCCATCCTCTTCGTCAAACGCGAGCTGTTCTTCTTCCACCACGGATACTTCTGACGGCTGCTCAAATGTGCCTTCATGCCATAGAATATCGATCATGGCGTCGGCGACGTGATTGCCCATCCAGTCATAGCCCTCTTCTTTCAAATGCAAACCATCATCCCAGTATCTGTCGCAATCTTGTCTTGAGAGTGCATGATATGGGATCTTGGACTTGAGGTCGAATGCGTAGCTGTCGACGGTTAGTGACTTTTGTAGTGGAGTAATAAAGCTGTATGGTGTTCGCTCCTGCTTACAATTTGGTCTTTTTATGGTTGAGAATACTTTTGTTGAGCTCGTTTCTTGTTGCCGTGGCTTTCGCATACTTTGAGCCGCACTCTGGGACAGTGAGTGCAAGAACTTTAGAGCCTTTACCACGAGCCAGGTCGTAAGTTTTTGTGAGAGATGAGAAGATCTTCTCTGTTGGTATACCATATCCTATGTCACTATAGATTTTATTATTAGCTTCTGATGCGAGTGGACGGTTATAAAGCTTTGTCTGTATGGACTACTCACTTGGTACCGCCAAGGACAACAACCCAGTCATATGTCTTCTTGCTCACTGCGCATCTTAGCTATTGTAGTCGGAAATTAACGAGAAGGACGCTTACATACAGGCTTCTCTAAATCGTATATACCATGCTTCAAAAGAGGCCACATCGCCAGGGACACCGTCTACCGCGATGTCAAAGTCCACTTCTGGAAAGGTCCCTGAAAGTCGGTCCTCCAGCTTGATAGCATATGGATGAGATCCCATTCCATAGCAGTAATAGCCGGAAGTTAGGGAGTCGCCGAAGCATAGTATACTGAGCTTTTTGCGTGTCATGATGAAAGGTGTTTCGGTGTCGTTGTTTTGGTCGTGTGAATGAGGTACGTAGGAAGTGGCGGGAGGGGTGAGCTGATGGCGTAGGTTAGGTGTAAGCAGCCTGGAGGTCGGTAGGCTACAGCGCTGTAAGTACAGAGGAGGTCAATTCGCTTATACTTTAGAACCGTTAGGTAGGAGATGGGGTTTTGGATCGCGCGCAACGACTCGAATTATTTGTTCAGATAGGAACAAGCTATTCACAGTCTCTAATACACCGCTATGAATGTATGGGGTCTACGCCGACACATGTACCCGCGTGATCGCTTATTCTTCATACTATTGATTGTCTGGGTATGGATGTCAGTGATCAGCAAGACAACCAACAAGCGTCACGAGACCAATCTGAAAAGCAAACCTCTCACCAAGCTGCGTGATACGTGATAACTATAGCTTTGATATATCTATATACAGAGTCTTTCCTTTTATGCGGTGATTCTATAATTGTTGAATTCAATAAAAGGTCACAGTCAAGAAAAACAAATACCAAACTCTTAATTTGTGACATACAGGGTAAGTACCTTGGTGAATAGTGTAACACAGCACCCTTGGTCCTACAAACATTGAATCAGTTTGGCAAATGAAAACAAGCTAGAGGAGAAATCCTCATGTTAGGCCAGGCTATTGATACTTGACAAGATGGTGATGCCTCGTCAGCGTAATCAGATTTTAGGTATATAATCCCCAAACTCAAAGATATCTCCAACAACGACCATTGGTGAGATGGCCGAGTTGGTTATGGCGCCAGGTTAAGGTTAACCTTAACACCAATTTCCTGGTGGAGCAATCCTCCTGGGTTCGAGTCCCAGTCTCATCAAACGTTTCTTTTTGCTTTTTACCGTAAAGGTAGTGTCACTATCAGCAACTCAGAGATAAGAAGAAGAAAAAAAGTTCCTCTGCGCCGTGCGATGACGGGGCGTTTGCCACGACATCATAGCAAAAACTTTAGGCTAGTCAGAAGCTACGAACTCAATCCGGGAAGCTTTGACTGCCGGTGATAGCAGAACTTTAGAAACTTCATCCCCTCCCAAAAAGCAATAGTTTCCCCTCAAATGTGTAGAGACTCACCTCCGCATTTTACCTCGTCATATTCAAGAGCTATGACCAGGTTGTAAGGCTGATTTTCCCCTGTAAAAAATTAATAATTGCAAATAGCTTCTACTTCCGGTATTGGAAACTACGTCCCAAAGAAAAAGGCCCACGCTTAAGTGCGGGTTCGTTTTTTCTGCTTTCTGCTCCTGCCCCGCCCCCTCAGTTCCTTCTATTGCGAAATCGCTACTACCCCGCCAAACTTTTTTCCATTTGGTCTTGCCTTACTCGCCAGGAGCCCAATCCGCACCCGAATGAGGCGCTTGCTTCCCACTTACAGCTTTTCTTCTTTTTCTTTTTCTTTTTCCCCTTCGACCTCTTCTGTTCTTCGTCTTTTCTCTTCTTCCTCCCCCAAAAGCTTCTCTCTTCTAGCTTCCAAGATGTCCTCTCAGCAGAAGATCGCCATCGTCTCCGTCTACGACAAGACTGGTCTCTTGGACCTGGCCAAGGGTCTTGTCCAGCAGAATGTTCGCATTCTCGCCTCTGGAGGTACCTCCAAGATGATCCGAGAGTCGGGCTTCCCTGTCGAGTACGTGAACTCAATTCTTTATTTCATGCGGCAATAGAGCTAATTGACCTTTACAGGGACGTTTCTGCCATCACCAAGGCCCCTGAGATGCTTGCTGGTCGCGTCAAGACTCTGCACCCTGCCGTCCACGCTGGTATCCTGGCCCGAGATCTCGCCTCTGACGAGAAGGACCTCGCCGATCAGAACATCAACAAGGTTGACTACGTCATCTGCAACCTGTACCCCTTCAAGGACACTGTCGCCAAGATCAACGTCAGCATCCCCGAGGCTGTTGAGGAAATCGACATTGGTGGTGTTACTCTTATCCGTGCTGCCGCCAAGAACCACAAGCGAGTTACCATCCTCAGCGACCCTAACGACTACGCTGGTTTCCTCAAGGAGCTCGAGAAGGGCGAGATCACCGAGGGCAGCCGCAACCGATACGCCCTCAAGGCCTTCGAGCACACTGCCGATTACGATGCCGCCATCTCCCAGTTCTTCCGCAAGGAGTACGCTGGCAACGGCGACCAGTACAGCGCTCTCCGATACGGCGCCAACCCCCACCAGAAGCCCGCTGCCGCCTACGTCTCCGAGGGCAACCTCCCCTTCAAGACCCTTTGCGGTTCTCCCGGTTACATCAACCTCCTCGATGCCTTGAACGCCTGGCCCCTTGTCAAGGAGCTTCAGAAGGCCCTCGGCAAGCCCGCCGCCGCCAGCTTCAAGCACGTCTCTCCTGCTGGTGCTGCCATCGGTCTCCCTCTCACCGAGGAGGAGAAGAAGGTCTACTTTGTCCACGACATTGAGGGCATTGACGAGTCTAGCCTTGCCCAGGCCTATGCTCGTGCCCGTGGTGCCGATCGCATGAGCAGCTTCGGTGACATGATTGCACTTAGCGACGTTGTCGATGTTCCTACCGCTCGCATCATCTCCAAGGAGGTCTCTGACGGTGTCATTGCCCCTGGTTACGAGGATGCTGCTCTTGAGATCCTCAAAAAGAAGAAGGGTGGCCGATACCTCGTCCTCCAGATCGACCCCGAGTACAACCCCCCTGCTACCGAGACCCGTACCGTCTACGGTATCAACCTCCAGCAGCACCGCAACGATGTTGAGATCACTCCCAAGCACTTCAGCACCATCATCACCCCCAAGGACACTGCCTCTCTCCCCGAGAGCGCTGCCCGCGATCTTACCATCGCTACCATCACTCTCAAGTACACTCAGAGCAACTCTGTTTGCTACGCCTACAACGGACAGGTCGTTGGTCTCGGTGCTGGACAGCAGTCCCGAATTCACTGCACCCGACTTGCCGGCGACAAGGCCGACAACTGGTGGATGCGCTTCCACGAGCGCGTTCTCGGCATCAAGTGGAAGAAGGGCACCAAGCGCCCCGACAAGAGCAACGCCATCGACCTTCTCGTCAGCGGTCAGCTCCCTAAGGACGGCCCTGAGCGTGAGGCTTTCGAGGGTGTCTTCGAGGAGGTCCCCGCTGCCTTCACTGCTGAGGAGCGTGAGGCTTGGATGAAGCAGCTCAAGGACGTCTGCGTCTCCAGTGATGCTTTCTTCCCCTTCATTGACAATGTCTTCCGCGTTGCTCAATCAGGAGCCAAGTACGTTGCTGCTCCCGGCGGCAGCCAGAACGATGCCGCCGTCTTCGACACCGCCGAGAAGCTGGGCATTACCTTTGTTGAACAGAACATTCGTCTGTTCCACCACTAAGCGATACCTGATGTGATATTTTGTTTTTGAATGTTGATTATGAAAATGGAACCGGAAAAGTAAAGACATGGCTTGCGGAACTTGGCATGTAAAAGAGGGATTCCCAGAAATTGCAATCTTTACGATTGTGTTGTTGTATATATGATAGACTTTAACGTTGCGCCCAGACGCTCACTTCAACGTGAATGATGATGATTTTGAAATATTGAAACATGTCTTCGTGTCACTGTTTATTTTGTCTCTATCTCACTCAAAAGCATCCATACGTGAGAATGCGAGCCCGACCAAAATTATCTATTCCCTTTGCTCCGTTCCATGGTTGTCGTTCCGACCCAAAACGCAGATCAAAATCAAATGAATCGCAAATCGCAAATCGCAAATCGCATCGTTTCTATACACACCGGCCTCATTACCCTCAGCCCCCTTCATTAGTCTTCGATATCATCATCGCTAAGCACCAGTTTCTGAGCAAGCAACCCAGTGACGTTGCCATCCTTTACTCCCGCGCGCTTCTTCCGAGGACTCATCTCTTCTGAGGGCTTGTCTGTCGCCCATTCTTCTCCGGCTGGCATGTCGTCATCCGCGTCGGACTCTTCGTCTGGTGCGTTGATGCCCTTGAATGCGACTACCTTTTCGAGATCGCGCAGACGGAAGGTTGAAGTCTTGCGAGCACGTGCGATATGAGTCATGTATGGTAGACGTTCCAGGAGCATTTCGCGTCGAGCTGCGCTGCCGAGTGAGAGCAGGGGTGCGTTATCGGGCTCATCCTCTTCTTGCTTCTGCTGACTCAAAGCAGCCTGTCGGTTCTGTTGCTTGCGCTGCATCCATGAAATATCGCCCGAGCTTTGTTGTGGGCGTCGGAACGCTGTAGCACCATCCATGAGGTTCTTGGTAGCGCCGCCGTCGCCTTTGAGAAGCTTCGTAGACCACATATCCACGAAACTCTCCAGCTCTTCCTTCGCTCGCCAGAGTTTCAGACTAGTTGGGTAGAACATTTTGAAAGCGTCGCTACCCTTGGACATGGAAGACGACTTGCGTTTAACAGGATTAGGAAGAGCGAATAGCATGCCACGGACAGCTACCTGAAATGTTATTTCATCTTGTCGCAACACATGGCTACCAGAATCTGGACCCGAGAAACCACTTCTGCCACCGAAGAAGATATCCCTTGATGGCGAAAGGAGGTCGGCTTGAGAAAGGTACTCGATACAGTCGTTGACGTAGTCCATTGGAGTCGATAAGTCCATAGGATCTGTGCTCTCGCATGATAGAACATAATTTTCATGTAATGCCGAGACAAAAGTATGCGTGTCAGTACCGGTCTCATCGATCAGAGTGTCCACGTTGACTTCTGACCGTTTTGGCCGTGAATGCTGCGAAAGAAAACCCGGAAGTCTTTCAGTAGTGTCATCGCGCGGAGCAAATTCGTCTCTCTTGTTGTATACCACCTTTCCGACAGCGTGGAAAATACCCAGGCTGGCCTCACGTTGCGATATCAACTCGAGACTCTCCTCTTCACCCTGTGTAAGCTTGATAGAATCCTTGACGCCTTTGGACTGTTTTGAGAAGGCAACTTTGTTGCCCCAGTCGCCCTGTTGATCACCCTTCAAGCAGAGAAACTCGAGAGATGAGGCAGCATTTCTGATGTCTCCGATTTCACCAAGGCGCTTTAGCACCTGGGGACCTGGTGTTTTTCTTCTACCAGACTTTCGTGCTTCTTTTTGAACGATCAATTCGAGTGCTTTGAGAAGTAGCGAAGGCGCAATGGCGTTGAACTCGATCATACCCACCCCTGGGTGCTGCAAGATTTCAGGACCAAGGAGTCGATGAGCAGTGAAACTATCAGCCGAAGCTGATGTTGTGGTAAGATGTGTCTCCGAAATGATCATGACTACTGGTGTCACAGGTTCCTGCTGGGAAGGCTTTCCAAACATGGACAGAGAAGGTGTGTTGGCGGCCAGATACTGCAGAATGGTGTTGCGAAACGATGTCAAAGCCGTCGAGGATTTTTGGAACGTGTTTGGAAACTCTTCAATGAGTATAATCCGTTTTTCGTTCTTTCGGGCAGCTTGAGAATTGCTCTGACTGGGCATTGGCACCGGATCATCTGTGTCCAGCGCTCCAAATTTTCCACCACGACCAAGAAACTCTTCGAATTGCGCCGATGCGGAAACAAACCCCAACCCAGAACTTCCTGTTGGGTTTCGCCATTCAAGAAGCTCAGATCCCATGTCATCTGCCAAAAGCCGCATTGTTGTCGTCTTTCCGGACCCAGCTGCGCCTTTCAGGATGAGCAAACGCTGTCGCATACGTCCCCCTACCACGTCTTCTAACCATCTTCTCACGTCGGACACTTTCTTCTTATGCACGGCGAGTTCCTCTAGGTTCCGCGGTCCAAATCGTTCTGACCATGGTCGCGAATCTTCGTTGGCCGTAGCAAGGGGTGTTGGTTTTGGAGGTTTGATGAACTTCTGGCTAGCGCTGAGTGGTGGAGTTGGGAATGGTGGTTGTGAATCATTTCGCAGCCTCTTCTTAGCGTGTTGGCCAACCAGACTCGAAGAGCTTGCTTTTTGCTCTGAAATGTCGTCGTCTTCTGAAATAGGATCACTGATAATATCATCGAGAGGAACAGATCGTCTATCGCTCGCCCCAGTCTTCGCAGCCCTCTGTGCCTGATTGGAGAAAAGCGTCTTCAGATCTGCCGTCTTTCCTTTATCGGCTGCTTTGCCAACATCTTTCGTTCGTTTTGTGCTCGGACTCGTGCTGTTGCGCTGGCTCTGATGCGCTCGACGGGGTAGACGAAGAGATCCATTCTTGGCTGAATTGTTGGCAAGGATCTTAGGTTTTGTAGGGCTAGGAGAAGCTGTAGGGACGCGAGTTTTCGTAGGAGAGCTCGGTGAGGAGATCAGGAATTTGTTCAGGGTGTTTGCACGGGGTTGTTCGTCTTCATCGTCTGAAGCTTCAACGACATTGCGCCGGCGGCGCTTCGCGGGCGGAGCCATCAGCGCAGAAGGTGTATTTGCGTAGGTACCATAACGGTACTGGAGACTTCGCGATCGAGTTGGACAAGTCGGATTGTCGATTTTGGCAGGGTTTGGTAGGAGTGACGATGACGATGCGATGTTGTTGTTAAACTGATAGCTCTGGAGCCTGCCTTATCGTGAACTGAATAATCCACTCTACAGGCAGGGGGGGGGGCGCATAGACCCACCTTTGAGCACCCCGGCCTACGTACCTACCTATGCAGGTATGATCATTAACATCGAATGAAAAGGTGAACAACGAACATGACAGTTGTAAGGGTTATTGGCCAATTTATTTTATTTGTTTTCTTCTTCAACTCTTGCCGAAACCGCCTAACAATAAACTCGTCAGAGGCTTGGTAATATTACAGCGTAGCCAATCCTATCGATCCCATGCAAAGCTACAATTTAATTCGTTTCTCATACAATCTCGTCCCTGGTATCTTATGACCTTAGAAAGTCATCTCAAAATGTCCATCCCTGGAAGTTGTCCACAAAAGTGAGAGCGGACAGAAGGTAGCGGTCGTGAACATCACCCCAGGTTCTGGATGCTTCCTTCAAAGCACGGATAGCTGTCACAAGTCAGATGAAGAACTCAAATTGGAACAATAAACTTACCTTTGACGTAGTGAGCATCAGTGGCCCAGTCAGAGTTCAAAGCCTTGTCCTCGACATACTTCCAGCCTCGCTGTTTGAGATCGCTATCAACATTGTCCGGATCAGGAAGAGGTCGACCCTTCACGATAAAGATACCCAGGACGAGCAGCCACCATTCTCGGACGAGAGTAATATGGTACTTCTCAGGGATGAAAGGCAGCAGAATTCGAACGGCATGGCTAGTTGTTAGCAGGTGCACAAGTAGGAAGTTGAATGCATGTGTGCCTGGCTTGACTGTCGCAACGAGTAGAGCAGCCGCAGCTTCTTGTGACAACTCGAACTGCTTCAAAGGATCATTGATCTCCCAGGCGTTCCAGTATTCCAGGATGATATCCTCATGCTTGTTGAAGAGTTCTTCCATGTCATCCAATTCAGGGCTGATGGAATCGAACCGGCTATCCTTGGACAGTTTGGTGAGAAGCTCCAGTGGAGATGCCGAGGTGAAAGGCGCTTGTCTGGTGTATGCCTGGTTGTCGAGGTACTTGTGGAAGAAGTTGTATTGGACGCAGGAAAGTCCCAAAGCTTCCATGGCAAGTTCCTTACAGTCCATCTCGAAAGCATACCCCAGGTGAATAAGAGGGTGTCCGACTGTCAGAGTTAGCAATTGAGCACGCTTTCATATAGAAGTATACATACGACCACCGATCAGGCCGTGAAACAAGGGTTCATCGCCGGTGAATAGATAGTGTTCCATCTCTTGACGCCAATCGTATTTGAATCGCATAACAAACTTGTCTTCGAAAAAGTCCACAAAAGCACGCTGATATCTCTTGTCGCCTCTGAGCTGCTGCCAGTCATCTTCACCAACTTCAGCAGGCGAAGGTACCCATGCATCCAGTTCTTTGATTTCCTTGTCATAGATATCATTCATCTGAGAAACACTTGCTCCTAATAGGTATGCCGAACTGAGAATATGAGCGTTGTGGTTATCGTATTGAAGGTTGTGATAGACGATGGAGTAATTGGCATGGTTCGCCTTGATTAAATGCTTGAGACATCTTGCCCGCTTGTCCGGGTCTGTCTCAATGTGATGAATCTCAACTGAAGGTACGTTGATCGCCTGACGACTGGAATAGAGTCCCAATAGTCTGTTAACTACAGGGACTTGAGAGAGAATGCCCGCCATTTTGATACTGGGATGGTACGAGATTGATAATGTTAATGGGGAGAGAATAGAGAATGGGCAATGACGTTCAAACATCAGATCAAATTGTACCTTCTGTTGGGGCTTCCAGCGGACACTAACAAATGAAATAGCGGGGCTTCTTTTTCCTTTGGGGGACTCGACAGTTGCACCTTCCCCAATGACAAGACGCGTGCACGGGCCATTCAATTATCAATCTCAAGTTGAGCCGCGTCTTCTCATTAAACTCAACCACTTCACTTCACTTTATTCATACGGGTTACTTCACGAATATGGGCTCTCAACACCCGGCAACGATATATGCAGAGTTGCTCTCAAACATCAGGCAAATATCTGTTGTTGCATCCCTATCATCACCAGCAGATCCTTCCACAAAAGCCGATATCTCAAATGGGGGTCGTCAACTCAACGTGACGCATCAAGGTCATACAGAGAGTATCACCTTGCCAGCGCAAACTTCTGTCGCAGGAGATCTGCCGGTGGCCCAGACTGGGCGACCAAGTCTATCATGGAGACTGCCGGTCTCACCAGCAGAAGCGAAACCTGCCCATTTCTCCCTAGAGAACCAGGCGTTACCGTGGACATCTGTTGACATGAAGATGGGGTCGCCGGTAGGCTGCCGAAACTGCGGAAGCGAATTTGTTGCCGAGGACACCATCAAAACATGGAAGGATCTGCCAAGTGATAACTGGGCCGAAATGATGGAATTTTGGCATTGTCATAAACCTCATGATCATGATCATCAAGACTCTGAGTCCCTAGCCACCAAAGGCTACGGTGCCAATCATGCTATATCAGCCCAACAGGGCGTCGGCTTTGTCGACTTGACTTCATTTCTCTTTACAGAATCTGACTGCCGAGGCTTAAAAGTAAGTATTCATCCAACCGCGACTGATTTTGTTCTTGACTGCGCTCGGCCATACCTCGTTCCATACCGTACCTCCGCATGGGGAGAAAGAAGATGTCCTTGTCGGTATAAACCTTTCAGTGATTAGGCCATCGATACAACTCCCCAAGATTAATGCTTCGGTCGTTCCCACCCCAATGGGCAGCTAGCCTTTTGGAAACCTTCCTCCTGGAATGGGGTCCTGGGTGATGCTGAAGACGCAGCCTCCTTCTTTCATCTAACCTCTCACAGGCATGGGAGTTTGGAGATTATCGAGAGGCAAATTCTTCAACCAGTAGCGTGAATTTATTTTGTTTGTCGACCGTCTACTTACACACTGTAGTATTCCTCCACAACCATGGAAGCTGGATTCGATATGTCCTCGTTGGCACTTGAAGACGATGAAAATAACAAGTTCCTACACGTATTCTGTCGAAAGTGCGCAACAGAAGTAGGCTTGTACAACATTGCGGCATTGTCTGTCACTCTGTTTAAATGGCAAATTACTTGCCAAACTGATACTCCAGACCCGAGCCCAAGCAGTCCAGAGTGCCTTGCAGCGACTCTCATGGCTACAATCTCGAGGTCAGGATCATCCAAGTCCATCATCACGCCACATGTTCTTGGATCTGTAAAGTCGGACTCATCTGTTACACAACAGAACCTCCACCTTTGGGTGTTAAATCCCAACGTGGTATACGCAGCGTCTTCTACCACAGGCTCCAAGACGGCAATGAAGATACTCTACAAGCATATCGAGTCTTCAGAGGGCGATAAGCTGATTACGTCCATGACTTCAGACGTCCAAGAGATCACTCTACCTGAAGCAGCCATCAAAGCTGCAGAGGAGTGCTTGTTGACGAGCAGTCAGTTACTGCCAGCTCAAGAAAGGACCTTTAAGGAGTGGAATGTTGGATTGCTTGGAAGATGGGAGCCTTCTTCCTGAGATAGCAGACAGCACACTTAATAGACAACGGATTTAACAAACATCACATAACAGACAAGATACATAAATCGAGCCAAGCAACTCAGTTAAGAGTTATATCAATTCAATATCGAATAAACGCCCTCATGCCGTTCCACATCCCCTTGTATTATGTGAACAGAGCTTGCTATACGCCTTGTATGCAAAAAGTAAAACCAATTAAACATTTTTTTTCGTCCGGCCAAATTATTGACATCGTTTCTATCAACCATGTCTAAAACAAAAGAGTTATGATGATGACCCGGTTCCGTCCCGACTACATATCTGTGTAGATTTTTGTTTTTCTTTCTCATGCTAAAAGTCGTTATAAAAGATAAAAAGTCCGCCAGGATCTCCTTTCCAGAATTATGTGGTGTTGCGTATATGACGAGGTTGAAGTAAGAAGGAAGAAAATAAAAAGCAAAGGAAATGAAGCAGATATCCTGCCATGCAATCCAACATGGATGTAGCTCATCATGAAATTTTGGCTGAGGGGCTGTTCCCCAATTCAGGTCGTTAGGTTGACACAAGTCAACAGCAATAAGACATACGCGCATACACGCAGAGAGCAAGAAATCCAACACCTGATACTGCAAAACTTGTACAAGGTGGAGCTCCGGTACTTTTCTGACAACTTCGGAAAGAGAAGATCTGGCAAGTGATAGCAAGGGTTTAGAAGAATCGACTCTTCTTCTTCTCCTTCTTCTGATCTTGCTTGAGAATATCATCAAAGGTCGCGCCAGTGGGTTCAGGAGGCGGTGACTCGGTTTGAGGATAGGGGTGATGGCCGCCACCAAGAGCAGCCAGGTTGCCCATGGATGAGTTTCGGGAGCCCATCATAAGACTGGGAGGACGTCCTCCGAGAGAACTGCTACGCTCTCCGAAGGGGCTTGGGGGCTGAAGGGGGACGGGCTCCAGACCCAAGGCGATACTTGATCGCCAAGCTTGGTTGGCTCGGTTTCCACCAGGAGAGTGTGTTCGAGGTCGAAGCGAGCCTGAAGGGCTGCCAATGGGAGAAGGAGGAGTGTTAAGACCATTGCCAAATGAGGGTGGAGGAGTAGGAACAAAGTCTTCGTTATCCAAGAACATGGATCGAGGAGGCTGCAGAGGTGACATCTGAGGTTGTTCGAGCTCATGTGAGGCTGAGTTACCGCCCTCCCACTGAGTAGCGGCAAGCCAGCAGTGACTTCGGTGGTAGGTAGCTTCGACACTGAAGAGAACGGCATCCTGAGAAAGCTCAACCAAGCCACCGCCGCCAGCAACTTCGTACCACATCTTCTTGACTTGCTGATCCGGGACCCAAGGGGGGTTGCCCATGGGAGGCTCGCAAAGGAAGTACTCAACACCCTCGGTGAACTGCATGCCAGGAGCATCAACAACCAGGACAGGAAGCGATTGAATCACCACATAGAGGAACAGCCAATAACCGATACGCTGGTCAGCAAAGTCCTGGGGAGTCTTGCCTCTGGCCTCGCGAAGCTCGAACTCCTTGAACTTGTCCAGGAAGGGAACCTTGGCAGAGTTGGTGTCGTAGTTGTAGGCCTTGTTAAGCATGAGCATTAGCTCGTGCTCCTTGATGTTCTTGTCGAACTTGGCCTGCTTCTTGGGCGAGAGCGTATCGTAAGTCTCCAGAATCGATGTCGCTGTAGGTAATTGAGGGCAATCGTAAGGAATAGGAGGAAGAACGGGAGGCTTGGATCGATCAAACTCAGACATGATGTTTCGGAGAGCAGACATGATCATCTTGTCGGGGTCGTTGGAGAGTTCAGGAACCTCATCCATGATTCTCGAGGTTCGGTTGTTGCGATCAACAAGGAGATCGTAAAGAGCACACATGTCAGAGTACAACACCTTGAGAACAAGTCTGTTGAGACCGCTCTCGGAGAAAGGGTTCTTCTTGCTGCTAGCCTTAGGAGGCCAGTTACCGAACGCAGTCTTGTAATAGCTCAGAGCAAAGCTTCGCATCTTGGTGAATGACTGTCTCCAGATCTTGAATCGCACACTTCTAAGCTCAGTCATGGAAGTAGAGTTGGCAATACCCGAGAAAAGAGCAGGGAAGTCAAATTGCTCCAGATGCATGTTAGCATTGTGCTGTCGGTTGAGCAAATCGAGATGAGCACGTTCCAAGCTGACGCGAGTCTTTGGTGAGATTTGCTCGTAAAGAGGGAGCTTGAGCTCCATGATGGCTGTGTACTTGCCAGCAGCATGGGCAAAAGCTTCGTTGTAGAGGTCGGCCGATCGCATGCGCTCACCTAGAATCACTGCTTCAAGTGTCTTCTCTCGGCTGTGTCGGCAATCCGCAAGGGCGTGCTGGTCCATGTAGAAACCAAAACTGAGGTCAACTGCGTCTCCGAATGTAGTTCCATCGTAGCTAGTGAAGCCATACTCCTCCAAGAGGGCAGCAATGTCGAGGAACGCATGGAAGTTGGAAGGTCGGGCCTTGGTCGCGACAAGAGGTTGGCCAGTCAAGAAAGCGAACACGTTGCGAATGGCAATGAGACGATCCATATCGGGAGCCATCTCTTGTCCGGGGGCTCCGGTAGGCAGGTATAGGTGGAGGCAATCGTCCGATACATCGTCCATGACGGGCGGAGAGTTTGGTGGTGAGATGTATCGGGAGGCATCTTCGGCTGTCAAACTGAGGCGACCGCTGAAGCTCGTGTTCCTGTTTCGTGTGGGTGTCTCGCGTTCGCTCTGGATAAGTTCGTTGAAGAGCCAAGATGAGCTGATAGTGAACTCCTGGACCTTAAATGACGGCCCGCGACCGCTGCCCTTGGGGTACAAGTAAACAAGCACGGCTCCGCTTTCGTTCCAAAGTTCCGGAACCTAATTGAACGCAAATATTAACTCTGGAAATAAGCTTTAACGGGGAAGTAACGTCACTTACCTTTTCTCCGTTCTTGAGAAACGAGGCATTGTACTCGGCTTGTGTATCGTCGGACAAAACCCAAGCAGTCGAGGTGTTTGCGTTGGAAACATCCATCGAGTTGGAACGGGATCTTCCACCAGGCAACCAACTTCTTCGAAGGCGTCCCCGGGTCGGGCTCTGGCTGGCTTCACCTTTAGAGCCGGGTCTGATGGCGAGAGGGGTAGAAACGATGCGGCTCTTGGTGTTGCTGTTGCGGTTGTTGGGAGACTGAACTGATGATGCGCGGCGTCCGCGGTCAGGAGCTGGAGAAGTTTGTCGAGTCTTGAGAGCCTGGATCTCGCCGCCGCCAAATGAGTTGCTCGGCGCATGGTTTAAAGAACCGCTTCTCGTTCGAGCAGCGGGGTTCTCTTTCCGCAGCTTTCCGCCTCCATTGTGCAAGTTGTCTGAAGCTGAGGTAGGAATTGGAGGAGGGGGCATGTTGGGCTCTTGAGGACTCATGGCCGCTCGTTGGACCTCTGGAGATGGAGGAATGGGAGCCATGATCTGGGGGTTGGGGCTCAGCTGATCGTCGAGACTGTCGCTGCCGCGTGTGGGAATCGAGTCTGGACTAGGCGGGAAACCAGCCTGGCCAGGTTGCCTCTGGCCGTGATGCTGGTATGGCACGGCGTCGTGATATTCGTTCTGCATCCGGATGGTGGGTTCGATGATACTGTGGGTAGTGGACGAAGCGCTGTCATCAACGGTCGTAGGAGGGGTTCCAGCGGTATTAGTAGTGGTCGAGGTGTCGGTGGGAGAAGATGACTTGGTGGGTGCAGGAGAGTCGGCGGCTGTGGCAGCGGGAGCGGAGGGGGCCGCAGGTGCTGGTGGTGTTGGCACAGCTTTTGGAGTTGGGGACTCTTCAGATTCTGAGGGCACAACGAGTGAGGGTAGGAAGGACGAAAGGCGATTGCCCCAGAATCTCGACATGCGATTTGTACTTTTTGAAGGAGCCAGGTTTGTGGTTGAGTGCGATTTTGGCAGAGAAACCTTGGGAGCCGAGTCGTTGCGTTTACGAAGAGTCTTTTGCTCGGCGGAACGAGGACGGTCGTTTTGTGGTACAGGCTCTTCTGGCTCACTGGGACCGAGGTGAGGCAGGTTGGTGGTGGACTTTGACGAACCAAAGTTGGTACCTCGAATTTGGTTGATGTCTGCAGTGTTTGACTTTCTCACACTCTTGCGAAAAGAAAGAGAAGAGGAATCAGGGTCCGTGTTTGAGCGCAGCATTGAAGGCATTAAAGAAGCCCTGAAGGACTTGTTCGACGTCATGATGGGCAACAGTCCTGGTTGTGCCTGTCGTTAACCTGACGGGATGGGATCGTCTCCAAAAACGCCAGCGTTACATGCAGCAAGTACAGCAAGTGAGCTAAGAATGGCAGCAAAAAGAGGGTGCGTGTGGCAAGCAAGGCAGGGCAACGCAGCAAGGCAGAGCAATGCGGAGGGGTCAGATAGCGAGCGGACCAGTCAGTAACTTGGCTACTGAACAGAAAAGGAAAGCAAGGCAAAGTAGTGTAGTGCAGAACAAAGCAGTACTGCAAAATAAGGCGAGGCAAATGAATGTCCTAACTTCCTTAATGCAAGCAAGCAACAAAGCTTCAAAGCTTTTTTTTTGTCTCTTGGGTGTAAGGTGAGAATGGAAGCAAGAAACCTGCAAGAAGTGTTGTAAAAGGGGACCAGCGGGTCGGCAATTCTTTATGTCAAAGCAGGACAAGACAAGGAACCGTGGGCAAAGACAAAAAAAGAGTGGAAGGAAAGAAGGGACCAGATCAGGATCAATCGGCAACAGCGTGAGTTCCGTCTACTAAGAAGAAGAAGAAAAAGTCAGGCAAAGCCCTTTTTTCCACTAAAAAAGTACAGTAAGTCAAGCACAGTAGAGTAGTTGGACAGTGACAGTATTTTAGTCTACAGTAGCGTAGCGTCCTGCGTACCTCTCTAGTCTAACTTCTCTACATGTGGCTGCGTGTCAGATCTAGGACGGGTCTTCCCTGCACCGGGACAAGGCCCCCAGCAGAACCGAGAGATGGAGACTGCCTCTCTCGCATCTACAGAAGAAAAAAAAAAAAGAGACGCCCCTCCCATAATTGCCCGCCCCATAGTAAAAGAAAACGACCTGGGAAATCTGAGTCTTGGGTGGCTGTTCCAGGGGAGTACTCTCCAGGTACCTGAACAATATGCTCCTTCAATTAGTGAGAGCGAGAGTGAAAGTGGTCTCTGATTCTGTCTCTCTCCCGTATGAACGGGCTCATTTCTGGATCAACGGGGTCGGGTTTTCGGGGCCTCGGAGCACCCATGAGGATGGATGGAGAGTGAGTGGATACGCAATGACGTTGGCTGCTGAGTGTTTTAGATGGAACGGCCGACCTAAGGAGAGGTACCGTACTGTACTGCACCTAAGAAAAAGGCACCTAGCACCTACCTATGGGAGAGCCAGCCACTTTTTACTGCCGCATTTTTTCTCCTGAATTGTACCTAGGTATTCAGTGTGCCCTGGATTGAATTGGATTGACAGACGGTTGAGACATTGAACGGATATACCGTGTCTAAAACAGTGTCCATTCAATAGACGTCCCGGGCTATTATTCACCTCACCCTCTTACCATGGATGTCTTGTATCCCCCCAGCCAGGTTCATGCTCGTGCTCATCCTCATCAGCCGCCGGCGCCTCGTCACTCTGTGTCGCGTCGTAGGTAACACTTATTATTATTAACCAACGTACTCCGTAGGCTGTACGGATACTCCAGCTTATTAGCCATGCCTGTCTGCCTAGGACCTGTACGCGCTATAATGATTACGGATCCGTGGCATCGGAAACGAGGCATCCAATCCCATCATATCCGTCATCTCGCAGTTAGCGGGTCGGTCTAAGCGGCTCTTTCATCCTTCTCTTCTCTGCGGAATGAGTTGAGACTGATGACAAAGTGGAGAATCCTTTGAAAAGGCCAAGACTGAGACCGAAAGGAGACAATATCAATTGAGGGAGACCTCATCTCACGAAGGCGGATAATCAATCTATGGTTCGGATCCTAGTCTGTTTGAGAGAGAGGTTCGGCTGTGTGAAGTACAGTAAACAGAACAGAACATAACAGAACAGTGAGAGAGTTTCTAGAACGAACGTCAGAAAAAACTGCTTAGCTGAGTTAGCCGCCTGTCTTACTCCAGGGGCTAGGCCATCCCTATGATGCCACTTATTGCCCAGCTGGGCTGTCTGACTGACTCTGCTGAGCTGTCTGAGAATTGTGAATCAATAATGCTACGGCATGTCATGTACAGCCCCTTTGGCGTTGGACCCTGTCGCTCCTAAACATGTTGTTGCTAGGGGTTCCTCGTATTCAAAATGTTTGATCTGCCACTATGCACATATTTGGTCTCGAATCTCGAATTTACCCTCCTCAATTCTGACAACCAGCATAAAACACACCTGAAATCTGATCAATAGTCGCGGCACGAACCAGTAATATATACGGCAGTCTAGTCTAGACCATTACCGCACTGTACTGTATCACCCGTCGTCAAGCATTTTCTGTAAGAAATAGCATTGAATATCTACATTGGCCAATGCTCTCGACCTGGGGTGGCTTTGGCCAACCGTCCTCAGGGTTGCTTCCTCTGATGAGTTGTCGTTCAGTTCAGTTGCAAGGGGGGCGGCCAAAGGTAGACAAGGAAACTCGGTATTGGCGTTTGGTAAAAGACCGAGAATATCCATTAGCAATAAGCTGCCGCTATGGCGAACCAACCCCAAGATCCAATATCCGATTCCGGTAGGCAGTGCGGGATTGAAGCTTCAGCTCCGAGCAGAGCTCCAACTGCTACCTCATAATGGTAAGCTTCTCTGGACCCTGAGTTAGGTACCTGAAGATACTTGACAGTGACATCAATTCGGGTTGACAGTATCATTGCACGGTAGCAGCGCTGAAGGATTGGAATTAATATCGACACCACTAACCACCTTCTTGGCTTTGAAAGCTTCCAGGGATTAGAGCAGGATCAGCGAGAGCCAACCGTCAACCCCACGCTCCCTGTATTTCCACAGTGCTTGGCCGTTTCGAAGTTTCAGCTACTTTGATCTAAGGGGGTTGACAAATGTGCAGTCACTAAGTTATGGATGTTCAAATTGAGGTACAGTACAATAGTGATGGGGAACACTAGACTGCAGTTCAGACAAACAAGAAAGCGCTTAAAATCAATGGATGTCAGATTCTGTCCAATCTGAGGTTAAATGTCTGTCGTCTTCTCCTCAAAATGTGATCAACATGGGGTTGGATTTTGGAACTTCCGAATCGCTGCCACATCCCGTACCTGATTATGTATCCGTACTGCACTGTATTTTGTTTCCTTTTGGTGGCTGCCGTCAAAAAAATAACGCCTAAAAGCGGTTGCAATTATCATCGATACAGTCAGTTTGTCGGGTCGTCGAATCATGACAAGTCCCTCTCCCTCTTTCGGCTGCGGCACATCAACTGCATCATCGTCTTCATCCGTCATGATCCTTATTGGAGTCACCCATCACAGTCAGAAACAGAGCCTACGCGGCAATAATTATCCGCCCTGCCTCAAAAGTCCTACCTCTGTACCTACCTATATGGCCCCCCTTTTTTTGCACTCTGTTTGACTATTTTATTCCCCCTCTTCCTTTTCATGCTCGTCCGTTTCGTGTCGTGTCGTCTCGTGGCTGATGGTCGCCTCGTAAGATCGATCTGCAACGAAACATGAAGCCCTGGTTGGTCGTTTCCGTCTCGCGTCACGAATGGATCGTCTTAGTAGGCTGGGCTGCTATTGTTGTACTGTACTGTACATTAATAGTAGGTTACAGCAGGAATTCCATTCCCCTCCCATACATCCAGGGGGGGAAATGTTTCTCTTTCTCGTATTGCAGACCGACTCAAGAACACATGATATAGATTGACAGTCTTTTTGTTGGCAGATAGTCCATCTTTAAACGTTAGTGAGTCTTGGAAGTTCGTACCCGACTCGTACTCTGTACTCCATAGTCTATTTCCGACTCCGGCTCTACTCGGCCGACTTTTCCTGTGCTTGTTACACGAATCTCTAGAACGGAACGGAACAGGCGAGTGCAAAAAACTGTCCGTAAAACAGGGGGCTGACGGCCCTGCATGTTGCAGTTGCAGACTGCAGTAGCATCCAACAACCGCCCATGATCGTCGGTTTCCTTACTCCAGAAAGAGAGTGAACGTTCAGGGATTCGACCAACAGAAAGTCAACTGTCGACAGTACAAGTTACCTGTCATTGAGCTGGGCTTTTGAGGTGCGGTGCCACACCGGGAACCGAGCTTTGAATATTAACGCCGCAGTAATAAATTAATATCAGAGATGTGAATATCTATTTCTTGTGTATTCACAGAACGACATGTTCATTTTGAGTGATTTCAACCCCCAAACTGCCCAACTTCACACTAAACCACCAAGGTATCCAAGATTTGCGTCATACTTTGAATCCCCTGGCCTGGCCCAGAAGTTAGCTCATCGTTCGCTTGGAGAGGGGACTTGGCAGTAGCCGAAATTGGCCCTGCACATCGGAAAGAAAAAAAGGGAGAGACAGAACAGAAAGAGTAACAATAACAACAACAAGAAAATAGCGTGAGGAGTTATCAAAGTGTCGACATTTCAATGGCTCATGCATGCTCTTGGCTCCGTCTTTTCGGCTCCAGTTGTCGGGGAACGTGCTTGACACTAAAATTTAAATAAAAAACCCTCCCAAAAATCCACAATCAGATGCATCTGCATCTGCATCTCGTCTGCGTCCTCCTCTTTGCATTTGCATACTGTACTGTACCTTTTTATAGAACATTCCGGAAAATCGTCCCACCCTGGTCTGGAGCCTGGTCCTGTTCAGTCTTCCCCCTCAACATAACAAGCCAAGCTCCAAGCTTCAAGCCCAAGCCTCGCCCAAAACGGCCCTGCGGATCCCGACCGCCATTACAGTCCCGTCCCATGGAGAAGGACGAGAAAAAAAGAAGACGAGCTTCCTCAGCCACGGCTTTACGTATTTCCAGTGCCATATTAATTGCGCTTACCAATTCAATAGGTGAGGCGGGCAGGACCGACAACGCAGACCCAAACGGTTGAACTCAACGGTACGCGGTACGGTACGGTACGATGAGCTCCACTGAATTCGGTGCAACATCTCAGGTAAATATCGTCACGAATTAAGGGTCGTGTACGGTACATCTATCACCCGAGATATATTGCTTGTGTTGTGGGTTTGCCAATTGACCCTCAAGTCAAGTCGAGTCGAGCCAAGTCAACAACGCCACAGCCACGACAACGGTGTGTATCAACTTGAGCACGTCGGCTTAATTTAAACAACATAAGCAACAAGTGCTTATATACACTAAACTAGACCCTAGACCCTGACTGCATCAATGCTGTGCTTTTTCTTCCGCTCTATAAGATTCAAGCTTCTTTTTAAGCCAACGTCGAGGCACTGCAGACCATTAATACTTGACTCAAGAAAGTTCATCGCAAGACTCACTGACTGGTTCCTTCTCTGGTTGTGCTATGATTTCACGTGACGTAAACTTTCCTATTCTGGCAAATTTCACCTCACCGAGACCCACCTTCCCATCAGACATGGAAGGATATCATGAATGTTCAAGGAAGGAAGGAGGTATACCTTAATCGAACCTCATCTCTCTATCGACTCACAGCTTCCTCATAAAATGAACACAATATCTTTTGAGACCTCTCAACCCACTCTAGGCTCTCCTAATGACATTAACTTGGAAGAGTTTCTCGACGTTGAACGTCTTTGTAACGGTGCTTCAACACCACCAAATGAACCGACCCAGGCTCAGACATGTCTAAACGAGATCATCATCCCTGCTCCTAACAATACCGAAATACACCCCAAGAAAAAGGGACAAGATGATACACAACGTGGCAGTGAACTGAATCGTTTACATACACAGCCAAGACGCAGAGGAATTCGTTCAAATGTCTCATCAATACCTGAATATGCCGTCATATGTTTCCCCTCCAACCCCACCAAGCCCGACGGCATCAAGAAGAAGAGAAAGGATTTTGATGAGAAGAGACGGCAGGAAGTTGCTCAGGTCCGCAAGAGTGGTGCTTGCTTCCGATGCAAGGTGCGACGGATATCTGTAGGTTAATCCCTAACTACACTAAATGGTCTCGAATACCAAGCAGATATTAACTGCTTAGTGTGGTGTAGGAGCGCCGTGTCAGGCATGCCAGAAAGCCGCCGGCATCCTTGGACGAGAGTTGTGTATTCGTGAGAAACTGACCAAGATGAGGTTCAGTTCTGGGGGTCAGTTTGAACACTGGACTGGATCCATGCCTGAGTCTAACAGCTCTAGATCTTCACTACATCGATTACACTGCACGTCTACTCGATCAGGAACTCATCGCTGGCACCACCCACCTAGGGCCCCATCGTAAGGTCGCGTTATCGATGGACTACCCAGGTAACCCGGCTCTAGAAGTCGAGGTTCAGGACTACTATGGAAACAAAACTCCGCCATGGTTCTGTTGTTGGGTCGTGACGGACCAAGTTGGGGGCCAGGTCGAATCTTACCGACAAGAAAGTGCCCGATATGCCCTACCGCAGCTTCTTCCACCAAGCCATCTAGTCGACTGGGTTGAGCGTATCATCGCTCACCAAGAAACTCGCTGCATAGGGTTTCAACAAACGGTAGATTCTTTCATCCTGAGATACAGTCAATCGGAGTCCTCCCTGCCGATGGTAAGCACCATCTCATAATGACGCCTTATTTACCCGCTGACACATCTCAGCATGACTTTGTTCGCAAAGTTCACAAGCTTAATTGTCTAACAAAGATCCGCCTGGGGCTTATACTATGCGTCGAAGAGGGAGGCGAAATGACACCGCCTTCTTGCGCCCTGCATACCCAGTTCGGTCAGATCTCCAAAGCGGCCTCCCAACCAATTGAGAAAGAAGTTCTCTTAGAGCTGGAAAAGCTGGTGTTTGGAACTGGGGGCATCGGTCCTGAAAACTCGATAGCCCTATGGGCCAGTCTCTGGTGCTTGATCCTGATGTATCGGAAACTGGTTCACACATATATGGCTTTCCAAGAGTTCCCATGTCACGTTCCAGAAGACTACAGCGGTTTTCCAGAATCCAAGCTTGAAGTCGGTACGCACTTCTATCACTATCTAGTATCCATCTACGCGGCTATCTTTCGCGTAACCAGTCCTTTATACGCCGATTTTCGAGTCGCGGCTACGCGGAAGCTGCTAGACGATGATGAGTCTCTAATAGACGCTTTCATGAGCTTGCGCACCGAGAGTTTCTATTTTCGTGAGCGGCCTCTTATTCGTCACTGAACTATAAACTAATCTCATCTTAGAAAGAGAGTCGATGTCGATGTCAGCATCGCCCGATCAGCTATTGCGCAGGATGATACTAGATCGGGAAGCCGGGCTTAGACCCAAGCAGCTTACCAGTCACTGATTGCGTCTATTTGTACATACTTGGCATCATGGCAGTCGGGATGTTTATACCAATAGTATTCAAGTAGTTAATCATACAATGACTATAAAAAAGGCATACAAGGCGCGAGTGACTAGGCTTCTATCTTACTCATATTACGTGCCTTGTAAATCATGCCATCTTTTATATATACTCCACATGGTAACAATACAATAGGCATCATGCGAGTGTGTGCCATAAGTCGCTGCAAGTTGAATAACTGAAAATTAGGTCGTTTTGCCATGCTGCTTGTAGATGAGAATTCCAAAGAAAGAGTTGGACATTTCCGTAGATCAGAATATTCACATGTCAAATAATCAACATCACCACTGCAACTTCTTTCGTTGTGTAATATTGTAGTATTATACAATTACTTCAGTATATGCTAATATGCTATGCCCAATTTTATATACGCCTACATCCAAAGTAGGTCTTGTAAATGCAAAACGCCTTTTGATGATGCTCCGTTCCTGAGAACTTTCTATACATGTGAACCGTCGAGGTCCAATTTCCTTATACATTCCATCCATTAATCATAGCCGCACTATTTTGGAGGCTTCCATGTGTATCATACTGAGTTAGAGTGGTTTGCCTCAGAGCGTCACCTTTTGCCAGCGGCCTCGCTCGGTGTGCCACCATTTCTCCTTCTCTTTCTTGTCTGCCACGATTCCCTCGCGTGCGTTCCATCGACCAGTGCATCCTGCCTTTCCACCAGCTAGGCTCTCGCCTGCATCGCTTTCGAGGTCGCGAATGTCGATAAGACCACCTTTGTCATCCGTCGTCCCGCGGTCGGGGTGGAGGTGGTACTTGATGGGGCTTCCAGCCGTGCCCATGAATCCTGCCATGCTGAAGGTGTCGTTGAAAGTGCCGTCTTCGTCAATCACATTGACTGTGAACTTGGGTCGGGATCGGGCTTCTTCAAGACGTGTTTGGGCTGCCAGGCGTGAAGTGTGAAGATTCGTGTGGGGTTTGTGTCGCATGTCGCCAAAGGGTGAGATGGTTTCCCGTGGGGGAGCAATCGGCGATACGTTGGAGGATCGAAATAGGCGTGTAGGCGACATGGGACTTGCTGATGCGCTAGGCAGTGGTGTTGAGTTCTCGGACTTCTCAGGTCGATAGCGGTCCGAGGGAAGATCGACCCTGTCAACAGGGTAACAGAGTTCCTGGAAGACGCCTTCGGGATCGTTGGGGGTACGCAGGATCCTCAGAGCTGGGAACCCTCCTGCACCGATGCTTCGAGCGAGGATGTCATCTGCGGCACTAACGCATGATGCATGGCTCGTGATGTCCCAGTGCAGCTTTCGGATGGAGTTGCTGGTCAGATAGGGCATCAACCAAAGCGCGAAGCTGTCATTCTCGGGCATGGTGGGCGGGAAGGCCTGGATGAAAGAGAAGTTGACAAGGTTTCGTAACTTAGACAAGATGCGAGCGAGAGCAGCCAAAGAGTCCATAGGTGTGTGTCGGAGGGTCAGTTTGCGCAGGGGGTAGCTGTTAGCTTGCGTCGCAAACGCTGAGAGACCATTGGTTGTTACACCGCTGATGTGAGAGAGTGTGAGGGACTCAAGAGCAGGGAGAGTGAGAAGAGTGCAATCGTCAAAGCTGTTGGGCGGGAGGTTGCAGAGGTGAAGGTGCTTGATTTTAGGCAGACGCTCCAGAGTTTTCGTAAGGAGTGTTTCGGGCGTGAGAGTGGCTCCTGGAAGACAGTGAATAGTGAGGGTCTCAAGATTTCTCCAGTTGTCGTGGAAAGACAGAAAGGTCGCTTCCTGAAAAGGCTTGAGCTCGCCAGGCATGACCAGACCGAGTTGCTGGGTATTCGACTGGATGCGCTGCTGTTTCTGATGAGGCGAGACTTGAACAAGCCACTTCATCTCCTTCAGGTTTGTTCTCGTGGCCAGGGCATGGAAGATCTTGCTAAACGAGTGGTCATAGATAGGTGAAAGACCAGAAAGGCTCTCAAGGTTGGGACAGGCCATGACGAGTGAGGCAACAAGATCCTCGTACTCGGCGAGGGTAGAGCCCTTGGGGACGACTTCGTGAGCTGGGACCTTGAGTGTGAGAACGAGGTTGGCGAGGTGAGGGTTAGCACGGAGGATGCGTCGAAGCATCATGACTCGAACACCCTGAGACATCTTGTACTTCTTCTTGTGGACGGCTGAGTCTGAGCCCACAAGCTGGATATCTTGGTAGAGAACTGTCTGAGCAGGCATGTACCACTTGCGACAAGACACAGCAACATTGGTCGCATCCCTCATCCAGCAAGTTGCACAGCTTCCACTCTTCTCTCCGGTGTGAAGATTCCTCAACTGCTCCATAATTCCCAATAGCACAGGAGCAGGAAGTTTTGAGAAAAGCTCATTTGGCTTCATGGGGGTTCTCGTGGAAGAGGCAGACTGTTGCTTGATAGGCATTGGTCGTTGGTACATGTAATCGGGTCGCCATTTAGAAGCAGAGTCGTTGGTTTCCATGCTCGTTCGGCTTCCCCAAGAAGAGGTTCTCTGTGTTGAGCTCATAGTGTCTCGAGATTGAATTGACGATGCGGTTGAGACCGAGATGTTGGAGGGTTGGCGGGGGTGGTTGATCTTGGGTCCCTGTTTGGGATAGGCATCGCGACTCTTCTTGGGGTCTGCAAGGGGAGTTTCGAGAACGGTATATGTAGGACGAGGGAAAGCAGCAGGTGAATAAGGATCCTTGTCTGTCTTTGTTGCTTCTACTTTTGTACTTGTGTTTGCGAGGAAAGCATTGATGGCTGTTTCTTGTGCTGTCGAGAGATCCTTGGGCGTACCAAACATCGTGGGATGTATGGGTCTTACTGAAACTGTAGTGTCCTTCATTGTGGTGTCGAGTTTGAGCTGACTCTTTGTGTATTTGTCATTTCCTTTTCTTATAACCGGGGGAGGACCAGCAGCGTAGGCAGAGGCTCTTTTTGATCGAAGTTTATTTGCGCCAGGACGGCTGGTAGAAGATGTTAGTTAAGGTAAAGTAAGGGAGTGAAGAAGAGGAATCCAAAAAGAGTAGATTGTTTGGAAACAAAAAGAGGCTCCGCAAATGGACGGAAATCATTATAAGGAAACAGAAGGGAAGGAACATGGTGTGATTCTAACAGTTCCTTCCTTCCTTCCCGGGGAATAAAAAACAAACTAGGACTAGGCATTAATCGGCCTCATAAAACCATCCGCTTTCCTTCAACTAAAAGGCAGATCTGACGTCGATTATTGTAGTCAAGTACAAGTCTGACAGGCAATTAATGGCTGTGCCGTGCTGTAGCGTGAGGCTAACATGACTTGAGTCCAGGGGACAGGGCACCTTGAGAGGTGAGGAGAGCGCCACTAAGCACCAAGGAAGGGGAAATTGTGGGTGGGTAATTTAAAGGGTGCAGCATCAGCATCAGCGCTGTTACCAACTGAACTGCAAGCGCTAAGAGACACCATCCATGGGATCGGATCGGATGCGGATGCGGTCTGAATCACATCATCCATCACCAGAAGCAGCAGAGAAACGCCATGGCTTGAGACAAGTAGAAGCCTAAGAGACAAGACAAGACATGACAAGACATTAGGGGTGTTATTGTCTTACATTTCCGGATAAAGAAACAAACAAAAAGTGTTGACGGAAACAAACAAGGGGTGAAAATAAACAATGCGTTGTTCTCTTCTGTTGGTGGTATAGGATAAATGGTGTTGAATATGACCATGGATCCAACCTGCACCGCAATTGACGAATAGAAAATAAAATAAAAACTTACACAAGGTCACTCGATCGACGAGTGTGTTTCTTCTTTGGCGTTTGAGCTGTAGTCTGATCTTGACTCGGAATCTGAGTCCCTGAAGAAGGGTTCTCATCTGTCATGGTCACCGCCCAAACATGTCTCCTAAACTCTTCTGCTCTTTTATCTTCAATGGCCGACATTGAACTTCTTCCATGATGAAAGAAGCGCTGGAAATCCTCTCCATGGTGATTGTGCTGAACCTGGAACATGGCCATTTCTGTACAGTACAGTACTCGCAATATGTTGTGTCGCGTCGCGTAGCTTTTCTTGTGCTGATCTGGCGCCCTGGATCGGTGGGTGTGGAGATAGATCGACGAGTAACTAGTAAACAGTTGACCTGACCTGACCTGAATTGAATAGAATAGAAAGCCAAATGTTTCGTGATAGGGTGTCGCCAATAATCCTCAAAGTCGGTATCCGAAAAAAGAACAAAAAACAGTCGTGTCTGCCGTTCGATAATAGTAATAATATCCCGAGTATTGGGTTGCCGGTCCAATAGCAACAAGAAAAGAAATATGAAGGGACAAGTATAGGACAAGGAAGAGTAAGATAAACCCTGGGCAAAGTGTGGGAGGGAGGTCAAGAGCTTAAAAAGTGAGAGGGGATAGATCAGGGAGGCGGCTATGGCTATGATTCTAATTCGATCTCATAATAGCCTGTCCTAAAATTCAAGGGGAGGTTTGGCTCGATTTGATTCGTACCGGGATCTTAGACATGCATGAATTCGTATACAATAGTATTTTCGTTAATATCGGTAAAATAAGAAGAGGAAGAGTGAGAGTGAGAGAAAAGTCAGTCTCTTAAATCAAACCACGATACATTGGGTCTTGATTCTTCTTTAATAAAATCATTGGTTGCCCCCGATCGATCTCAATGAATGATCACATAGTGAGGAAAAACAAAAAACGCCAACAGGAAAACCAAGATTTGGATGGGACCAATGGAAGAAGGAGACCCATCAACCAGCCCAACCCCTGCTATTGCATCCTCCCAGCTAGCAGATATTCCCTGCTCGGTGGTGTTTTGGATTTTCTGCCCGGGCCTTGTAAGTAAAGAAAGTTAACTTCTCGGTTGTTTACTACAGTACGTCTACATACGGGGACATTACACTAGGTACTGTAAGGCTAACTAACAAATCTGGGGTTTAATAGAAGCTGGAAAGTAAAAAGGAAGAGAAATTCTGACGTAGCTGGTAAGGTTTAAGCGAGTTTTTACTTTTATCTTTTTTTTTACTGCCAACTTGAAGGACTTCAAGATGGGCTGGGCTGTTAGTTAACACGGACACTGACGCAAAAAGCCACAGGCCACTAGTACCTGGTTTCTTGCATCTTGCAGCAGTAGTACGTACTAACCCTGCTGTGCCCAGACTCTAGAGGTCCCCAGTAACTCCCCAGCCGCTGGCCCATAATCAAAAATAGCATAGACTCGAAAGACCTTCCTCAGAGGCAACACATGACATCCCTGCACTTGTCCTGTCATATACCGTCTGTATCACCCAATCTTTGCAATGACTACATCCTACTGTGACTCTCAAGATGGATACAACACAGCCCAACGACCTGCGGATCCTATGACTCTAAAGACATCACTTCATCCAGTCGCTTTTCAACGTGACTTGTTTAGTCCTAGGCTTAGGCTTAGGCAGTAACTCTTCTAAGCGACCGTTTGGTGGGGAGCCTGCTTAGCCGCAGTAGTAAATCGGTGGCTGGATGCCTCTCTGTTTGTAACCTGTACTATCCAGTCAGTACCTAGGTACTCTAGACCAATACTTGACTCAAGTTGTAACTCATGTTACTTCCCCAGAAACAGACATGTTTAACCACCGATTTTGTGCATACACACACATGCTTTTTTCAGTCTATTGATTGCTGATCATCGACTTTGACAACCAGCCTGTGCAACAAGGACAAGGGTCCCCAGACTTTCAACTTTTCCGATCAGAGGCAGGGAACATCTACTGGTCTTCCCTCCGCTCCCCCTTGCCCAATGCCCAACCCGAGCAGGGGAACCATCAGTAAAAAACAACAGGATCTTAATTATTCACGCACATAACAAAACGCATACGCAATCCAAGAGTGAGATATCCATCTTCGCTTATAGACTGCGGGCATAAAACGCCCGAAATTTGAATCCACAGATAATATTCATCAAATATCAGAATCTCGGCACTTCATAAAGTTATGCATTTGCGTTCATGGTTTTCATAACTCCTTGCCAAGCAGCTCAACGCCCATGATTCGTAGACTGCATCCTCTTTTACGGTTCACCGGACAGTAGTCCAGGATAGGATATGTACGATAACTAATACAGGAAGATACGTGCGCTGTCATTCCCTCTGTGGGGGACTGTCAAGAAAACGAAAAGAAAGAAAAAGCCCGGTAGATCCGTCCTTCCCGTAACAATTACGAGACCAGGGTATATCTGGATATGGATACAGTCATTGTGGCTGGGCCTGGCTATGGTCTCATTCTCTGACTATCCCCATTTCTTCGATGTATCTTCTGACTTTGACTCGACCTCGTTACAACCTTGAATTCCCACCAACTGATTACATACATACCGCTTCTTGCGAAAACATAAGGCGAGTAGCAAGGATCCCATCCGTATCAATTGCTTCCAACATCGACGATGTCATGTTTCCATCACGTTGCTGTTTTTCTCGCGTACTTCAGCCTCGGGTTCGCTTAGAAACTAACAACCCGGTGACCCATCTTTGTTTCCAAGTTTGAGAAGTTGAGACTCTCATATCCTCGGCTCAAGTAACAAGTGAAATTGTTAGCTTCTAGGTACTCTATACATTCAGCAAAGGTCCGTGTACTGCATCTTAGCCTCGCGATCGCTTTCTTAATGACGCCAAACTCCAAATCGCCTCCATTCACATGCAATGCAATGCAGCGTTTCCAACTTCCGGCTTGGTTCTGAAACTTAGTCTTCCACTCGCCACATCTTGGCGCGTGGGGATGATACTGAGTGGCGGTGCGTGGCGCAGTTCTGCATCCATCCTACAGTAGCTTACCTAGTGTAGGGTGATCGACTTCATTCTTCCTCCGAACCGCCTGCAAATCGCACTCTCTTCGAAGGACGCGCGGCGACATCTCCTGGGTTGTTTGACGAGGCCTTGGCATCATTCTGATGTTCGCCGGTTGTAACTGTGTCGAAACCAAGTGTCCGTTTGAGTCCATTCGTCTCACGGGATCTTAAAGCCATCCCTACACCGTTTGTAGTCCTTGTGGGGGAATCGTCCAATATCAGCCCTTCGTCAGGGTGCATGGTACGTCCAAATCCTCTCCTAAAGATATACTGGGGTGTGTTGAGAGGCGCCATTTGATCTTCTTTGCCTTCGCCTCCAGCCACCGGCATAGGTTTGATTTGTGCGTTCTTAATCCAATTGTATATCGGTTCAACATCCAAGATAGACTGCACACGGTGGTGTTCCGCCTGTGTCATGTGCTTCTTTCGGTCTAATATGACCTCTTCGATGCTGTCCTTGAGCACCAGTGTCTCAACGAAGACCGCCCTTTGCTGACTGATGCGCCGTGCACGACCAATTGCCTGCGCCTCAACTTGTGGGTTGAGCACTGGGCTTATGAAGAATATTCTTGATGCCTCTCTCATGTCTAGACCAAACGCTGCCTGTGAGATGTCCATCAATAGAACCCTATCTTGTCAGCGCTGATTAAGGCGGCAGGTGGGTGTTAGAAGAATTACCCTCTAAGGCTTAGAGTACAGAAATAGAGTAACCTAAATGCTAGCCTAAGCTAGCATAAGATAACTAAGTTATTTCGTCTCTTATGCTTTCGACGGCTAATTCTTCTGACGCACGGGAAGAGAGTGATTACCTGAATTTGGGGTTGTGGTTGAAAGTGTTAACATATTGGGCTCTCCTCGTGATGGCCAAGCCTTTGGCGTAAATGAGGTGCTGTATTTGAAGCTATTCAAAACATTAGCGATGCCGGCCGTATTATGTTTGTTCACTCACAACTTCGAGCATCCCAGCTAGGTACCATGCAACATTGTCATTCTCGTAGAAGATGAGTATCTTCTCATCATCTTGGTACTCAAGAATCCTATCGATCAGGTAGGAAAGCTTGACTGAGGCAGTAGACGTTATGTTCGCTTCCTCCAGCGGACCAAGAGCACCGTCAACGATGGCTTCGACTTCAGGCTTCACTTCTTTTGAGCCACGACTACGTATGCTCGGGTGTTGATCGTCCCCCAGTTTCGTATTCCCAGCTAATGTTTGTGTGTTGTTTCCTGGGTCGCCTAGTGCACGCATGCGCTCCCTCTCGTCGATTCCCTCTTGAACTAATTGGCCATTCAGCAGCGAGTTGAACTCGTCAGGTTTTGACGCCGATTTATAAACTAGTTTCTGGAGAGCCACAAGCATGTTTGAGGAGCTGCACATGCCGTCCTCTGTATCACCATCCAGTGACCAGGATTTGCTGAAGTTATGCGGCAAGCCCTTGACAAATATTGGCAGCTCGTGGAACTGGTTGCTAAGTGATTTGAGCTTGTTGTCTACCACAACATGACCGAACTGTATCGCTTGCTCAAGAAGGTGGCGGTCTTCGTCGCTGATGGGAATTTTCTTTTCCTGGAGGAACCCTTCAGCGGTCTCGACAGCTTTAACGATGTCTTCTCGTGAGTAGAAAGGGCCACCAAAAAAGCTTGCCTGTTTAAGATTTTGTACAATTTGTAGCAATGCTTTTCTTTGCTTGGTGTGAAAGAAGTAGTCCATGTCGGTTCGTTGCGATTGTACAGCGTTGAAGATGATCATCATCGAGAAGATGTTTAGAGACATTTGGTCTTGGTACGAGCCTTCCAAAACAACTAGTCTCTCATTTACAGGAGGCAGAAGATCGCCGACCTCTTCAAGACGGTGTCTGATAATTAGAGAGTTTAATGTAGATCTCAAAATGCTCCAACGGCCTCTTCCGGTCGATTTGTGTTTGGGAAGAAGCAGATATGTCGTCCAGTCCGCTGTGGTGTCTCCAGAGTCAAGACAAGTATTGGCCCATGGGCGGGCTTTCAGATAGAGCGCTGCAATCGCGCCGATTTTCATCAAATCCTTCGTTTCCATTTGGAGATCAGGATTATTTTCGTCTTTGCGAGTCTTCGTTGAGTTTGCTACTTCATTTTGCATCGCATTTGTCTGTTTAGCCGACTTTTGGGCGTCCACTCCATATAGGCCATGGGAAGGGGTTCCTGTCACAATCCAGCGCGACGAGAAGTGCAAAGAGTCTAAAACGAGTAGCATGTTACTCTTGCCGCTTATCTTGGAATTACCAAGCTTGTGTCCCTCATCCACGATGCATCGTTTGAAATGGACTTGTGACAGAGGAGACTCACCGAGTCCTCCTTGTCTCTTCAATGCTTCCAGCCGGGACTGGGAGAATAGAATCATGTCATACTTCAACAAATCCGTGGGCGGCGGCAACTGTGTATCTCTTTCCACTACCAGAACCTTCAGGTTCTCAGTATGTTTGCGAATCTCCTGCCTCCACTGGGCTAGCAGGTTGGAAGGCACCACAACAACGCTTCCATTGCTGAGATAAACTCGTTTCTTGGGCATTTCCGTTGGCTCAGTGCAACGTCTTCCGGTTCGCCTTACATCCGGTGCAGGTATAAAGTGATATCCAGGGTTTCGCTCCAATGCTTCGATGCAACGTGTGTATTCGTAGCCCGACTGCGCTTTGCAAAGATTAAAGTAAGGTTTCCATGGAACCGAGTTTCTGGTAGCACAAGATGCAGCCATTTCCGCCAAAGGAGCTAAGCGCTTTCTCTTTGGGCTATCTCCAGCCCGAAAATGCTCAGGAGGTTGGGTCGGTAGGTCTTTCGTAGCAAGGATGAGTGCGAGGCAGATGATAGTCTTACCGGAGCCCATCTCTTCAGCGAGAATGCCACCGCAGACTCCATCATAGTAGCGAGGGTCTTTTAGTATAGTACTGGCAACTGGATCATAGTACCAAGATCCGCCTTCTTGGTCTTGTAGCTGAAGTAAGCGAGGGTCGAGGACCTGCTCAGGCTGGACCTCTTTTTGCAGCATCAAAGCCGACGATCTCCGTTGATAAGGATATAGCTCTGACTTCAGGTCTGGAATTTCACCATCCAAAAGGCTGCTCATGGCTGATCCGATATAGATATCCTCGGTGCTGTCGATATTAGGAGCGGGTGACGGAATATTGTTGAAGAGCTGGAGGAGGGACATGCCTTCGTCCTGGCCACTGCTTGAGCTGACGGATTCGTGCACAAGAGGACTAGAGCGTATGTTATCCGTTTGCCCTTGCCATGCTTCTTGTGAGTAATTCAGCTGTTTGAGGATCTTCTCTCGTGACTTGAGTAAGAAACGGTTTGATCTGTCAACGGTTCGGCGCAATGCATCATCTGGAAGAAAATAAACCCTCAAAGTACCACGGTCGGAATTTTTGTCTTTGACATTGAATTCGAGCCTTATCCATGAACTTCGACATAGTAGAAAGTATGGGCTGAGCCATTTTATCTGGAACAGTTTGGCTTCAAGGTCGTTGGGGAGGAAAGTGTCAGCATAATCGTCGAGGTCCGAGTCGTTTGAAAAGGAACGAAATCTTCTCCAGCCCGAGAGATCTTCTGAATTCCAAGTTTCAGATTCCGTACAAACTTCTTTCTTCTTAGATTCCGTAAAAACTTCGTCCTTCTTGATGCTTAAAGATCCAACTGGAATCAGAGGCGTTGTTTTGGTGTGCATTTTAGCAGAGCAACGCCACTCACGCCAGGGCAGCGTCAGGTGACAAGTCGATATTTGCTGTGCGGCTGATAGTATCGAATGATATGACGCTTTTCGAGCGTCTTTAGATGATACTTTCGATGAAAACCGTCTTGTATGGGCGTGGGATGAGAGTACCAAGAGGGAGGAGGTGGGTTGGATGCCTAGATACAGTTTCATTCTGACGCAAGCACTGTACCAATAGTGTACTGGCTAGGTAGGTAACAGAAGAGATATCCTCATGATTTAGGCTACTAAAATAAAGTAGCATAAATATCAGATCATATTAGCATAAGTTGACTAAACTATTTTGTCTCTTATGTTATAACGGTCAATACTTCTGATACCATGCGGGCTGGCACGCCCCGAGACAGTGTTTAAGCACTGTGGGACGTTGTCAGCATCGCAACCTGAAGGGCAGACAATGCCTACCAGGTACTAAGGTACCTACCTAGAGGAAGGTATCTAAAATTACACGGACAGTAGGTGACATACCTATACTTGGGTGTAATAAGATTGTTTACTTGATATTTGATGTATCTGCGTGCTCATCATTTGATGATAGCACGCTTCCCTTTGTTGGAAACCGACTTTGGAATATAGCTTCCTGGCCTCAACTACCTGCAAGGCCAATCATGACCCTCGAATAAAGGTCATGGAAAGGCTGTGCGCTATAAGCTAAATATAATCTCAATTCGAAGGAAGAGCCCGATACTGTGCCTTTCAAACTAACTATCGGTTTTGATTTGAGAGACGAGGCTCCTATTGTCTTATACGACCGACAGTGGTGACTTGGGCAAATGACCTGATGGGTCCCTTCCACCCCCAATCAACGATGGGGTGCTGAGAAGCCCAAATAGAACAACGTTGATTGCAGGATATCAACCCAGAGTAGTGAATGTGGTTAAAACAATGAAGGACTATGTTCGGTCTAGATTATTCAGCTTCTCGCTAAAGCAAAGACGAGAACTGAGAAATATCCTAGACCCCCAACCAGCTTGTTAAGAGCTTTGTATGGATGGTAACGCAGTGGGTAGCTTGCGAACTGACTCAAAAGGAATATTGGCCAATAGTAGAAAGGCTGTCGGTTCCCAGCAATAAGAAGGATCAACTTCGCTGGGTCTGGTCACGTCACATGCTCGTGGGAACTCTCATGCATTGTCTTGAACATGGTGCCTCACTTTGGTAGGAGCACATGACTAACTGCTTTCTGATTCGTTGTCACTGGCTAAAGGAGGAAGGAACGGCGGGGACGTGCCTTCTATTTTCTAACATTTAGGCGAGCCGGAGCTCGCGTGGCGTTGAGGCTTAAATTTGACAGCTGCCGGAGCCGTTGTTCGGCCCCACAACGGGATAGGACGCCGGGTGCTTAAATTTAAGACCGACGATGAACTTGTGATGCAAACGAAGTTTGATCCTCGAGTGATATATTAACTCTGGGATGTTAAATCTAACTAGTTCAAATGAATACTTAACTCTTGCATGTCTCTGTTGTCCTGGTTTGATAACTGTGAATAAATTGGCTGCAGAAATGTTTAAATCTCTGAGTTTGTCTCAATATTGACAATGGCTCGACTTGCACGCTGATGTTGCTTGATCTTATTTTCCCCATCTCCCAGACGTCGCAGCCATTGATCAGCGATGACGAACAGGTACGCCGAATATGGCTCTTACACTCAGACCCCTGTCTATATGACCGCACGTCCCACCTTGAATTCGAACGAACTAAGCACATCTAAGTTAGCAACACCAACAAATTAAGTGCTGACATTCGAAAAGGCAAACTTGGGATAAATCAAGTTTCTCTATTACGATAGCCCCTGCGATAGTTATAATAAACGGAAGCTAGTAGTGCGACAGATTGTGTGCTTTTGCTCTTGTCGACAACATAACCGTATAACCAGAGACTACAAGGCCACCCAGGTTCGCACGATTGGCACACTACCAGACAACAAAGAAAACTACATACTTGAGTGACAAACAAAACTCGAATTGGCTAGTTTAGACATTTTAATTTGCGAATAAAACTAATTGGGGGCCTCAAACTTAGTATATCGTACCTTTCCATCTGGACCTGCATAAACACCAAAGACCGCATCACCAACATTTTGATAGCTTCAAAGAGGGATTGACGCGGCAATACTAACTTTTTTTAAACCCCCAACTTCATATCGATAAAGTTCCGCCTCTCTCTTCCCACAAACACATTGGTAGACGCTATACCCGTGATCTAGGCTTGTTAGCAACTCGTAGCGTTGACCCGGACTCAAACCAGACGTCGATTTTCGGTGAGTGCAGGGATCTTTATTGGTCAATGGGAAGCAAAAAGAGTGGAATTCAACAAGATGCAACCAATGAGAACCCCTGTTTTCACCGAGAATTGAAGAGGAGGATGGTGTAAGTGAGCAAGTCCACCATGAGCCTCCATTTGAGGCCGAATTATAACTCTCTGGTGCCAGGACGTGTCTCTGAATCGCTCGAATCTTGCACGCAAGCATCAGGCACATTGGAACTTTTCACCTTATCGTCTTCTGACAAGTATTTGCTGCGTGCTTCAATTCGCCCAGCGCAGAGATCAAGGTTCCACCAAGATACCTCCTCGTGACTTACACCGGATACAGTACATTACATTACAGTTCTCAAGATGGATAAAGGAGGTGCTCCTGCTGCTTTCCAGCCGAGGGGCTTGTCCCAGATAGGTCAAGAAAACCCGCGTGTTCCCACCTCCCCGGGCCCGGACGACGACGAGCTCCTCTTCCGGACCTTCTTTGACTGGGATAGCTACTGTAATTCCACTCAGACCCAGGACCACTTGGTCCCTTCTAGCTCCCCTCATACAAACTATCGGGATCTTCCCAAGCTCATGACTGAAATCCCATTCTATCTTCACAATCTTTCACTTGGCAGAGTTGAGGACGGGTACATGAGGATGACCCCTGGCCTGAGCCCGGACGATGGAGGGATCACCACATCCGAGTCCATGGGTCAGACCCCACCAGCACTCGTTAGAGGTGGTAGCACCTCTCCCTCGTCTCCCTCTAGCTCTGTCTATTTCGACGGCGTAGAGGATGTCCGTCGACGTCCTCGAGACAGCCTTCGAGAGGTTCAGGCCCAGGATGATAAATGGACCTACCCTCAGAACGAGTATGCCTCAAGCGGATATGGATACCCTCATCATATCCAGGTCCGCGAGTCGTCCTCTCGCCGCTCAAGCCACAGCAAGACGCATTCCCCTCCGTCAACCTCTGGTGTCAAGCGTCAGCGATCTGTGGAGAAGAGGTCCAGACACCTCTCAGACCCTGACCAGACAGCCGACGTCCGCAAGAGTGGAGCATGCGTGCCGTGCCGTCTCTCCAAGACTCGCGTAAGATAACCATCCAATGCCTATACCAGGCTGTCCTCCCTCTGAAGCATCAACTGAGCCAATCCCAGTGTCAAGACCGTGGCGTCTGTCCCTCTTGCCGTAAGGCGTTCCCAGACCACTCGCACCTGGTCTGTACCCGTAAGACCCCTGCGGAACACGTTGTGATTCGTCAGATAACCGGTACGTCGAACAACACCCCCTGGTTCCCCAATATCCCAAGTGAGACACGTACACTGAGACATATCGCTTTTAGATGTTTGGTCCATCGACCCTGCCGAGGAGAGGCGTGTTGTCGACAACGAGCCTCGCTTTCCCTATGCCAAGCCCAGAGACATCCTCATCTACTTCAACCGTGATGCAGAGTCTCCTTATCTCCGTGCATCTGTCCAAGCATATCATTCCCAGTACGGAGTGGACGAGAGCCCCAGAAATGCTGCTTTTGAGCGGGACAGATTCCCCAGCTACGCCGAGCTGCAGCGTTGGGTTGAGGCCCAAATCAAGCGCGAGGGCAGCACCACGTTCGAGCATGCAGTGCAAAACTTTTTGCGCTCATATCATGAGAAGGGCCATAGACTTCCAAAGGTAACACTTGCAACCCATCCTTGTTCGCCCTTGCAGTCGTCAGTATGACTAACGTATGTGTAGCACAACCTCGTCTCCAAAGTTCACACCATGAACTGCTTCTTCAGAATCTGGAAAGCTCCGCGCTTCACCTGCTGTAGCTCGTCCAACAAAGTCTCCCAGGTGCCATTCACCGTCCAGGCCGAGCTGAGACGCATTGCATGGAACGCAGTTGTGTCCCTTGAGCTCGATATCCTCAAGCTACTTGAGGATATACAGCAGGACTCGCTTAAAGAGCAAGAGAAGATGGCAGTCTGGGCAAGCTTGTGGCAGCTCATTCTCATGTACAGAGACATGACCATTGCACATGAGAGGTATTTCGCTGGAAACCCCAGTGCCCAGGACGATGAGAATTTTTGTAAGACACTCCAGAACGAAGTCCCAGCATTGTGCTAACGAACATCAGTGGAGGGTTATCACAAGCTCTACGAAGAGTTCTTTCCCTTCATCGCAACATTTTACCATGGCCACTTCAAGACTCCTAAGAGAATGGAGATTTCCCTGGACTGGCTCAAGGACACCAAGATCCGACAGTTCGCTCAGGATATGATAGATTCCAAGAGAGAGTTTTGTAAGTATACGTTACCTCATCTCCACCAGAAACACTGCTAACTTACTTTCAGATGAGAAAGTCCAGCGATCGTCGCACAAAGTTGATCAGCGACTGGGGGTGTTGGTAGTCAACCATGAGCTCAAGAAGATCTCAACCAAGAGACGCCCTAAAAGTAGCACCAAGAGCAAGGGCGCGTGATGTTGTGAAGTTACCACAACCATCATGTCCAGTCATTACAGGAGTGTGATCTGTACAACGGAAAACAAAAAGAAAAGTGAAACCAGGAAAAACACAGAGAAAAAGAGAAAACAAAACAAACAAAGGGGTTTTTACATAGTCTGTTCTTCTTTTATGATGATGATAACGAATACAACAACAACGTTCGCTGCAAATGAGCATAATCAAGTGGGATCAAGACAAAATCATGGATGTATTGGGTTGACTTTCATGCGGATGAGAAAGCGCATCATGGCAACAGGCTCACTTGGGCAGTTATCTTGAATCTCGGCTTCTTTCCACCATTCTTTTTGGCGGTTTTCTCCACTCTATCGGCGAGGTCTTCTAGACTGACACCCGCTATGTTGGCGGAGGCGACTCCGATCGTTAATACAATTTTGTCTTTCTTGTCATCTGCTTTCTTGAGATGTGATTTTATGCTGTGTGACTGTTAGACAATACGATCTTTTGTGAAACAAAAGCCGATAAGTACTCACCTGATGGCATTGTTGACTTCGTCTGCAGTTGTTGGAGCAATGGGTAGAACCATTGCTAGAATCCCGGCTATGGCACCAATGTAGGAAGCCCAGAAAGGGGCGTCTATATGCTGGCTCTCGAGAAGTGCAGACAAGCTTTGCTGAAGCTGTGAGTCCAGATGGTTCAGGTGGCCTCCCCATCGAGCCGAGGTTGAAAGCGCCAAAAGAGCTCTTCCAGTGTGTGAGAGGCCGGGAACTTCAGCGTCTCGGGTGATTGCATGATGCAGTGCGAATGACGTGTTGTTCTCCGCATCATGTCCCTGACGAGTCCAGATATCTCGTGCAAAAAGGACATCCAAACCAGGAGCTAGAACATTTGGCACAGTAGAAAGGTCTACTCCCTGAGGGATTGCATCCTTGAGCATCTTTACCACGGCGTCGAATACGGGCTTCTCGTCTGTAGCAACGTTGGCAAGAACGTTTAGGGGGTTAGACTCGCGCATTTCGACAGGAAGCTTCATCATAAGAGCGCCTTGTCGGTTCGAGCCACCACAAAATGTGACGTTCCCAATATTCGGCACCGCGGCAAGCAGAGCCTCAATGACGGTAGCAATTGCGGGAAACTGTTGCCGACGGCGCTTTGAGAGTCCGAATATGCGACCATCATGCTCCTCATTGATGCGACGCATATGTTTCACTTTGGAGAAGAGGGTACCGGGAGCCGTATACCCGTTGGCGTATGGAATGGGATATGGACTCACGGGGTCCTGATGCATCAGCATACTGCCATAACCACGGAAGCCACCGCCACACATGAATACGTTTACCCGAGAGTCCTTGCCGCGAGAAGCTCTAATGGCGTCGAGGGTAGGGAACTGGGAGCATAAGTTGGCATATGCCTGCTGCATACCAGCCTGGAGCTTTGAGATCTCGGAAGCCTGGACATCGGCTGGCTGCTCGTGCAGGACGCGGATCAATCTCGCAGCTCCAAACGGCAGGCTCACACCAGCCCGGGCAGCATCGATCTCATAGTTGGGCTTGCTAGTATCGACCCACGTCATCTGCACGCTGCCGCCTCCGAGATCCAGGAACAGAGCGCCACCTTCAACACCTACAAGCCCACTGCGGGAACCCATGATAGCGCCGAACAGAGTTTCCACCGCGGGCTCAAGGATGCTCACTTTGAGACCATCGGTCACTGAAGCGATGGCATCGAGCATCTCAGCAGCATTGTCAGCGCGACGCATGGCCTCTGTAGCGAGGATGGTGATATGCCTTGTGGGAACTCCATGCCGCACAGCAAGCTGATGGAAGCGCTCCAATGTCTTGGAGACGGCAGTGATGGTTTCAGGCAGAAATACCAGACCTCTGGGGGTGGTCTTGAGGGCATCAAAGAGTGAGATAGCAGCCCGAGTTGAGTAGATTGGGCGAAGAAGACGTGTAAATGGCGGCGCCAAAGAGGTGATTGAGAACCGAATGCCGTTGCTGAAAGAGGATCAGACATTGCATTTAATTCTTTGTATGAAGGTGGATATACCTTCCCATATCAACTATAGCATACAGTTGACTTTCGCCTTGAGGGTTCCATGGTGTAAGAGTCTGCGACAGGTTGTCGAGAGTAATAATGTCTGGTGCATTCGAAGCCATGGTCGGTCTCGGCGGTGAGATAGTATGATGGCTTCTGATAATGATATCTGAAGAACAACTGAAGTTTGCAAAGAGCCTGCAGCGTATATACTGCAGCATGCGCGTGCTGTAATGTATGGTGTTCTACGGCTGACCTGCTTCGATGGTGGTGGAGAGTGACTCCAATAAGGTGTGAGTTAAGTTAGGTAGGGCAGGCAGAAGCTTGGCTACCTATTCTATGGGGCTCATGACTGCGGGGTTTCGCTTCCGTTCCGTCCCGTCTCCACTCCCCGTGACGGCGCCGTGTCACCCGGAGCCGCTTGATTCTTGGTTCGGGACGGTATCACTTGAGTTTCAATAGAAGTAACTGTAACGGTTACAGACTGGCAGTACAAATACTTCTTCTGGTTGGTACTTCATTTGTTTTGATAACACATCTTAGCTCGATAGGCTATCATTACTCTGTACCATTTGAGCCTGATTTATCTTATGGATTCTGACTATGTGCCACAAATCAACGATACCTTAACAATAGATAGGCACGGAGTGCTCTTGGAGATATATTTTTGCATGAGGGGCAGTTCTTTTGACCTCAATGGTACATAGGAGTGGTGACGGTTATTGATTTCTAAGCCATTTCAATTTTAAACGTGGCAGATAAACCTACGCATTATTCATTATCAATTTTCCTCTCTATACTTCATGCCTCCATGGCTCTACACTATCTATCTAGGCCCGTCGAGTTCGTTGTATACATACTCGAAAGCTCATAAGAATGCACCGCCCAGGTCTGGCAGACTGAACAGGGTGAGCAGTTCCACCTCGATAGGTTATTGATAGATATGTCAACCGAGTATAAGAAGTGATCACAACCTGGCAGTCTACAGAACCAAGCACTATTCTGTCTATACTACCGTTAAGCTAGGCTGAATCTTTCCCTGATTGACATATCGATAGCGGGCGTACATCTTCATGCAATGCATAGCACGCCCAATTCGGATACCTAAAGTGTCACGTCATATCTCATTATTGCTGTATCCAGGTCTCGTGGTTTGTTGGCAAACATTTCTCTTGAGTGAGAGCGTTTCATGGTCTAACTTCCGTCTAACTCGAATGACATCAGTATCAGTGGTCCTTGAAATGCCGGCTCTTGGTGATCCAAGCTTGTCTTCCTGGTTAATGCTGTCATACAGTATGAAAGCACCGTCGCAGTAGGGTAGGTCGGTATCAAGTTTAGCTGAGGCGATGGAATCAGCACATAGTAAGCGAAAACACAGTGTTCCACCCACTTCCTTTCTCGGCCGAGTCTCTAATACGTCCTGATTTCTGATTCGACGAGTCTGTAGCTTGTTGTGTGAGCATGGAGCAGCCACCCACCCTAGACACACAAGGCGTCGTCCCATTCCATTATTCTGGATAAAATTCCCATGTTCTGGCAGACGACACGCATATCTGCAGAATACTTAGCCAAACAAATGCCAGTATACTTACATGATGCATGCTGCTATACAGGAGAGACTGCCCGAAAAGCAGTACATCGAGAGATTGAATGATACGATTCGCTTTTGGTACAAGCAATGGAACCCAACTATCTCAATCAGGCATGGAATCTAGCTTGTGTCACTGTCAATAAGAGGTTCTCTCTGATTGGCTGCTTGAGTAACGCGTCAAACGCGCTTTGTTTTTCGCGTCTGACTGCCAGCCACCTTCCTTGTTTTTCTCAAGATGCTAGTTCTGGGTAGGAGCTATCTTTGGTTCTGTCCAAGGTTTTACTTTTCACCGAGACGGAAGGTCCAGATCTCTAGGTAAGGAGGCACTACCCAGCTGAAGGTGAGGAGAAACTAGGTACTGTACACACCTTTTTAATTAGATCTGAACGGGAAGTCACGATGGAGCATCTAGTGAGTGGGTTTATTTCCATGGATGTTTTGAGTTGTTTACTTACATGCACGTATCGTGCTAGTGGACATCAGAAAAGTTGTCCTCTCAAACTTGGGCTAATAAAAATAATCAGCCTAGCTGCAGGCAAAATTGCCAATAATCCGATGGATTTATTTTGCTCTTCATCTCTTGCTGGTCGAGTTTTCTGTGACCTGCACCTTCCGAAGCGTCATGCTGACCCAGTTTCTCCAATGATTGCCCCTCACCTTGCAACCCACCAAACCAAACCAAACCCACCTTCATCCACTAACTTATACCAGACTTGACTTCTATTCATACAAACAAACAAACCAACCCCCATTCCAGGATCAATCGAATGCATGCAAGTGCGGGCAGGCGACCGGATATGCTGTGTTATGCTTCTCCCTTGTGCTGCACTTGCACCGCACTCGACTTGCGCTACGCTACCTACAATACGCTACGCTAGAGTACGCCGCCGCGCTGTCTTTCTTTCTTGCCGCCGGCTTGCAGTTTCGATTTGGGGCTTCGGCAGGGGTCGAAACATGCTGGCGTTGAATCTTGTGCGAGCTGTCTTCTCGTTGGAGCATCACATCATGCTGCTATCTTTTAGCTCTCGCCATATGCACCCTCGTCCTTCACTCCCATCCAAGCATTTCATCCTCGAATTTCTCTTTGCAGACGCACATGCTGGCTGTAATAAGTGGTGCCCAACTCCAGCCTCAGCCAACGGGGAGCTTGGGAATCCTGGGTTATTTGTGTCTCAGCAGCAGAGGCTCGGCTTTCAGATCATAACAAACAAACATGACTTTGAGCGCGTTTTCACAAAAAACGCCGATTCAGAGCTCGTCATCAATATACTATTCTCTGCCCTCGAAAGAATTCAATTCCGATTCAATTCTCTTAAACAATAAAATTCCTCTGATTGTTCCATGTGTGACAAGCACTCGGCCATTATTCACGTTTGCCTATCTGCAACCACTTCATACCCAAGAGGCCGGCTATACGCCGCATCTCTATGCGAGGTCCCGAATAAGTCTCAGTCAATACAGTATCAGTATCAGTACAAACGGCCGGCCGCTTGGGGCTGACCGCTTCGCTTCTGTCCCAGATCAAAGGGAATATACTAGCCACTGCTGGCTATTCATTACTATTAAGATCTTGCGACAATTAACTGGGAAGATCCCTCCAACCAACAATACTGGCATTGATTCAAACAAAACACAACAATACCATACCTACAACACGACACAACACAGCGAGGTACGCAGGGTCTCAGTCGGTTGTTCTCTTGTGCCATTCCATCACATGGTCTCGATCACCTTTAGGATCATCAATCCCCTCATAGAGACCTATCAGAATCGCTTCTCTAGCCAGGGCCCTTGCTCGTTATCGCACAACGTGCCCTCGTCGCCCACTGACCGCTGCTTGACCTATTCCCTGTCACGGACGCTGCCGGGGTTGTTTTGGACAAGTGCTTCGCACTAGCACGTCGCTTGTTGGGGCTTACTACGCTGGCTACGGTATTCACCTTTGTCAAGGGATTTACCCAGTGGACCTTGAGAAGCTCGTGAGGAGCCGTAGAGGTAAAGACACGATCACCGAGTACAACACAGCGTATCGGATAACATTGCATAACATCGTGGACCGCTCAGGTGTGAGTTTTGCAGTCTTATTCCCTCCTTCGACCCTGCTGGACACGAGTTGGAGAAGCACAGCAACCTTGAAGCTGGTCGGCATCCAGCCAACAAGCATTTGTACAGCCCGCCTGCCAGGTACTGTACCTACCTCGACTGCAGCGTTCGCGCCACCCGCTGTTCGCTGTTGGCCCACATCCACAGCCTTGACCAGTTGTCTCATCGCATCTCTCTGCCCTGGCCGGGACTAGACACCACAAGGAAGAGACGTACTGTACCTGGCGAGCCGCCCGTCCATTCCCAGCTGCCCTGCTCTCCACTCACCTCTCCCGTTGAGCAGCTTGACTTGCCCGTTCATACATAGCGCACACTCCCGCCCACCACACCCACGTTTACTTTGATCGCCTTTCCCTCCTCCTCCCACTCACCTTTCTCCCATTCCAGTCGCTCGTTTGCGCTTCATCCACCCTTCGTCTCTCGTACTTCTTGTGCCTTGCGCCGTCTTTCGGTCGCGCAAGCCCAGCCTGTTTGTTGCTTTTTCGATTTGAGGATCATCAATTACGAAGGCGCGTCGGAACGAGACCGCTGCCCGCTGTTATTGACTTGCGATCGGAATCCACAAATCCCGCGGTGGTGACAACAACAATACAGCCGCTACCTCACAAATGACGACAACAATAACGACGACGACTCTTGTATAACTCTTTCTCTGGACAATTACCTGCACTCAGCAATCTGAGTCCCATACGCGCTCGAAAAAATACGTCGAATTTCCTGATCATTTCGTTCAATCTCCGCGACAGTTGCCACGCGCACAAAACAAACAATCAAATCGCACACCGTCGCGCTTACGTCCTTGAACCGAATTTGAATTGCGCGACATCAGAATTTATCGATCGAAGTCGCCGAGAATTTTTTACCGAGGGCTTTAACTCAGGATCACTCGACATCTCGACCGGATCTAAGACAACGTTGTCGCATTCCGAAACATCTGTATCGACTCGCTCTGCGCTCGAATCGCGCCGCTTGCCCTTGTGCTATCTTTGAGCATCATTACCGGGACTTCAAACTCCGCGCGATTTTGGAGCGCCTGCTATCCAACATGTCGCACTTCCAGTCTTTGGCGGCCCCTTGGTCGCGAAGCGCACGCCGCGAAGATATTCCCAGAACGCCAGAGCCTACTTTGAATAGCGAAACACATCCACCATCACCGCCCAGGCCCCGATTTCGAATCAAGAGGAGGAATGCTTCCAACCTCAATGCGCCTACTGAGCAGTTTCTTGCGTCAGTCGCTGCTGCCGACATTCCCATTCCCAGCATCGAGGAGCCTCGCGTTCTTGACGAAGAGATGGCAGAAACATTGTACCCCATGTCACAATTCAGTAACCTGTCTGATCTGCCCTTGACGCCGCACGATGGTCTCGATCGCAAATTCTCGCCTCCTAAGACACCTGCTCCTGATGCACTACCAACTTTGTCACCAAAGCAATATCCAAACTGGTCTCTCGACTCTACCCTCAGCAGCCTCGACTCCAGTCCCGATTATGAGTCTAGCCGACCCTCAACCGCTCACTCGACCCACACGAGCGCTTCCTTGTTGAGCTACTTTTCTATCAGCTCAGACGATTTGAGTCAATGTGATAGCCCAGAAAACGAGAAAGCCGATTTCAAGGATGACCTGTCAAATGTCGACGACAAGAGCAAGACCTTGAAACCAGCTAAGAAGGAGGTTTCAAGAGAAACGATACGCAAGGCGCCTTGGACAAAGCCTATGAATCAGCACCTATGGTCTACATATATGATGTATTTGCAAGACCCGAAAGTTACACCTTTTCGCATTGGCAAGAGCGGAATCCCTCCTCATGGAGTCTGCTTGCGCGTTGCTCGCGAAACAAAGAGGAGCTGGAAAGGATCCAAGGCTCATGGCAATTATGACATTGGTAGTGGTAGCATCACCCCTACCCAAGGAGCTGCTGGCCCATATGTTCAGTGGCCCCATACCTGCGCAGCCACCCGAGCCCAACTTCGAGAACTTTGCAAGATGAATGCCAGGTCTAAGACACGAGGCTCACAATACAAAGCACCCAGCCCTTCTCTATTTAACAAATCTACGGTTCGCTATCGAAACCGTCGCACAGTACTGGCACGCTCACCATCAGTCTTCTCCGGTCAAGATATGGCTATTTCACTGGCAGTTAGTACATCGGATTCTATGCAATTGCAGGGTCCTCTAGCTCAATTGACCAACTCGGAGCCTGAACCTCGAACCGATGAACTTTCATTGCCACCACAAAACAACGGGACCCTGGAGCCCCCAGAGTTGCCTCGTCCACAATTGGCATCTCCTTTTGGCGCTCGAAGCTATGGGCCTAGTTCGTCAAGCTCGCTACCCTCGACCTTTGTTGTGGATTCAAAGTTGCAGAGACAAACTCACACTGGCGGCCCGCGCCGTGGTCTAATGTCACCAGTCCGACTTACACGAAGTCGATCAACCCACAAGCGCCGACCCAACCATTTGGAGACCAGGAAGATTAAGCGACCCAGTCTCGGCTCCGACCTGTGGGTTGATCCGGCCTCGCTTGTCGACCTGTCAGCCACTGAGGACCAATTCATAACGCCTCGCACTGAGCCTGAGCTCGACACTGACGTCGTTGTCCCACGTAAGAACCTTCAACAGCTCTTTGAAGCTTCGCAACCCCCGCCTGTACAGCAGCAGACGCTAGCACCCCCATTTGGAGAGATGCCCCCTCGACTAGGCTCGCCCTTTGCTCTTGGAGGATCTAGCTTTTCTTTCCCGAATCGCCTGTCGCACGGGGCCGCACCTGATTCGGATGCTATTCGCCGACCCTTTGCTACCGTCCAACAATCAAGCGAGAACAACACTGGACTTACCCGCGCATCGTTAGCAAGCCGACTGGCCTACATTGACGAACGACTTAAGGATTTCCGTCGTCGAGACCAGCCACGCCGACGATCCGAATCGCCGCTCTAACCCCACATCACTTTTCATTTTTTCTTTGTACATTTGCTGAGACTTCATGTCACTTGACGAGATTTACGAGTCCACGGACACACGCACACACATATTGGTCGAATCTTATGATGGGACCACGACCCATTGTTTTCAGGATGCATCTAGACGGCAACAGTCTATCTTTTGATAGCCTTCATCTCCATGGTCCCTTCAACTTCCACACTTTGCTTGACTTTTGTTTCTTTTAAGCGGCAACGCCCTCATTAGCTCGATCGTGTTTGCTCATACGCGTTTCGGCTCGACACTCACTCGACAACAAACTTGTCCAATTTTCTTTCGATACCTTTCCTTAACAGGGAATGCTTTTTCAACAACTCATGATGATATGATGGAACGAACAGCACGTAGGCCAAACAGAGCCTCATGTTTGCCGTGTTATTTTTTACTTTTGGATTTGAGTAAAAGACGTCCCTGTCCCGGGGGACGTCATGATGAGAGACATGATGTACTCAAGCTCTTGTGAGCTGGACCACGATGGTGTATCAGCTTGGACGAATGACATGATGGAACTTAATATCCATAGAACGAGCAATGATATGAATGATATGAAAAATCAATTGTTATAAATGATATGTCTTTCAAATGTGAAATCAACATGCACACGAAGCAATTCAATTAAGCGAGTAAGAGATTTGTTAAAAAGAGTCCATGGTCTTTGATAGATATGTATCCTGACAGGTTTACTCCTTGTAGTGTACATTAAATACTAATTTACAGAGAATATTATCATGTATCAGACTCGCTTGTTCATCAGCTCCCACCGGGAGAACTGGGTAAATTGTAGATATAGTAGAAAGAAAATAGTAGGAAAACCGGTAGAACAACCAGTATCGTCGACTGACGAAGGCCCATGTCACTGACATGAGGCATTGGTGTAAAAAAGGGGCCCTGAACTTCCCAATACCAAACATCATGGACGTGCTCAACAGAAAAGTGCCCATTTTGAGCTCTTCATAATGTTTCGTTTTAGTGGAGAGGAGCCCAAGCATTATTCCTGGAGACAGTCACGCTCGGTATGTTTGAGACCGATGGGGCTGATGACGGTGATCAAGTTGATCAAAGTTTCACCACCAACTAACCCCTTGTCGGATTGACATTTCAGTTACTGTTTGTGGCGAAGTTGATCTCCCTTCATGTCTTGAGCGTGCTAGAGATCGACCTCACATGCTTTATCGCCTTGGAGATTTCGTCATCATCATCATCCTCTCCGATATCCGAGTACGCTGGCCCGGAAAAGAGTGGCCGAGGGACAACGTCGCGATACCTCCGGGTGGGAGCAGAGAGACCTGTAGTCTCTGCACTTTGCTCCTTGGTTGATTGACGAACGCGGCGGTGTTTCGTTGAGCCGGATTCGTGAGGGCATCGGCGCTCGCCAACGCTTGAGCGATGTGAGTGGAAGGAACATTGGCGGAAACCAAAAGCTCGCTCATCGTTACGAAGACGGTTGGCTGGAATGCGCAGCTGTGGGTTCTTGAAGCGAATATCGAGTCCTGAAAGTCGCATCTTCTCCATGTGGATGTCGTAGTCTTCAGCAAATTCTGGAAGCTGTTCAAGCAGATCAGTGAATTGTGCGGGATCTGAAGTGGCAGATTCTTGTTGATGATCAAATGTCAGATGTGGCCCGCCAGTGAATGAGAAAGCAACCATGGCTACAGCCCAGCGTCGAAGTCGAATAGCAGCGAGATCCTCGCACTCAGTGTAAAGGAATCTGATAAGTCCTGAGGGAACATCCCAATCGCAACGGAGGTAGAGGTCCTGGATGGCGTCCATAGCAAGGTCCTGAAGGCGATAGAGACCAAGGCGAGATGCAAAGAGATGCAGGCGGATCAAACACCAGTGGATATCTTGAGAGGCTTCTGAACCGGCATCGTAGGCGTTTGAGATCATCTCCTCGAGATGAGGGCGGAATCGAAGACCAAGGTGAACCCAATCAACAAAGAGACTGAACATGGAGGATGATTCGCGAGGAAGCCATAGGGAAATCGATTTCGTGCTTGATGGGTCCCCGAAGCGCTCAGCAAAGAATGGCGAGGTAGCGCATATCAACCGCTTGTTGACCTTGAAGCGGTGCTGTTTAGGGCCAATAAGCAAAATAGCCATTGGCTCTGGTGAAGGTTGTGAATGCGCAGGCGAAGGCATTGGTGATGGCATTGGAGACGGCATTGGCGAAGAGATTGTTGACTTCTGCGAAGAAGCCGAAGTCAAACGGCTACGGCTGTCCATGAAACGGCCAAAGCTGGAGGGGCTGAAGAGAGGAGCCATGATCGTCGCAGACGTCTCTTGGAAGTCTTAAGCAAAGGGTTTATGAGTTTCAGTAAAGGACGAGACCCAAGAGGAAACAGAAAGAGAAAGAGGGTGTTGAGGGAGTAGAAACAAATATAGAACAGAACCAGACTATGCGCAGAAGGAAAGTGCTGGGCCGGCCAGTTGTGAGCAAAACAAACCAAGAGGAGAAGTTGAAACTGAAGAACCGTCACCTGGAGCGGCCCATGGGGAGTATATCAACCATCTGGGGAGAGTAAAAAGATACTCTCTGACAGTTCTCGCTTGAGCCCCTGGCAGAAAGGGTGAAGATGGCGAGAGTCAGCCAATGGTAGCGCCACCCAGGCACATCAGCAGCACCTGAGTTGGCTGTTAGCGGGTTTCAAGGCGATCATTTGGGGCATCTTCTAGCCTTGCAGACCGCTAGCGTCCTGTGCCCTTTGGTGGCAACACCCTCGGAGGCAAAGCTCATTGCTCGAAGGCCCTTGGCAGTTTCAAAAGGTCGGATCCAAAACGGGACCCTCCCCTGTTGCGGATAATCCATCCATTCAGAGTAAAAGCCCTTGCATCACCATCGACGCTTGTCACACTTGCGCACCGACCGCATCTGCATCTGCGCAGCGCTTCCAGCTGTCATAGGTCGAAGCTTTTGGGTGCTGGACCCGCGTAGGCGCCTGGCTAGCCAGTTGAATATCGACGTAGGGATAAGAAAGGAAATCCTCCTGAGATCGACTTTTGTTTGCGGTAACCTCGCGTGGCCATCTGCTAAGCTTATCTGGTTCCTGCGTCGGACAATCGGAAGTCCAGTGGAGGTCTTGGCCTTGCTGGACATGGTGGAAACTGGAAACCGAGGTTCCTTTGAGGAAGCGCGCCCAAGAAAGGGACAATAGCCGACATAGGAGAGGAGATGAGGCTCCATGATGCGTTCTCTACCTGTCCTGTCCTGTCGTAAGGTGACACAACGCGACAATGACCAGATTTAGAACAAAAGACTGAACGTTAAAAAAGAACAACATCATAGCGTTTCTGAAAGAAACACTTTCTTGCTTTTTTGACTGTTTCGGACAAGGCTTCTGTTCTCGTGGAGTACATGTGTATTGGCCAGGCGGAGAACAGAGAACAGAGGCCGTGCAGGGGAAACCTCCACTAAACATGCCCTTGTCGCTGCACTCTACTTGAGCCAGACCAGAACGGGAGGAACCTTCCGTCCACGTTTATTAGATGGTTAGCTGGGCGCTTGTGGAAGGCACGGTCTCGAAGCCTATCGTACCTGCCCTGCTGGGTAGCAGAATCATTGCCCTCAGGTTTAGAAATAACTGGCGTAAGAGCCCCAGAAACTCGGGATAAGATCGTCTAATTATTCCGTCCTTGATGTTCTTGGCGGTTAATTTCTCTTATACCCTGACGCTGCCTCTTTTGCCTCTTGTCTGAACTGAAACACCAATCGCATGTTGCAAGGGTCAACCTGTAGATGTCCTCGTGACTGCAGGTGACGATAGCCGACTGATACTTAGATGTCCATGGGCCCATATCTAAGTTGATCTATCTTACCGTATTGTGTGATCTCTGACTTTACTGTCTACCATGAAACAGCTATGGTCTTGGTTACAGTGTTCGAGCGACAGCAAACTTGTTTAACGAAACATCTTTATTTTTCCGTCTTACGGTGACGCTATCCTCATGTTTCGTTCGCGGTTACGCTTTGATGATATTGTGAAATCATTGAAATATCTTTTGATACTCATTAGGCCCTGGCTACCACCCCAACTGCCTATTTTTGGTGCCTAAATGCTTAATGTGATGATTGTATGCGAAGCTATTTGGTAGTCGACTTCAATCGAGGATGAGAGAGCGAGATATCAAACTCCAAAACCCAATTATTACGGCAGCACACCTCTGCTTCAGGCCGTTTCACTCTTCCCTTTTTCCCTGTTGCTTCCCCATCACTGTACTGTTTCAGGCGCCTTGCCTTCTGTTCGCTGATGCCCATCAAATGCCTTGATCAAAACGCCTTCCACGTTGCGTGTCCCAAAGTTAATGCCTTAACGCTTTCATGCCTCAGCGGCCAGGGTATCAAATCATGTAAATGCTAACGCCGTGCCCATGCTTTTTAGTTTGCGAGATTAGTTAATCGTAGCTGGAATATCACCATCATCATCGCTGTCCGATTCAGAGGAGTCGTCAATTGACATGGGATCCTGCTGAGTCCCTGTAACAGCTCCCTTAGCGCGATTTGGAGACCATTGTGTGTTGTGCTGACTGCTGACCGCAGGTGGCCTCTGTGTGTATCGAAGCTGGGAGGGGTTCAACTGCGCTGTGGGATCGTTGAGCTCCGCAGTCGCTTGTGATCCAGATAGACCGCCACCCATCTCTGACCTGGGGATCCTCTTCTGTGGACTCTCCTGGCTGCCGTTCATCACAATTCCAGTTGATGATGGTCCTGATTCAATATCATCTGTTCGGATTCTCTTATTTGGACGTAATGCATCTTCTAGACCAGAGGTCCCATTAGTTGGTGTCCCATTGCGGCTCGGGCTGTTGAAAAGTCTGGCCTCTTCAGCCTCGATCTCAGCCCGGTTACGTCTCTCCCGCAGACGAATACCGTACTTCTTGCGGGTCGTGCTTTGCTTAGTGTTGTACGAGTTCTTCAGACTTGCCAGGCGTTTTGTTTTTTCTGGTTCAGGAAGAAGGCTGGCCTCTCTCATAAGAGTTCCGTATTTCGTTTCAGCATTCTTCATAACTTGGTTGAATTCGGCGAGCTTTTCGCGTGTTAGGTGCGAGTACGGATTACTACTAGGAGTGCTAGTTGGCTGAGGAGTTGGCGTTGCCCAGTTTGGTAGAGGCTGAGTTGATGGCGGCTGCGCTTGAGCTCGAGGGGTACTCGTGGAAGCGATTTGTCTCTTACGCTCCTGGATGTGTTTAATCAAAGCGTACATCTGCTTGGCAGTGTCCCGAGAATGGTCTCCGCAGACATTCGATTTCTCGTGGTACAGCAATCCACCACTACTCCCAAACCTGCAACCGCAATAGAGGCATATGTCTCTTCCAGCTTCATCATGCGCCTCTACTTTGTAGCAAGCATTTTTCTTTTTATGCTGTTTCTCGTCAGAAAGGAATTAGGGAATCTAGTTAATGAACTTACATATTCGAGAGCTGCATCGGAAGCGCATGGCCAACCACAGCGGCACCACAAGAGTCCTGGGGGTCCCTTAGGATACTCTGTGCTCTGAGCCTGGCTGGGAACTGGTGATGCAGTCGACTGAGGCTGCTGTGAAGGAATAGGGTTAGGCTGGTATTGCCGATACCGGATACGAATTGCAGGAGTGGGAGGATTTATGGAAGGCATTGGGACAGGCATTGTAGATTGTGTGGGCACCGAATGCATGGAAGGGATTACCTGTTCATCATGATCACGGACGATATCTTGGATATCGTAGCCTAGACGCTCAGCTCGCGCCAATGCATTGACCAGCTGTCGTGCCTGAATCGTCTCAAGGCGCCTCGCAAGAGCCCTGTCGAGAAACTGAGAACTGGCACGAGAAAGAATCGAGTCCATCAGCTCGTCAATGTCGTCGGAGTCAAGATGAGCTATGAGCTCGTGCTTGGCATTCTTGGCGATATTAGCACCAAAGTTCTGAACGGCTTTAGTGATGGTATCGGGAGATGCCTGGTGCATAGTTGCATTCAACTAGCGGACATGATTAGTAACGATAAGATATGCCAACAAGAAGCCAACTCACCAGGAAGGCAATATGGTATTGCGAGCCCAGAAGGGTTTTCTCCCACTTGTCTCGAACAACTTGTCGAACAGCAGTGGCAGGCGCCCTTTCGACCAAAGTAGACATGGCCTGGTAAATGTTCAAGGCCTCAACATTCTCTGGCTGTGGCTGCGCTCCTGGTGACACATGCAGCGGACCAGGCGCCTGTGCCTGCTGGGAGGTTTGCTTTGGTGTAGCATTTCCATTCTGCGTTGGTGGCGGTTGATAAGGGCCTTTATTGAGGGATCCCATTGGTGATGAAATTTGCGCAGGGACTGGAGTACTTGATGGCGCTGGCGATGCACTAGTAGTTTGCATTTGAGACGCCGAAGAAGCTGACACGGATCTTTGTGGCGGTTGAGGAGTGTAGTTAGGCAGGGGCACAGGTGTTTGCGAAGGCACAGGTTCCCCCAAGCTTCTTATATGCCCATTCCGCGATGGTGCAGCCATGTTTCCTTTCACAAACTCCTCCGAGATAAGCCTCGCAAAGGCGTCGCGCTGCTGCTCTTCACTCTCAGTCGATGTCTCAGTACTCTGAAAAGATGCAAGAAGTTTGTCCAACGCCGATGTTGAAGCTGTAGAGTCAGTTGTCATCGATTGATGCCGATGGAAGAAGCAAGCAATTTGCTTGGCGTTGAACAGGCTATTAGAGATGAAAACTTAAACGGGACAAAAGTCAAAGCAGGAGCAAGTACGGATAAGTGAGTTCTCACGACTTCATGAATATAGTCGCGCCTTCCGTTGTAGATCGCTACGCGTTCCGCGCTAGTAGTAAGAGCTTAGGTAGAAAGAAATGGGTCTCCGTTCTTATGAATGCACCAAGGGCGAGATAGAAATTAGACGGGGCTAACACTCTCTGGAGGAGCTCTTTGCTTTATAAAAATTGTTAGCGCGTAAATAGCACTAGCGTGATTCAGTGTTGACTGCGACAAAGGTCACGTGGGGCAGATAGTGTCTTGTAACTAAGGCATACTCAGCTAATAAAGCTAATAAAGTTATTAAGTGCCCAGTATTACTGTGCCCCTTTTAAAAAGTTTAGGACAGGTATAAAATAGCACATTCATACAGCTATTAATATGCTCTAGGTTCGCGCCAGACGGGTCTGTTAATTGTTAAGCTGGTTGTTATAATTGTTAATTAAATGAGGCTTCTACAGTGGTTTGTACCATCGGGCGACCTATGAACCGTTCTGAATTAGGAAGGCGCAAACTACTAAATAATGGCAAAACCTTTGTCATCCTTATAAGCGTCCGCGCGCTATAGCCAATGTCTTATCTAGATGCAAGCATTTGCAGATGCAACCAAACACTCGTGGACTAACTCTTTCGTGGTCTATAATGCTTAGATCATCATAACTCTTTATTTAATTCATGGTCATCATACTTGGTATCTTAATCCATGCCCCGTAGTGATTGTTGACTCAAAACTCAAAAGACAACATCCATACTGACAAAGTGTCGTAAAGCCCCCAAACGCCTTGTCATCATAGTGGGCGTCGGCCGTGAGACCTGATTTCCACAACGCATCCTTCTAAACACACTGGTTCCCCTCTTTTTCTTTTGTGCCAATCTTTTAGTTAGGCTCGCCAATTGCTGCCAGCAATGTCCTACGGTAGTCGCCTGATGTCTCGCCATAGATGCGCTTGCCCAGACTCTTGCCATAGCGTTGCTGGTAGGCGCCCTTTACGTTGTTCAGGGTGTTACGATCCCAGTGGTAGCGGATTGTTCGTGACACAAGGAGATGATCCTTTGTTCCCATGCCGGCCATTGAGTCCTCAAGCAGCTTGGCAGCGTGCATGTACTTGTCTGTGGCGTTGCGCAGTTGGAAGAGAAGGGCGTCCTCCATATGACCAGAGAACTCCTATTGCAAGTCAGAAATGGTTACTTGGTACAATAGCGGGGGTATAACTTACGCTCTTGATGACCTTTTCGAGGTCCTTGTTGAACTTTTGCCTGTAGGTGTGTGCAATGGCACGAATTTGGTTGTCGTTTCTTGTACTCAAGATGCTGCACACGAGAATTTCATCTGTGCCCATTTTGCCTTCAGTTGCTTTATAGATTTGCATGACATCGTCATCAACCTGTCGAGGGTCGACTGGCGCAGCGTCCTCGGCTCTCGTAGCACCCAGGACAATCAAGAAGTGTCGCTCAGTCTTCATGCTCAAATCGCCCTTGACTATATCCTCAAGCTTGTCGTGAAAGGTGTGGTAGTACGCGCTCTTAATAGCCTTCATGTCCGCATTTGAACGTCCAAGCAAAACATCGTTGAGAACGACTTCCTTTGTTCCAGGTCCAGTCATGGCGTCATGTAGAGCATGGACATCAGATAGGAGCGGACCTCGGGCTAGCGAGACCAAAGCCTTCTCAAACCACGAGCTTGTCTCGCTCTGGATATCAGCAATTAGATTACGACGATGGTTGCGCTCGTATGTTTGTCGAAGAGTATCAATTTGCAGAGGGTCCTTGTTTGCGAGAATGGCAATCAATGCCTTCTCGTCCGTACCGAATCCTTTCATGGCCTTACGCAAACCATCGGCGTCGGCTGTAGCGTCCCATTGGATCATCTGAGGTGGTCCGTAACCCACTGAGGGGGGAGTAGGCTGGACTGGTGCGCCATACTGCTGAGGAGGAGGTGCGCCGTATTGTCCTGGAGGAGGTCCTGGCGGTGCAGGCGAATGGTGGCCATACTGCTGGTGTTGGGGAGGAGGAGCTCCATAGTGACCTTGCGGAGGTCCAGGAGGCGCGCCGTACTGCTGGGGAGGAGGTTGCTGGTAACCACCATAGGGCTGCTGAGGTGGAGGATGTCCTCCAGGAGGGTAGTGACCGTGAGGTTGTTGATATCCGCCCTGCTGAGGAGGATATTGTCCAGGAGGTGGTTGTTGGTAACCGCCAAATTGTTGCTGCGGAGGATATTGACCATAACCTTGCGGCGGTGGCGGTTCTACAGTTCTTGTCAGATCAGTTGTCGCAAAGAGCCTGCGAAGATACTTACGACCGTAGGGAGCACCGTAACCTTGGTAAGACATGTCTCTAGAGCTGCTGTTATCTATGTAGGTAATTTTGTAATAGGCGATGCAATGTTGAAGTTCTACTGCGAGTGATGTGAGAAGAAGAATTGGCTTTACACAAGCGGAGTACGTGGGAAGAAAGGAAGTTGATGGGATAGAAACCGGGAAGCGGCACGGCAGTCCAGGTCTCTTATTAATACCTGAACTCCGATAAAGGACACTGAGGACAGCAGCTGATTTTCCTGTGGCTTAGAAGAGACAGGTACGCGCCTGCACCTAAGGATCCGACAGCAACAGCTAACTTACAGCTACAGAACTCAGCCTTAATGGTGTCCGACGATCCAAGTGGGTTGAGGGGCGGAGCATCAGCAAAGGGAAACGTCATAATTCGCACCAAGCAAGTGCTGTATGTAAGTAAGTCTTTGCCCCTCTGTAGACACTCTAAATTTCATAGCCTTATGAGGGGCGGTTCTAATTAAGTTCTGGTCAATGCTGCTGAGACTCGTCATGCAGCTCAAGAATATGCGAGAGATATGGCAGCAGAATTTAAAAAAAAAAAAGCCTGACCCGCTTCTGCAACAAGGGAACCCAGGTTCTCGATAATGAATGCGGAGACGTTCCTTGCTCACTATCTCTTCCCAGTAGAATGGCGACCAGTCGAGACTCGGTGTTGACATTGCTCGGAGGGGAAAGGAAGCTTGCCAAGATAATTAGTCGTCATCACAGCCATCACACGCGCAGATGGAAACTGTCACTGATCACGAGTCGTCTTGTGTTTGTTCAGCTTGTCAACAGTGGTACTTGCTATAAATATCCGAGAACTTAATTTCACAAGGTTTTAATAGGTGTTAGAATTTTGTTACCGTCCTCATCTCTGTAGAATGTACTAAGTGTAAATGATGCACGAAAGAGTACGATCCGTAGGTATTGTGAGAAGAGCTCACTGCCAGGTGGGTAACAGAAGAATTGTCCTCTGAGTGGAGGTACAGAGTGTCAAAATAAAGTAGTCTGAGGACCACTCTAAGCTGATGCAAGATGACCAAACTATTTCGTTCCCCTATGCTCTCGGCGGCCTATTCTTCTGAAATCAATCTTGACGACCACAGTACCTACTATCTGACTGACGTCTTTTGAAGGTTCAATTATGATCTCATAACAAGATTGATTCCCAAAAGAATGATCATGACGAACCTTGAATCTAAGTGGTTACCGGATTCGGACATGCCACCAGCCACGACGCGAGGCGTGGAGCGCCACTCCACAGCCACAAACGCGCAAGACGACTTACTTGATCAATTTTGCCCCAAAGAGAAACATGAAGAAGGGAGAATCAGAAAGGGAAAGAAGAGACCAGACTAGATTCTACTCTAGCAGTCATGCCTTGTACTTATTTATTCACATGTCCGGAGAGCCCCCGCATGATTCGTAACCAACAGATGCAATCAAGGTCAACGTCGGACCATCTCGTCAGCTCCCCAACCAATCAGAGCTCTCCCTTTGCCATAGCGGGTGGTTGGTGAATCTCGCTCGCTAGAACCCGTCGGGTCCATCGACGTTCGAGCCCCAGAAACTGCCGATTGTTCCTGGAAGTTAGCGCGTCTCCAACCACCAAAATTCACGTATTGGGCACTTGGCCAGGGAGTACAGAGTTCACCAGCCATCTCAATTGCAACGTGATAGTAGCCCGCTCCTAATAAAACTACATGATCTCTTTAACAACCGACCAGGTTTCTTTTCTCTTCTCGTCTCGTGAATCAATAATTACTTTGTCTCTCATTCTTGATAGCTTGAGTTGTGAGTGTTTGTGAATCATTCATTAGTGGTCTCTTGTTAGCTGCCAGTGCCAGCCTCTGCCAGCACATGAAATAGAACCACAACCAGGCAAACACCATTTTTCGCTCTTCACAGCACTTCAGCACCTCTCCCGGGCAGACTGAAAAACATACAACAGAACATCTTTGGCGAATAGCCTCGTCAAAATGCGCGGGTCTCTCACCCTCCTTCTCGCTCTTTCAGCCTCTTACACAACAGTCACTGCTCTCCCCAAACCCAGAATTCAACCTCGCGATGACGCAGGCAAGCCGAAGTACTCAGTCGTTCCTCTAGAGCCAGGCGATGATGATCCCGCCTCGGGCGGTGCAGGAAGCGGAGATGGAAATGGAAGCAGCGGCAGTGAGGACGGAGATGGAGATGGCGTCGTGACTGTTATCCGAACAGTAGTCCAGACACCGAAGCCAGTCACTCAAGTCATCACGCGAACGGGGAATCCTAGTATTGTCACAGCCCCTGGAAAGACCGTGACAAAGGCTGTTCCCACTACTGTCGCTGTCATCAACATATCCGATGATCCTGCTGTTACTCAGACCGTCACCGTTCCTCGTTCTAGTGCTTCCAAGCCCAAGGCGACAGAAGAGCCCTCAGCCACACAAGAACCTGAGACCACCGAAGGCGAAGCGAAACCAACAGCTCAGGAGCCATCTGATTCTTCGAGCTCTGCTCCCGCTCCAGGGGCCACCTCTCAACCAGAGCCTCAGCCGAAGCCTCAGCCGAAGCCTCAACCCAACCCTCAACCTGAACCTCAGCCAGAGCCGGAGCCATCTACCAGTATTGCGTCTGCTGAGAGCATTGAGACATCGTCGACTACAAGCGACATTCAGACTTTCCCAGCTGTAGTGACCGTCACTCTCCGCTTCCCCACGAGCGAAAGCTCCCCTACAGACTCGGAACCAGCCTCGCTTGCCACCCAAGATGCAGAGGCTCCTGAAAATACTTCGTCGCCCTCGTCTGACTCCTTAGTGGCGTCTATGCCACCGCAAGAGACCTTTGTTCAGGACCCTGCTGGCAATAACGGCGAGACCTGGTCTTCAGCCACACTACCCTACTACGCCCCAGTCGCACCCACGACTCTTCTCACATCCTTCACCACCTCCACAACTTCTTCGGATGTTGAACACATAACCCCTGAGCCAGTCCCATCTTCAAAAATACCCGATGATGGTCTATGGCGCACTACTTACCCGCCCTGGAGCGATGATCTGGCTGTCTGATTCTTCCAGGCGGCAGAGAATGATTTGATCTTTGAGTTTGTCTTGGAGGAGGACGTAAGAAAAAGGGCATGGAACGCAGCATAGCGGAAAGGAAATGCATTATGAGACCCCCCTTGTAATAGAAATCGGGCGCAGGACATATAGACCAAGCGAAGGAGGCGACGGACCAAGCGCTGGACGTATTGCCATATGTAACGAGTAATAATCAATCAACCAAGCAACACGAATCCCTTTATATTGTCAGCTGTTGGTGAACAAAGCGTGAAACTACTATTTTGTGTTTAAAATAACTTACCCCTGCTAGACTCTACAGAGCTTGGCAAACAATATGACAGTCCACTGGGCTGGGCTGAAATTAACTATTGATATGATATATCACACGAAAACTTCTAGAAGCAATGGTGTAAACAAGGCACATCAGTTTTAGGTAAACATTTGATACGAATAGAAACAAAGACCCAAACAGCCATAAGGTGAAGAATCAGAATGTGATTTCGACTGGAGAGCTCTCAAAGAAAACCAACAGGAGTATCAGTTGTAGAAATAACAGGCAGTTCCCAAGGAAAAGTGTATCAATCAACCATTCCTTTCGTTCCACTGTGAGCCTGGTGCGAGCAGTCCAACAATTTCAAGTCACATCCACCACTTTATTATTCTGGTTTTTACTCCTGAGTTGTATACCCTCAGTATTATTCGCTCATATACCAATGTCTGATCAACCCTCTACCAATCCAAAGCTGTTAGTCTACTCTCCTCCAGCACAAGAACCACCGACTTACAAGTTTATTCAGGAACACCACAGACAACACTCCCGTCATCAAAACGCCCGTCATCATGGATACCTCCACCAATCCCTTCACCGGCGCCCTCAACGACCCCAACAGCCACGCCAACTTCCTGGGTAACAAATCTTCTAACAACAACGAAGCTCTCATCATGGGAGGAGTCATGGTCGGTTCTGTTGTCCTTGTTGCTATCGTTGGTGTGGGATGCATGGTCTATAAGCAGCGTGTTCGCAAGATGAAGGCCCAGGAGGCCAAGCTCGATGACGGAGCTTCTGTTTAAGTTGCACTGAGTACAAAGTATCAACCTAGATGTCAGTGGTACTATGGATTGTAGCTTGGGTTGAATTGTTTGATGAAGACCGGAAAATCACGAGGAGAGGAAGACATGGCGGAGGATGCTCGGTTGAGATTCTCATCTGTCTGAGCGAGACGACTATTTCACTTCAACACACTCTTTAGTTAGGAGAGAGGCTTTTGTGGTTACCCTAAAATCTACATTCATTCCTTTGCCATCTTAACATATAGTGTCTCTGCTTCGAGTACATTGTGTGTGATGTTACAATTAATCTCTCAGCACCAAATGGTTACTTGCGATACAGAGCAAGGCAGCACAAATGACCTACACTGTACAATATACTCATTATCACTGGTCAATTCGATCACCGAATCTCAGACATGTATCCCACAGAGTCGGCAGATATGTTCGCCTTATAGTTGATTGGTCCATAACCTACCACAGACTCTTCATCCGTGTACAAGCCGCAACATAAAATCACGTATAAAAGCAGACCTCTATCCAATTCTATGCAAGCCTCATCACAGTCATCATGTATAGTGAAGAGGGGCCTCGAGCCTCGTTCCTGCAGAGCCGTTCTCTCGCTTCGAATGCCGCTCTCCAATGAGACTGATACACGTCCAGGACTCGACCCACGCTGGGCAGTGACACTTCACTTGAGCCAAGAGAAGTGATCCGATGTAGTTGAGGCGGTATGTAAGAAAAAGAAAAGAAGCGAGGAAAGGGTTATAAATATTTGATTCTCAGAGGGACTGTTTCTAAAGAATTGTTCTCTACAGTTTTCTTAGCCGTTGCACCCAATTGCAGTCTACTACTCCACCAAGTACGGCCCCATATTCGCCGTCAACTTCCGTTCCAACTCCGGGAATCCGATCTTACCTGCAAACCAAGAGTTACAACTACAATTACTGTTACACCGAGAATTCAGCCAAAATGCGGCCGACATTTCTCCAACTACCAACAATAGCACTGGCTATCCTCCTCTTCTCTTCTCTGATCCTAGCATCATCCTCACCCAACACATTATTTACCCGCGACGAGGATGAAGGCTCAAGCTGCAGCACAGAAGGACAATGGCACTGCATGACCAATTCCTTCCAAAGATGCGCACAAGGTCACTGGTCTATTAAAATGAACATGGCTGAGGGGACAAAATGTACGCCTGCGGGTTATACAGACGATTTCAACTTTCGCATTGAGCGTGAGGGAGAAGATGATAATGATGAGAACAGGAGTGATGAGAGCCAGAGTAATAGTGCTTCTGGAGTGAAGCTGGATAGTGTTGTTATGTTGGTGGTTGTTTCTTTATTATGGGTTGTTTTGGGAATTGTATAGTTATCAAGTTAATTAATTGAGAATGAACATAAGACTTGCAAGTTTTGTCCATCTATTGCCATGGAATATGTCTTGTCAACACAGCTCTACTGTTGAGCACAACTCTAGTGTCAACACTGACTACCGCTTACACGGAAGACGATCCCCCAATAAATGATCACAAGCACGTTATCCTTCTGGAAGGTCACACTCACATTCCTCTCCCCCCCAAAACCCACCAATCCCAGTCCACAATGCTACCATATTCGGAAATCAGATTAACCCCGGAGCTTCAACTCTCTACCAGAACGAGAATAGACAGATGGCACTCTCGGCAATCATAACCCCGAATGTCGTTCTATAGATCGAGCGACGCTCGTTTACGAGGACATATTCTGACTATATCCTTACTGTTTCATCTTTCTTCCGATATTTCTGGTTTCTCCTCCAATTAGAAGCTCTGTTTCATCTATCTGGAGGTAACTCCACAGTCGCATTGATACTACTGTAACCGAAAGGTAATCTATCAGACTTGACTGTAATTTATGTTTCTTGCTCCTTTAAGATCATTTTTACTCTTTCGTTCTTTTTGTCTGTCTTTTATATAAGTCGCTCTTTTGTTCGTCGTTCATTCTTTTTCCAACTCGCTGTCCTTCATTTCGATCAGGTATCGCAAAAATGGTCAGCTTCAAATACTTAGGCGCTCTAGTCAGCGCCGCTCCGGCTCTGGCAGCCTTTGGCACTTCTACTAGCGGAAACAACCTCATCGTCGACTCTGGTAGCTCCAACGGCTTTTCCGTCAGTATCAGCAAGAGCGATTGCTCTATTAACTCGATCAAGTATCGTGGAAATGAGTACCAGTACAAGTCTCAGACTTCGCACATCGCGTCCGGTCTTGGATCAGCCAGTGTCCAGTCCACCGTTCTCAACAGTGAGTTGTTCAAGTAAATCTTATAGAGATGAAGACTAATGAGAATAGACAAGTACATCAAGGTCACTTGTACCGCCAAGTCTGGCGATTTCGACTTGACCCACTACTACGTTGTTCAAAACGGCCAAAGCAACGTCTACATGGCCACCGACACCAAATCTCAGCCCAAGATCGGCGAACTACGCTACATCGCCCGTCTGGACCGATCTCTTCTTCCCAACGAGATCCCCTTCGGCGAGGTCTCTAACACTTCGGGCGGTTCAGCTATTGAAGGCTCTGATGTCTTCAACGTCAACGGCCAGACCCGCGCCAAGTTCTACTCTTCTCAGCGCTTCATCGACAACGATGTCTGGTGTTTCCAGAGCAGTGGCAAGGATGTTCACGCTTGTATGGTCACCCATGCTTCGCGATCTTATGAGAAGAGCTCTGGCGGTCCTTTCTTTAGGGATATCAACAGCAACAACAACGGTGGATTCAGCGCTCTTACTTTCTACATGAACTCTGGTCATGCTCAGACCGAGGCATTCCGTCAAGGTTTCCATGGACCTTATGCTCTGTCCTTCTCTCGCTCTGGTGTCCCCAAGGCGAAGGACTTCGACATGACTTTCTTCAAGGATCTTTCCATCTCTGGCTACTCTGCTGACTCCTCTCGCGGCCGCGTCAGTGGTACTGCTACTGGTGTTCAATTGGGATTCCAGGGTGTTGTTCACTGGTTCAACAAGGACTTCCAGTACTGGGCTTACACTTCATCCAACGGCGCTTTCACCTCTCCCTTCATGGTCCCTGGTACCTACACCCAAGTTCTCTACCAGGGTGAGCTCAAGGTTGCCTCTAAGAGTGTGAGCGTTTCTGCCGGTAACACAGCTTCATCTTCCATCGCTGCCGACTCAGACATCACCACTGGAAAGCACACCTCTGTCTTCCGCATCGGAGACTGGGACGGTCAACCCAAGGGTTTCCGCAACGCTGATAAGCAGCTCCGTATGCATCCCAGCGACAAGCGCATGGCTAGCTGGGGTCCTCTCACCTACACCGTCGGCTCCAGCTCAGTAGGAGACTTCCCTATGGCTATCTTCAAGGCTGTCAACAACCCTGTTACTATCAAGTTCAATCTCCCCTCTGCCATCTCTGGCCAGGCTACTCTCCGTATCGGTACCACCCTTGCCTTTGCCAGCGGTCGTCCTCAGGTCACCATCGGTAGCTTCAAGAAGGCCTTCGATGCCCCTACTAAGATCGATTCGCGAGGTGTCACCCGTGGTGCTTACCGTGGCCATGGCGAGGTTTACGATGCTGTTATTCCTGCTGGTACGCTCAAGCAAGGTTCCAACACCATCACTATTGAGGTTATCTCTGGTAGCTCTGGTGCTGACTTCCTGAGCCCCAACTTTATCTTTGATGCCGTTGAGCTCTTCCATTAAGTCTTGTCGGTTGGAGGAGATGTAATCAAGTTCCTATAATTTGATTGTCTAGCTTTAGATGTACATATTAAGTTATTAAATAAGAGACTGCACATACAGGGTCACATTGACGGACACCAAGTCTGCTTATCCATTCCGTTCACGCCTAGGTCCCTACAACACCAATGTGAGAGTCATACTTCAAATCAACCAAGGTTTTAAGCTCAATTCATGCAGGGAATAGACGGGAAGTTCATTGCTCCATTCTTGATTAATAAAGACGTCGGACTTAGAGGCGGAGTTAGAGTTGCGCCGTGACGGCGTTCCAAGTGGCTGATATCAGCCAGCCTTGTTAGTCCCAGATTAGAGTTATTGTAGCATGACGCCTTTAATCGACCAACTTCACTAACAAAAGTGGGTGAACAATGTTTCTCAGACATTGAGGCAAACCCCCGCAAAGTTATGATATATATATCTCGATTATCGAAGGAAGGGCATTGAAAGTTTTGTCATTCTGTTATTCTCTATCAAAGAAACCTCGTCAACAACAACCATGTCATCTACAAAAGGAACCGTCCTTGTTACCGGCGCCAATGGCGGCCTTGGCTCAGCCATTGTCACCAATCTACTTCGGAAACCCGAGTTGGCTAGCAACTATGCAGGTCTTTACACTGTCAGAAAAGCAGCATCAGCAACTCGTCTCCAAGGGATCTTGAAACAAGCTCCTGAATCTCACAAAAACGTCCTCGACATGGATCTTAGCTCACTAGCCAGTGTTAGAACAGCTGCAGCTGAGATCAACCGTCGAGTAGCTGCTGGAGAGCTGCCTCCTATCAAGGTCCTTATCCTTAATGCAGCTTACCAAGACCACGAGCAAATCGTAAGTAGAGCTCATATCTATATCCAAGGTTTAGAGATCCTGACTGTTCCAGACAATGACAGATGACGGCTATGAAACAACTTGGCAAGTCAATTTCTTGGCCAATCAACTCCTAGCTCTACTCCTACTTCAAAGTATGGATAAAGAGAAGAGCAGAATCCTTATCATTGGAAGTTGGTCTCATGAGTAAGTTGACCTTGGTAAACTAAGTTGACATTAGCTGACGATCCTTAGCATTGATGACGAACGTAACAATCTCGGTGGGCAAGCCTGCTACCAAGGTTATGACAGCCTCTTCCCTGGCCCAGACGAGCTTGCCAGGGGTAAATGGAGTAGACCAGACACTGGTGGAGGATGGCTCACTGGCTTTCGACGATACGGAGCAAGCAAATTGTGTGCCGTGATGCTCATGTAAGTCTTTCAAATACTTCACTTGAAGTTGACTAACACAATGATTCTAGGCATGAACTTGTAAACCGACTCGCTCAAGACCCGCAACTCTCCAACATCACAGTAACAGGTCTAGATCCGGGCGCTATGGCTTCTGACCTAGTGCGACGAGGTGGTTTCCTAATGTATCAGACCATCAAACTTGCCCTCCCTATCATTTCTCCTCTTCTTGTTAGGTTCAGCCCTAACGGACCCTATCGGCCTTTATACAAGAGCGCGGGAGATGCGGTGCAGCTCGCATTTGAGAGGGAGGCCCCAAAGGGTAGATTGCTCTACTTGAATGGCACGGACGAACTTGAGACGGGAAAGGAAGCAAGAGACGATGCCAAGAGGAAAGCTTTGTGGACCTACGGTTTACAGGCAGCGGATATTAAGCGGGGAGACACGATCCTACAAGACTGGCAGTGATGAGAATATGCTCTGTCCGATTCTCATAGGGTTTGGTACTGCTAGATATCGATTAATCATATATTCCTCCTATCACACGAAACTAGGAATAAAGCCAAGGCCAGATACATGGCTACATACTTGACATGTCATTTCCGTTATTAGTCTCGACTCGGTACGGCATATTGCTTTTTATAAGCCGGATACAACTGTGAATAAGGAAGTAGTTGCCGATACTTCGGGGGGACAATTAACGCATTGATGTTCTAAAACGAGGGACAAAGTTTATTGTTATTACGATCTGTTGACCCGATACAGGGAGTGAAATGCTGATAGGTCAAAATCTCCTGACATTTATTCTATTAGGAACAATAGAAAAAGTTTACGCGAGTAACGGTAACGGCGGTAGATTATGGGTCTTGACGGGATATGGTGACAGGGTGAGGGCATCACGAGCTGGGACCAGGGTTTGATAAGGCTTTGACAGTGGAAGGGGAGAACCTTGAAATTGATGGTGCCTGCCTTGGTACCTAGAGTCCGGTACTCAATCAGGTCTGGGTAGCTTCACAGCAATATATGGCGAGTTACAGAAGGGATAGACGCTAATTCATAGACATTCCAGGGCTTAGTGAACGGGTGTTTTAACGACATGATCCGTCAACGTCTAGCTTCAAGCCGGACGAACTTGGGGCAGGAAACGACTGGGTCGTTGTTTCTTTTTTCGCTCACAAAGATCCACTTGGCGCTCAACGCACGTTGAAAAGAGCACGGAAGGTACGCCCCAGTTTCCACTTTCGAGCCTGCCCCTGGAAAGGAATCTGAAACAGGCTGGAGTCTGTCCCGTGATGAGCGACAGGCACAGTATCCAAAGTAGGAAAGATCTCTTTCATGGTCCAGTCGATCTTGCCAAGATACAACGCTCTGGAGGGTTCTTGTCGCAGATAGCTGAATCCCTTCGCCTGTGAAAAGCTTGTGATGAAGTGAAGATCACTCCTGATTCTAGGACGTTTACAGGGGATGTTTCGTCTGATCTTTCCTTGCCTCGTCACTGCAAATCCATCTACCGAATGATGATCTGATCAACTTTTAATCATTACTGACAACTAAAGCAAACATTCAGCTATTGGATTAGTTAGTCGTGAATGTAGTAATTTGTCAAATAGATAGGCTGTCGTCCAAGTCACCGCTTTCTCTAACTTAGTGCACTCCAGTCAGTACTGAGCAAAACAAACTGGCGCTTGAGCGACTAATACTAATGCCAATTCTAGCTCCAGTTTGCTCGCTGCTCATCTTAGCCAGTCATACTACATGCTAATACTCTGGTGGCCACATCTTGGCGCTTGAGTACAGTCTTTAGCGCCTGTATATCCAACAATCGTCCTCGCCCTCCATACTTTTCCACCATAGACCAAAAACAAAATAAACACAAGAAACACGAATCAAAAGATTTGGTCTGTTTCTTTTATAGTACCTGGTCACAAGACCAGCCCAATGATACTCGGCTGGTTGGCTGTCGAGAACCACAAATTTGGGGATGTCCCTTGTATGCCCCAGCATCCCTGTCTCATTTAATTCTACAAGAGGCGCCATCGGTTGGCGCTGGATGCAAGCATTGGGCCTGAAATTAACAGCAGTCCAGTGGACTGTGGACTCTGCTGGTCAATCGTCAGCCAACGGCAACCGTTGCGAAGGTTTTCATTAATGAATGAACCCCCAGGTCGACCTATTCCTTGTCGACAAGGAATCATATCCCCGTTGGCCTTTTTGTCTCTGTCTTTTCTCATATCTCGAGCCCGGTTCTCTTTTCCCTCCTTCTCTTCTTCTCTCCAGTTCACATTCCTTTGTTTGCTTCCTTGCTTCCTTGCTTGCTTGCTTTGTTTGCTCGTGCGTCCGCGCTATTCATTCCTTGCTCAACCTTCAACTTTTGGCTTGGAGCTGGACTCGTGCCTCCAGTAAACGATCCCTCGACCTCTCTTCTTTTATACTTATCCCTTCCAATAATCACACGGACCTTCGTTGCATCCATTCAGCCCCATTTTCTAGAAGGCCTCCGCCACGATCAGACCCCCTGCTACTGTCAGCACTTATACTGCTCAGCATCCCCAATCCGTGCTCGAGCTGAAGCTGAGGGCATACGGATATTGAAGGACTACCACTAAAATAAGCACAAAACACTGGACTCGTCAGACCACCCAACACCAACTGTCAGTGCCAACAGTGGTTGACAGTGCACGACAAAGCAAAGATGCCGGCCATGTGGGACAGCTTCAAAACTGGCACTGGCCCCAGTCTTCATCAGCTGCCACCACAAGAATTGAAGAATCGACCATTCCTTCGACAGACACAAAGTTCATCTTCCAACGGATTGCCCCAGAGTCGATCTGCTACCAGCGCCCACAGCAATCGAACTGTGACTTCGAATAAGTCACGCGACGACGTTTACGAGAGTCAAACTCATCTTCACGACGACTTCGAGAACCGACTTAACGGACTTGGCATTCAAAACGGTCCTTTCAGATACGAAATTCGCCGTGGAAAAACAGTTCGAACACCAGATATCTCAGGTCCACCACGTCTGTAAGTACTAGCTTGCTTTCATTCTATACTGTTTCTTTGCTTTTGTTATGCAATACGACAACTGGCTTGGTTCGATTTGGACACAAAAGACTGCGGTTCCTCATCGTCAGCAACGCCAGGCGGACCCTTGGACTTTAGCCGACTAGGCGCAGCGATGTTACCTGCATCCACACGCTTAGTGGGCATGTACCAATTGCAACAAAGGAACGAGGGCATTCAGTCTTCCTCCAAAAGTTGAGGATCGGCCATTACTGGAGTCGTTCGTCATGCACTATGTATGCTCGAGATCGACATTTCTGCAGCCAAGTGCATGATACCAAGCCAACTTGGGGTTTCAGTCTCACGAACCTGAACCGTTTGATCCGACCGTGCAAGCAACCCCAAAAAGTGATGAGCTGATATGCACCTTTTCAGCCGGTTCCAAGGCATCTCACCAGCAATGCCTCACTTGGGGTGTGGCATAGTCGCTAATACCCTTTTGCGTATCCGTTTTTACGCCCTTTCCGTTTCTTCACGATCTTTCTCACAAGGCAACAACAACCCCATGCCTGCACCTGACTAACATGTTATCTCTTTCCTTTATAGCTCCCCTGTCCTCGGATCTGATGATATCCGGACAAAAGCTCCTCCTCGAAACCCGCGACGATTAGAAGGCGAGGACGACTCTCCCTGGCGTCCTGCCTCTTCCATCTACACAAACGACGACGGAGACAGAAGGAGCAGTCGTCACTCCCGCCACTTGCAATATTTGAAGCCATCTAACTCCAAGGCACCTGCCAAAGACATGTACGGTCGTGGTGTTGAGATCTCGCCTCCAAGCTCTCCCGAGTTTGATACCAGGCAATATGGGTGAGTCCAGAAATCCTTCTTACATCAATGTCTTTTCTTGAGCACGCTGGTCGCTGCATATCAATCTCATTTTGAGTACTGTCAGCTTTGACATTTGAGTTACGAGAACTCCTGGTTCGCAGCCTCACGATCAAATACAGTTCCTGTGTTTATTCTTGCTTGCCACAATTACCACGCTCTATGCCTTCGTACAATATGAGAAGATCTCGATTCAGACTGCGGTCGCTAATACGTTGCCTCTCCTGCAGACCAAACTCACAAGATGTCTCGCCAATCGATGACTCTCCCAACTTATCTCAGCTGGATCTTCTTGGAGAGCGTCGATTGACACCTACCCAAGCACAAGCACAACTCAGTAGCCAGATACCTACTATGCGCCGTGAGAAGCCAACAAGCCCTAGCCTTCCTTCACCACTTCGAACCACCAGATCCTCCGATCAGCTTGCGGAGGCCAGTAAGCCCTGGGAAAATATTCAATCAACAACCAACAGGACTAAGCAACCATTCGGATCCACGACTATTGTCACTGGTCCGCAGCACACCAGTTCGGGCAACCCTTCTCCGACACTTGGGCAGCGAATCCGAAAGTTTGCCAGAGCGAAGCCAGAGCCTCTAGAAACTCGACCACCATGGAATGGAGCGAGCGGACGTGCACCTATGGTTGACCCAGTTCGGGATGATCCTACCGTTGCACCCTTGAGCCTGCAGCGCAGGGTCAGTAAACGGGTTGGCCTTGGTGGAGGTCGTAATCCTGAAACACCTAGCGACAATGCTGGAACGGGTCGACGTCTCCTCACCTCACGGTCCGCACAGAAGCTCAACGAGAGTTATAAAACGCCATCACCTGAACTTGTTTCGCACCCGTATCCTAGCCCTCCAAACACTGGCTCCCCGCCGCCGTCTCAGCCAAACATGTCGCATGCTGCGCCTTCTATGCTCGCGCCCAATATGGTGCCTGATCAGCTCAAGGCCATAAAGAGGAAACCATCCCCCTCGACCTACAACCCTCACACTTCTTGGTCAAGTTCCGTCTACTCGGCGATGACCGAGAACACAATTCTTGGCGAAAAACCACTGCTTAACTCGATCGAGACATCAAGACTATCCACACCAGAGGACCCTTGGGAACAGCCTCCATCTCGATTCAGCGTTACGACTTGCAACACCGCTGCTGCTAAGACACCGGTTGTGCCTGACGAAGAAGAGCGACCAGATACGCCGAAGCAAACCCCCTCAGTGATGGATCGTAGGAGACCAGTCCCAGGTGGAGATAACTTCAGAAGAGCCTCGAACGTGCCAATCGTCATCTCAATGAACACGTCTTCACGATCGAGTCTGCGTCCTGAGTCTATCATGTCCACGGACAAGGAACTGCCACCTGCACCACCAGAGGTCCAATCGGCACATGACCGTGTAGCTTACCTCAGTGCTCGACTTGACAGCCTAGCCCACAGACGTCATAACATCAACAAGAGCATCAAGCAGATGACGGAGTTAATGCCCACCGACAGGCTCTTGTCTAGCACCGAAGTTATGCGCAAGCGGGAGATTGAGAAGAAGAAGGTGGAGGCGCTCAAGGAGGAGCTGGCAGAGATTCAAAGAGAGGAGCACGACCTGGGTCTGAAGCTCTACAGAGCTAACAAGCGTGCTGAAAGAGAGGCGGCCTTTGAGCCTTCTTCTCTCTGGGTCAGACGTGTGACATCCTAAGGGATTATTACTCGTCTGTGGGTATATAGGTTAAGGGATTGAGAGATGTGATCTCTGGTGATTAAGATTAAGCAAGGCGTTGACGAGACATGCATAGCAGATGGAGTTAGGTTCTTTTGTTTTTACTCATTTCTTCTTTTTCTTCTCACAAGCCCAAGTCACTGGTTGCAGACCGGCTATTATACGAAAAACATTTTCTTCTACGGTGTTCGAGTATATTGCATACAACAAAGATAAATAGATGGTTGTCCGATGACAATGCATAAACTTCACTTGCGTTCTCTCTTTTGTTCCACTGGGATGTTTTAACGGGCGCATTTATTGTACAATGTTTCTTCTGTACGACTAATAAGTAGTAGTAGTAAAAGCAGATGTCCATCTCCTGAAAACCGTCTGTCTGGATATATCCATCGTTTTGCAAATCGCTTTCCTGTCTAATAACCATTACAATATCAAAACGCCATCCATCTTCTTACCATAAAGATCTTCTAGGAACTGAACCTGGGGGTCTCGGTCCGTTACATCGCCCTTGCCAACATCTCTGGCAGTAGTCGCCTTCTCCGCCTTCTTCTAGAGCAGTAACACAAGCACATTCCTCGATAAGATAGTGTCGGCAGAACAGGTAGACGCCACTGCGTGGTGGCTGAGGGGGAATCTCATCCTTGTTCGATTCTGAAGTCAAGAGGTTGCGTACACCACCAAGGATTTGCTCCGAGAAAGATCGCTTGTTAGGCTCAGACGTGGAGGTCTGTCGCTGCAAAATATCGTTCTCGTTTTCTTGGGTCTGCTCTGGTGAGGGCTCATTTGACTCGTGAAGACGTGGGAATGAGACCAGGTCGCTCGAGTTGGCGTCTACTGCTGGAGGACCAATGTAGTTCCCTGCTTCATCGTAGTGATCTGACGGATATGTCTGGCGAAGATTTCGTCCACCGTGGGAAGCAGAGTATGTCCTGCGGTTCTGATAACCTGTTGCATAGCGACCTGGCTGACTGAAGTTTCCAGAATACGAGTTTCGTTGATGCTGGTAGGGAGAACTTCTAGGTTCACTTCCAGGTCGTCTCGCAGATCCATCGGCATGAGTATACTGCCCAGCTTGACTTGAAGATATAGCCCTGGGCTGTGTAGAGCCGTTTCGATGAGTGTAGTACGTCCCGTGAGGACTCGGTCCTTCGAGCTCATAGTCGCTGTAATCGAAAGAACTCTCTTCCTTCAACTCATCCGAATCTGCGGCTGGAATGTCGTCTGGGAAGACTGAACCCTGGGTGTACGCGGTGCCATCAATGGAAGATGCATATCTTCGAGTACCGACGTCCATCGCATCGCGAACCTGCGCGTCACTGACTGCACGTCTGTGAGCCATAGCGTCGACCTAGATCTCTCTATTAGTTCTTATGATCTGGGCAAAGGGATACTTACCTTTTCTTGGTCTTTTAGAAAGAGTGTGTTGTTTCTCGCTCTGTCGTGCAAATGTCTTTCGGTAGTTGTTGACCAAAAGCTAAGAGATTGATCACGAGAAGCTATCTTGTCGTACAGGTTACGTTACCACTGATGTAGAATGTTTTGATTCAACAAGAGAGCTTCAGAGTCGGAGTACTTGTGTGTTGTTTTTCTTAGCGAAGGAAGGGAAGAGCATCAGTCTGACCTGAAGTAGTGAGTATTTATATTCGTATCGGCCGGATGATGGTCTCTCGTGGATGGTGGTATAATGGCATTGTTTCGCTGAACATGGGACTGTGTCTGAATGGATGTTCTTTCTTGTGCTCGAGTGAACAGGGGAACCACGAGAACAAGCGCTCGCTCCGTTCGGAACAGTAAATAAAGGAAAGGAAAACAGGGTCGGAAGGACATGTCCGGATGTAATAGTCTTTTAGCGACAGTGGTTCGCTGGGGGTTATTCAGGTCGTTCAGTCACTGAATGAAAGGCAGGGCAAAGCAAACTTGGGAGGTTGTGCTACGAGACATTTGTTTATTTTTCGTCTAGGGTTCTGTCATACAGAACACGAGCTTTGAATCAGAGAGTTTCTTCTCTTTGTTCCTCACTTGCGCGAGAGTCCGATCCTGTACGTGTATGTAGTCACAGTCCTCCCCTTGACAGAAGAAATAAAAGGCTCCCTGTCCAATCTGACCGAATGCATGCTGAACATCTCGACATTGGTCTTGCTTTCTGCTTCAGGGTCAAAATTCTGGCTTTCGACGAAGCGGAAGTTGATGGAGATCTTGAACGGGTGGTTTGGCTGTCCGATGATGACGCGCGTGGAATCATGCCAGTTCACATCGTCCAGCTCTTGACCCTCGACGATGTTCTCTTGGGCCTGAAAGATGAGCCGTCGGTTCGCCCGGCCAGAAATGTCGAATCTGAACTTGATGCAGGTTGCGGTTCCGTAGGCGACTTGGACGCTCCAGTTTGTCTCTTTGAATTTGTTGAGATTTTCATAGACACCTTTATCGGCATACCAGAAACGTTGAGTACCGCCGGGCCCGACACGGAGATTCACGGTTGTACTCCCAGTCTGAGCAGTGTTTGGCTTGGGAATACCTGATCCGACGACGGCATGATAGTGGTTGACAGGTTGCGAGGCAGGCAAGTGATGAGGAAAGAAGATATTCTGCATGCCGTCCTCATCCGTCCAGTGTGGGAGGTTTGTCATCTTAACCATGGACTTGTCTGGTATATCGACATGGTTGAATAGATAGACCGAATACTCCGTATTTGGAATATCCTTGATGAGGGTCTCGACGAGGATACATGGCGTGCCAGCGTAGAGTTTCAAGTGCTCCTCAAAGTCGTACTGTCGCATAGGCTCTTGGACGTCTTTGACTGGGCCCCGATTGTAACCTGTAAAGGTGTGTATATGACGAGCTGGTGCGGATTTTGGGTCTGATGGTTGGGACAGGAGTTCGCCCGTCTCGATGGCGCTGATGATGGTTAGTGATGACCAAGATTGTGGTTGAGGACTTACACTCGAGTCCAGACGGGAACACGAAGGTCCGCTGCCATGATGATGAATACTGAATGATAAGAGATGAAGCTTCAGGAATTCTCAAAATTTTATGTATTGCGCTCTATGTTCGTACGAAAATAAGAAGCCCATCAGACAAACTGACAGCTGCTGTGCACTGCGCTTCAATACTACTATGACACTACCTAGTCAGGTATTCGATGTTCGCATGTTTGTATACATTTCATTGCAGTAAATCATCTCGTTTCTACTCGTAAAGTAGAATGTCCTATACAAACAGAAAAATCAAGTTGTTTGACCTGACGAGGAAGAAGCCATAACCAAACAACCTACCCTAGTCTGCCTCGGCATCCCAAGAACAAAAGAAAGATTGCAATGAAGAGCTGTTTACAGTCGATCATTCTATCTATCGGTAACAACTAGTTCCGTGTTTGACATATCTGACAATTACTCCTCTTTCTATCCTCTTCTCCTCGCAGAAAAAGCATGTATTACTATATGATTCTGTAGATCTGTAAACAAATCGGCGGCTCCGGATGGAATTGCGGGACCCTCAGCGGGGAAGAAAGAGGGGAGGGTATCATTGAGTTTCTCAAAAGAGCAACTTCAGCGAAATAGATGGATGATGGTTACTCACTCACTCTAGGTGCACTTTAAACAACAGCAACTTGGCTTGGTTTCAAGAGACTATTGTTCCTGCAACTTGAATTTCCTCGGTGTCTGTTTCATGAGTGTTATTCCGTGACAGATATTTGATTTTATCGAGTAAACTTAGCGAACATATACTATATACTATAGAGAAGATGCATCTGGTGATCTTGACTTGGACCACCAAATGAATTATGACGAGCAGATCACCAACTCAACGCAACCTCAGAAACCAAACTAAATCATGACAAGAACCGAAAACCTGGAAACCTGTCAAAAAAAAAAAGAGTCCGGACTTTAGTCTATTTTCTTGTTGATCCGATTTCGATCGATCTCGCTACCCAAAGTTGCTCTGTTGTCGCTCTTGTATTTGCTTTTTATTCCCGAACCCTGGTCATCAGCTGTAACAGCGATGTCTCACTTGGAGGATCCGCAAGACACGATTGGCCGAGTTTAATGGATACTGCAGTTCCTGCATACATTGGTGTAAATGAGAAAGACAACAGCTCAGAGTCTACGCATGAAAAGATTGAGTGAGTGGCAGAGGAAAAAGAAAGGCTCAATTGATACCATAGTAACGAGCCTCGGCTTATTCGAATGCCGGCAGTGCAACTCTATTCGTTCAGAGGATGAATGATTTGCAGTATCCTGGTTACGATCTCATGGTGACAGTTCTCTAGGACTCAATATACTGCCCGTGGCTCACTTGCTTACCTGGATGCATTGTAAATATCCATCAGCTTGCAACTCTGCAGCAAAACAAATAATGCCCACGGGCATACCGATAGTATATAATATTTAAATCACAGCGCTCAGCTGAGCCCAAGTCTCCAGTTCAGTCACTGTAAACTGGGTAATTACTTGTTAATCTATCGTACACCGTACAAAAGCCCCCCTGCACAAAAAGCAAAGAGATGGAATACCTTATAGAATTTCGTCCCAACCCAGCCTTGCTTCCCTGTAGACCCTCTCTGTCAGAAGAAAATCCCAAAAGAGAAAAAGTAACGAAGGCTAAAGAATACGTCTCCCTACTTGTTGCCATTAAGTTATATAGTCTACGTGATGTATTCGAATGTCTTTCTCGTTCCTCAAACTCGGGTGTCACATATCAATTATAATACCTAATACTTCTTCACAATGACTTTGGACTTTAACACAACTGACAGCAAGGCCTTGCAGGTCTTTGCTACAAGTGTATTTTTCTTTATTGTTACGCCTCTCTTTATAGCCTTTCGATTCTGGAGTCGTGTGACGAGGAGATCCGGCCTGGGCTGGGATGACATGACTGTTATAATATCTTTTGTAAGTCTCTTACTCGCATGTTTCAAAGAAACTCTACTAATCATTAATCAGTCATGTGCTGTTGCTGTACAAGCACTATTAATGGTCGCTTGTAATTATGGATTCGGTCAACATATTGAAAAGTTGACAACAACAAATAAGATGATAGCTCTCAAGGTAAGCAAGTCAACCTCAAACATACATCAAACACATCACTAACAATACCAGCTATTCTATATCTCTCAGATCTTTTACAAGCTCACAATGAACTTGGCCAAGATCTCAATGCTTCTATTCTACCTCCGCATCTTCGTCCACAGATGGTTCCGCAGATGCTGCTTCACCCTCATTGGCCTTGTTACCTGCTACACCATAGCAGCAGTCACTCTATCAATCTTGCAATGTAACCCCGTCATCGGTGCCTGGGACAAGTCGATGAACCCTACTTGCATCGATTTGGAAAAGTTCTGGCTCGCCAATGCTGGTTACTCTATTGGCACAGATGTCTTGATATTGCTGCTGCCTATGTATCCTATCTGCACTAGCAAATTGTCTTGTGCTCAAAAGCGAGGCCTCATTGTGCTTCTCACTTTGGGGGGTGGTCTGTAAGTAACACTCGAATCTCGATATAGAAACAGTCAACTAATACTTGTTTAGTGTTATTGCAACATCTATCGTGCGCATGACAACCCTTCCATTCACAGCCAAAACTCCCGATACAACTTGTAAGTTACTCATCTATAACACACATGCAATATCGATACTAACACTACTATTAGACAACATAAGTTCCACCATGTGGTCTCTCATCGAGCAAAACCTAGCCATCATCTGCACATGCCTCCCAATGTGCCGCATCCCCATGCCTAAACGCTTCCCTCTTTGGGTTTCCGAATCCGAACTCTCACAACCCGAAGTCTCCCAAGCAGCAGGCCCAACTAAGCGTCAAACCCGACGCTGGAGCCCTTATACTGGACCCAGAAACGTACAAGGAGTCACGCGAAGCGTCGTGATGAGCAACGATGATAAGAGTGACGAAGTTACACTGGACTCATCGGACAGAACATTTACCATGTCCTCACTTTCCAGTGATGTTGGTGCGATAAGGAAGATTGTTGAGTATCAAGTTACGTTTGAGACGACACCCGAGAACAATGTCTAATCACATGCACGACTCGGTGTTTACTGGCCAGGAGTCAGTTCATGCATACTGCTAGACGCAGCACTATTTTCTTTGTCTATTGTTTTACATCTTACGAGCGGGATTTATTTGGACTTAGCGAAGCGAAACGTGTACTATAGATGATGAGAAGGCACTTGGACATGGAAAAAAATTCTTTTGTACAGATATGATATACACTTAGATAGAGCAGGGACACAGAGACTAGCTCATGCCCTCCATAAATTCAACACGATCAAGAATCATCTGGCGGTAGCCCATGTACTCCTTGAGTCCCTCCCACTCAGGTCCAGACTCCTCTCCGTGCCTCCAAGGTTCCTTGAATCCCCAGGCACACGCAATCTTATCCATCGCAGCTCGCTCCTCCTCTCTCAACCATCGGGTTCGCAGAGGAGTACCTGGCGCCCAAGTCACACGCTTCATCTGATCCTTGTTACTCAGCTTGGCAATCATGCCCATCGATCCTACGACCAGGAAGTATCCGGAAATACCGGCGATACCAATACCTGTCGCCGTCGACACATCCATTGTGTTCTGCCAGTAGGCGGCATATGCGGATGCGAGACCAAAGATGCCAAAGGGAAGGGTACTGAGGGCGAGGGCGGGAGTGGTAGCGTTCTTGATGAGCTTCTGACGCTTGAAGGCGGGGAGACTGAGCGAAGCCTCGACAATACCAAGTGCTGCGTCGAGGTGCTTGGCATCAATGGCAGTCTGCAAAGCCATGTCCGCAACGTCCTTCTCAATAGCCTTGACGGCAGCGTTGGGATTTGATCCCACATACTGAACTACACCATTCTTGACAACAGGCTTCTTCTTGGTGGCAAACATCTCGAATACAGCGGGAAGCGATTCAGGTCGACCAAGTGAGGATTGAATAGCCACGTAAAGCTCAAGGAAAGCCGGTGTGATCTCGACATTGGGCTGCGAGATAATCGAGTACGCCGAGTATGAAATCTTCTTGACACTTTCGGCAAGGCTCGCTTCCATGGCATTCGGTCTTTGTCCAGTTCGCTCCGCTCCCAATTCCATAAGCTTAGATGTTGATGCCCTTGATTTAACCTCAGCTCTGTGAATCTGGGGCTGAAGAGCCTGAGCAGCCTTGAGGCATGTCTCAAGAGCTGCAGTCGTCAATTGCTTCGCCGGAATACCATCCGTCGCAAGAAACTTCTTCTTTGTGCTTTCCACGATGTTGGCCAATTGTGTCGGGTCTGTCAATTGTCTAGGAACTTTCTCGGCATCGGCAGCCTGGATGTTGAGGTCTGGGTACGTCGAAGAGGTCGCAGCCCATCGTGCACTCGTCCCTCTAATTACTGACCTTCGTCCATGGCGGACAGTGGCTAGAAGGGCTCCGCTGATGAATGCTTGGTTGGCAATTGTCGGCGCTGGTGTGAAAGCGCATCGAAGGCAGACATTGCCGATTTGTCGAGGGGCTATTCGAGACATTTTGTATATTTCGGGCTTGAGATTTCGATACCCGTGAGTCTCTAACTGCAATCCTTGATATTTCCCTGATTGCCGGCGTCGTTCCTTCGAGCAAAACTTCTCCCCGTCTCGGTCGTCGTTGATGCTATTCAGAACCTAGCCGACTTTGAATTTCGCAACTCATGATACGCGAGCGGGAAGGCCCCACATGTCAGTGAGTGACAGACGTTGATAGGCTGCCCAGTAAGAGTTGACAAGAACAGCTTAACTGACATGATAAGTACATGCCATGATTCTGCAGCTGCACGTGTTGGCCATTGAGTCAATTAAAGACTCAAGGAATATCCATGAGAACTGAAAAGTCCTCATAGAATGGTCATGCGTTACCAGCACGGATCCTCGTAGAATCAAGTTGCAGTGACTCTTTAAGCTGTATCTTCAAGGAACTTGGGCACTAGAACAAAGCGGGGCGCAGCCCAGCGGTCCACTGTACTGGAAGTAGCGGTGCTGCCTTCCACCTTCTGCCCGCAGCGTAAGCGTTCCATTGGCCATGACGAAACATGATGTGGCTCCTACCTCTTGGGTATTCCAACTGATTCAGCATTCCCAGGGTTCAACTTCAACCTCTTTATATCTGATCCTTTAACCGAGTCTTGCTCATCACTGTCGCCTCGCCTGGCTGCGTTGTGCTGTAAGACTCTCGTATATATCACCCAGGGTCTGGACCCTCCACTGTTTTAGTCCGAAGACCCCGAACCGTCTAGCTCTCCTTCATCCTACCGACGACATCTGAATTAGCGACACCACGTCCGAGGCTCTCAGAGTCACAAACCACCTTCGCGATGCCTCCTCCACCTCCTCCACCCCCTCCACCGCCGCCTGGTGGTATGGGTGGTCCTCCTCCCCCTCCTCCTCCACCTCCAGGAGGTCTTCCCGGGCGACCACCAGCAGGAGGAGCACCTGGTAGAGTATGTCTCTCCATGGCTAGCATTTGCGCCAGTCGCGAGAGATAAAGGTACTAACAGCTTGAACTAGGGCGCTCTTCTCTCAGATATTCATAAAGGCAAAGCTCTCAAGAAGGCCGTCACCAATGATCGTTCAGCGCCGCAAGTTGTCAAAGAGTCCAACTCCTCCGCCGCCCCTGCTGTTGGCGGCGCACCTCCTGTCCCGAAAATCGGTGGTGCTCCTCCTGTTCCCGGCCTGGCACCATCAGTTCCTGGAAATCGAGCAAGAAGCAACAGCGACCAAGGAACAGCAACTGCCGATCCCGCGCCGCAATTGGGTGGACTTTTCGCGGGTGGAATGCCCAAGCTGAAGAAGCGAGGAGGAGGTGTAGATACGGGCGCCAATGCCGATTCCTCATATCGATCCGATTCTGAAGTTGCCTCCGCGCCCAAGCCTCCATCCGCGCCGCCGAGACCTCCCTCAGCTGCTGCACCATCGATCCCCGGACGAGGACCTCCAGTACCGCCCCAAGGAGGAGCTGCAGGCTTGAGGAAGACGACGCCATTAGGGGGCAAACCTCCCCCTCCCCCTATAGGGAAGAAGCCTCCTCCACTGCCAACATCGCGGAAGCCCTCGTCTATGTCACTACCACCATCTGCGTCTTCTCTGAACTTGGTGCCCTCGGCCCCTCCTCCCCCTCCGCCCTCAAGCAACGCACCAGCCGCTCCTCCACCACCACCTCCTTCTGCGGCCCCACCACCTCCTAGTCAATCCCCAGGATCTCGAGGCTCGGTACCTCCTCCGCCACCGCCTCCTCCTCCCGGAGCAACACCATCTCTTGCTGCGCAGGCTACTCTTCGTGCTGCTGGACAAGCATCACCAAGTGGTGCACCTCCACCCCCTCCATCAAGCGCTCCTTCGCCTCCGCCACCAACAACACGCTCTCGAGGTTCCTCCCTTCGCCATTCCATGTTGGACCCCAGTATGTTTACTTTGACAGCCAACGGGGGTAAATCCCCTAGTCCAAACCACTCGCCTTCGCAAACACCTGGTCACAGTGGTGAACCAATTGTGATCAATGACCCCAGATGGCAGTGGAAAGATGAAGGCCTGTTCCCGAAACCCAGGGATTTTGTGGGAGGAACAAGGAAGTATCGGGCAGGAAGAGGAAGTAGTGTTCCTTTGGATCTGAGTGCTCTGTGAAAATGGAAGACTTTCAAAAATGAATTTTGCGCCTCTGAACAGTTTGTCGATCAAGCTGTGCCTTTCATGATTAGATGAGTAGCATGGCGGTTTTGAAAAGATTGGATATGCTAGATTACGTTCAACCAAATATAAATATTATATCGTTAAATCATATTAAAACACGAAATGAGCTGGATGGAAGTGAAGAAGTCTGGTTATGGTCATGTCGAATACGTGGTTTCTTTGGTATTCAATACCATGTTTGGAAAATATAGTACAGAGTTACATACCCCTCCAAATAGTGTACATTTTATAGATAGCCATTCAAGTTTACATAGACTTGAGGTAGTTAGTTTCCTTAATCTTGGCCTTTCTCTCCTTGCGCATCGCCCTCTTAAGTTCTTCTCGCTTCTGTGCAGCCTCAACGTTGTGATCGACGCCCTTGTTCTCCTCTCCGAGGACGTTAATAGACTGGTGCTGGATGGGGACCTTGGGAGCTAAAGCTTCAAGGTTGCCTTCGGCCAATAGCTTGGCTTCGTGAGCCTTCTGTCGCTTCGCTGCCAGCTTTCTTTGCTTCTTAGATTTTGCTATAGATTGTTAGTAAGGTCTATCCATAAAAAGTACCTGGATCAGGTATTCTATAACGTACAGAATTCGTCTCCGGCCCCTTCATCCGCCGCATCAGCGTCCCTCTTCAACACATCCAAGCAATTCCATAGCCACTCAGGGTACTCATCGTCGTGCTTCGCAACAGGGTCCTGTCCCGCCTTGGTATAGTTCAATCCGGTAAGGACAGTTCCGGCCACACATTGTGATCGTGGGACGGGAGTATCCTTGGGGGCCTCGCCAGGTACTGTAACTGGGGTCGAAAGCTTGGGCTCGGCGTATCGGAAAGGTGTTGTTGTCGAGAATTGACGCAGAATAGGCTGTGAGCGCCGCAGGGCGCTGGAGCGCAGGCACCGAGTGCAGAACATGATAATTGTCGGTGGTGGTTGTCGGGAGTCGAAGTGTGACGAGGCTCGAGTTTCTGGAGAAATTTTGGAGGTGCATGATGTGGAGAGCCAATGGGAAGTCAGACAACCTCTAATTGTCAGCCTCGCGCCAAAAGCCCGCGCAAGCTCGAACGACTTATACAAATGGATATTCTATGCAGGGATTGGACAGTTTCTTTATGGGTTCTTTTTTATTTCATTCCTTCCTGATATATACACAGTCATACAAGGCCAAGGTGGTCATTAGTGCACCTTTTATAGCGAGCCGAGCTGGTCACAATCATGTTGTGATATCAAGGCTAAAAAGTCCCTCCTGTTTAGATAACCAAATCCCGCTCACTTCCATCCCAAGTCATGACTAGAAACATTTCTCTCTTACGAAGAGAATCGGTCAAAGTTCATCTTGGCGATCTTGTCGCTTGTGTGTACCTTGGCAGCCCGGTCGAGGTCTTGCTCCTTCTGATCAACGTAGTTTTGTTGCAAGAACTTGGTGCCCTTGATCTTGTTTGTCTTAAGCAATTGGAGGTATCGCTCTATTATGATTGTCAGTTTATGATCCAGGGCAAGGTTTCGGCATCTCGGTAGAGCTCCATATGCGACCAAACTAACCTCGGAGGTGGCCGCAGTTCTCGAGGTGGTTGACACCCTCACGGACATAGCACTTGTTCAGCTCCTCGCCAACAAGTCGGGTCATCATAGCGCCGACCCATTGTTCCCGAATGAGGGAATCCTCAGCAGCCTTGAAGGCCTTGGTATCATCGTAGTCGACGCCGTTGAAGGTGGGAGCGACGGTAGGCTTCTGGGCCTTAAACTGCTCGGACTCGGGGGTAGGCATGGTGAATTGAATTGAGCTTGGTCGACTTGAAAGATTGGATGTTAGACTGGAGCGTGGGACGGCGCGCAAGGCTGACAATGGGACTCAATCGATATCGGCGTCTTGGTACATCCGAGTAGCTTGAAGCTCAACCTAAGTGAATTGGATGTCCAATGACATACGACCTGATTTCTAAGGCAAGCACAGACCCGCTCCCCCCACGACCACCTTCCCTGTCAGTCGCAAACTCTTCACCGCCCTGGAGCGCCCCACCATTTTGCCGGCGCAAAAAAAAAAAAAACTCTG